CGACGCGCAAGAGCGAGCCCGCGCACGCGACACTGTACTGCGCGCACGATAAGGCGCGTTAATCCTCGCTCCGTCGCTCTCTTCTTCTTCTCCATCTTCTTCTTCTCCCCCGCGCGCGCGACGACGACGCGCGACCCTCGCGCGCGCGAAGAAGAAGAAGAAGATGAAGAAGAAGAAGTGAGCGACGAAGCGAGGATTAACGCGCCTTATCGTGCTCGCAGTACACCGTCGCGTGCGCGGGCTCGCCCTTGCACGTCTCGCACAGTCGCACGCGCTGATGTTTCCACGTGAGCTTGTTGTTCGAGTGCGCGCCGACATGCATCTGCGCGTCGCACGCGGAGCACAGGTTCGCGGCGTCGTTGAAGCAGTATATCGCCGCCTCGGAGGTGTTACAGAGCGCGCATATGACGCCCATCGCGATATCTCGCGAGGCCGCGGCGGGGGGTCGATCCGGTCGCGGGGGTCGCGGGGCGCTTTATTTCCCGCTGAGTAGGGAAGGCGACAGCCGCGCGAGATTCGCGATTTTCGATGCGCTCGGCGCGGCGCGGACGCGGCGTTCGACGCGACGCGCGATCGCGCGCGTGCCTCCCCCGGCGGTCGACGCGATCGGTGAGACGCCGATCGAACCGAGCGCGCGGTCGCGCGCTTTCGCCGTCGCGCGCGTCGCCGAGTGCGCGCGCGCGACCGGGATGATTTTGCACCCGGGGTCCGCGCGAAAAAATAAAGTCATCCGCCAGCTGGCCTATCCGATCCCGGGGTCGCGTATCCGATTCTCGTTTCCTCGGCATTCCGCGCGCGCGTACGCGTTTCTAGTCTCAGAACGGCGTACTTCCGTACTACGCGCGGCGGGGCGACCTGCAACGCCTGAGAAAACGCTTCGCCTCCTCGGATGTCGCGTCGTTCCATTTCGTCGCGCTCGCGTCCTCCGCACCTCGACACGCCTCGATGGCCGCCAAGAGCGTAATTCACGATCGCCTGAGAGCGCGATGGGCGAAGCAGGGCGGCGGCCCGGAGATGGAGGCGAGGCTGCGCGCGGCGAAGGAGGAGCTCGCGCGGCGCGAGAAGGTGGCGAGAGCGCGCGCCTCCGGGACGTCGCTTCCCGAGTCGATGCTGACGCCGACGCGAGATCCGGCGACGGTCGCGGCGACGGACGCGGGCGCGGACGCGTCGACGCCGCCGAAAACGCCGCAAATTTCCGTCGACGCCATCATGGAGGAAGCGAGAGAGGAGATCGCGAAGCGCGTCGAGCGCGCGCGGACGGAGGGCGTCCGGGAGGGAGACCCGCGATTGATTCATCCCGACGACGACGACGAAGAGCTCAAGGCGCTGGAGGCGGGCTGCGTCGTCGTCGGCGGCGAGAAGACGCGCGTCTTGACCCCGCCGGAGACGATCGACCCCGCGCATCCGATCGCGCGGTTGAAAGACGACGCGAACGCGGCGCTGCGGCGCGGCGAGTACGAGCTCGCGAAGGCGCTCTACGACGAGGCGCTCGCACCCACCGGGGAGAAGAAGACGGCTCTCGGCCTGCTCCCCGCGGACCTCGCGGGCGTCCTCCTCAGCAATCGCTCGAAGGCGCGCCTGCTGTTGGACGAGCCGGAGATCGAGCTCGCGTGCGCGGACGCCGTCGCCGCGTGCGCGCTGTGTCCGAACTGGGCGAAACCGCGCGCGCGGCTCGCGGAGGCGCGAGACCGCTTCCCGCGCGACCCCGTTCGCGCGTCGCGTCGCGCGTCGTTTCGTGAGAAGTTCTACTTTTTTTTCGCTTTCGCGCGGTGGCACCCTCACGATTTGACACGTGGCAATTTCTTTCATCCACCAATCACACTTCAACACATCTGACACGTGTCTTCCCTCGGCCTATCGAATCATCCGAAGGCGCGCGCGCTCGAGGGCGCGTACGCGCTGGCGATGAAAGCGTGTCGCGAGGGCGAGGCGATCGCGGCGCGGTGCGGGGATAAGTCGCGGCCGTTCGAGAAGCTGATCGACGAGATCGCATTGAAAGCGGCGCGGGATGGAAGCGTCGCCGGGTTCGACGGGAGGTACATATACGTTCGAAGCGCGGGCGAAGAAGCCTGGCTCGGTGCGTTTTTTTTTTGAAATTTTTTTGTCGTAAAGTTTGGTCGTTTTCTGATCGGTCGCGCTGACGACCTCTCTCCACCCACTCGCGCAGGCAAACGCGCGCCGGAGAACCCCGCGTTCGACGCGGACGACGACGGCGACCGCGATCGACCTCGGCCGGACGACCCCAAGGCCCCGATCCACGCGCGATCGATCGCAGAGGCGATGGACGCGTGCGAGGACGGCGACGTCGTGTTGCTTCTTCGCGGCATTCACAACGGGCTCGGCCAGGCGTGCCTCGTGGACAAGCGGATCTTGATCCGCGGCGAGGGCGCGCTGAAAGAGGCCACCGTGGACTGTCGATCGAACGTGCCGCTGTTTCGCGTGACGCGACCGTGCGTGATTCAAAACGTCGACGTCGACTTCACCGGCTTCAGTCAGGTAAAGTTTTTCACCCATCGCTCGGTTTCAACATTTGATCGTGAGGGTCCCTTTCAACTGACCGGTGAACATTTTTTGTATGGAATCGCCCTCAGGCGATTCACGTCGAAGGCGGCGACGCCGTCGACGCGCTCATCGAGAACTGCCGGATCAAAGCCTCGGGCGACGACGGGATTTGCGTCGACGGCAGCGCGAGGCCGACGTTTCGAAACTGCGACGTGACGGGCAAGAAGAGCGCGCTGCGAACGATGGGCAACGCGCGCGCCGAGCTCGTGGACTGCAAGCTGCACTGCTGCGAGACTTCGGGGGTCAAGACGTTCGGCGAGTCGCGCGCGACGCTCCGCGACTGCCACATCGAAAACTGTCAACACGAGGGCGTCGTCGCGATGCAGAGGAGCACGGTGCACATGGAGAACTGCGTCGTCGTGGACAACAAAGGGCCGGGCGTGGACGCCTCGGACGACGCGCGCGTCGTCCTCGTCGACGTCGTCGTCGACGACAACGTCGGAGGCGTCTGGTTATGGGACCACGCGTCGTGCGACGTCCGCGGCGGCGTCGTGCGAGGCGGCGCGTCGCACGCGGTCCTCGCGGACGAGGAGACGACGCCGCGGTTCGGACGCGGCGCGAGAATCGAGGGCGTCGTCGAGGCGACGGCGAGGGCGCGCGAAGACGTCGCGCCGGGACGAGATGGCACCGTCGCGTTGACGCATCCGGCGAAGCCGACGTCGTTGCCGCCGGACTCGGGGTGTTTCGCGTTCGAGTACACGATGTTCGACCGGAAGCAGTGACGGACGGACGGAGAAGGACGGAGAAGGACGGACGGACGCGCGAAGAAGAGGAAGCGATGGACGCGCGCGAGGTGCGACGACGAGACGACGCGACGCGTAGGACTGAAGTACGAAAGTACTTTCAAGTACGATGTTGATTTTGTTTTGATTTTTGGCGACGGACGCGACGCGCCGCGCCGCCCGTCCAGTCTACGTACAAAACACAGTAACCCCACAGTAATACCATACCCCCCTCCCTCCCTCCCTGCCTCCCTCCTCTCAACCCCCGTCCGGACCGAAGTACTCCACCGCGTCCTGCCACAGCGCGGGCGGAAACCGCGCGGCGAACCCAAACGCGGGACACAATCCCTCCGCCGCCGCCGACGACGACGCGCCCGACGCTCTCGCGTCAATCTCCCTCGCCGCGAAACCGCGCACCGTCTCCAAGCTGAGCTCATTCGCGATCAGCGCGCGGTTCGTGCCGTGCCCGAACGCGACGGCGACGAGCGTCGGGAACAGCACCGCGATCTTCCGCGAATCGCTGTAATACTCGAACGGCAGATCCGGCAGCCGTTGCATCAACGTCGGCGCCCGGCCCCAACACAGCATGTCTTGGTTGGACGGCGAGAGGAGGGCGAACGCGCCGATGAAGAGTACGGTCTGGTCGAGAAGCTCCGCGAGCTCTTCCACGGTCGCGCCCGCGTTGTCGCTGCCGCCGTGGCGCGCGCGACGGCCGTCTTTCGCGACGCCATATTCCGAGGCGTCGTCGTTTTTATCCCCGGCGCCGCCGCCCGGGTTGTTTTTCCGCTCGCGATCCGCGCGCGCCTTCGCCGCCACCGCGCTGTCCCACTCGCTCGCGCACAGGGCTAATATGAACGACAGCAAGTGATGCGTCTCCACTCTCAAGTCCGGCGACGACAGCGCGTCTTGCGCGATCTCCGGGCCGAACCGCGCGGTCGCGTTGAGCAGACGCACCGCCGCCGCGGCGACGGGGACGAAATTCGACGGCAGCTCGCGCGCCGCCGCCGCGGGGTCTTGCAGCACCGGCGTCCGCAGCGTCGCCTCCGTCTGCAGCAGCACCGAGGTGAGCAGCGACGGAAGCCCTCCCAGCGCGGTCTCCTTCAGCGCGGCGATCAGCGACCCGGCCGGGGACTCGCCCTCGCGAAGATTTATCGTCTCCGGCTCCACCGCGACGTTATAGCGGTCGACGCCGCCGACGAGCTCGCGGCCGGGCGCGGGCGCGCGCGCGTCCAACAGAGCCTCGAGGAGCCTCAGGCCGGCGAGAATGCCGGGCGGCACCGGCTCGACCGTCGCCTTCGGGCGGTCGTGCAGCGCGAACAGCGACGCGATCGCGTCGACTGCGCCGGACGTCACGAGGAGCTCGACAAAGTCCGCGGACATCGCCACGACGCGCGCGCACTGCGCGCGCGCCGACGCCGACGCGGGCGCGGGCGCGGTGATCTTCTCGCGCGCCGCCGCGGCTTCGCACCCGATCGCCTCCACGCCGCCGTCGTGCGACGCGGCGGAAGACGAGACGACGGCGGCGGCGACGTCCTCGGCGGCGTTCGTCGGGCTCGCGCGCGCGAGCGACCTCGGCGACAGCACGTCCTCGAACGACGACGACGAACCCCCGCCGCCCCCGCCGCCGACGCCGACGCCGCCGACGCTCACCCCCTTCGGCCCCCGCACGACGCGCGCCACCACCGCCATCATCGGCTCCAACGCCGACGTCGGCGGCGGGATCCCCCCGCCCGTCCCGGGCGTCGCGTACTCCGCGTTCGCGGGATCGCCGAGCCACCCGAGCCCCGCGACGAGGTGCGGCACCAACGGCGACGCGAGGTTCTCCGCGAGGAGGTGCTCGCACGCCGTCGCCGACGCCGCCGTCGCCGCGTCCAGCGCGCGCGCGAGGCTGACGCACTGCGCCGCCGCCGCGGGCGACGCCGCGAACCCGCCGCCGGTCGCGGAGGAGTTGAGCGACTCCGCGAGCGCCTCCGCGAGCGCGCGGACGAGACCGGAGGTGACCGCGGCGGCGAGCGCGGCGGACGCGGCGGCGGCGCCGGCGGCGCGCGCGGACCCGGATCCGGACCCCCCGGATGCGTTTTCGCCGCCCCCCGCTCTCGCGGCGTCGCCGCCAGCCTCGGCGAGCGCTTGCATAACGTCGCGGTGCGCGTGCGACAGCGACTCGGGCTTGCGCTTGGAGATGGCGAGCGCGACGCGCTCGAGCCGCGGGCGCGCGGCGTCCGTCGCGGGCGGAAGCGGCGCGTACCCGACGTCGTCGTCGGCGGCGGCGGCGGCGGCGGCGGCGGCGGCGACCGACGACGTCTCATCCTCCGCCGTCGCCGCCGCCGCGTTCTCCCTCTCCGCGTCCGTGGGCCATCGCAGCGGCCCCGCCGCGTTCGCGAGCCGCTGCCTGAGCTTCTTCGCGCGCTTGCGCATCGCCTTGTGCCGCTCCGCGGCGGCCGCCGCCCGCGCCATCTCGCGCTCCATCCCGCCGGGGAAACCGCCGCCGCTCTCCCCCGCGCCGCCGCCGCCTCGGACGCGCGACGGCGACTCGGGCGCGCCGCCGCCGCCGCCGCGTCCCGGGGACATCATCGCGCCCGACCCGCCGCCGCCGCGCGCGGGCGACGCCGGCGGCGACGTCGCGGGCCGCAGGGTTGAATCCTTCCCCGCGGAGCCGATCACCGCGCGCTCGCGGACGACGTCGAGGTACTCCCGCCGCCGTCGCTCGGCGGCGAACAGCCGCCGTCGCATCTCGTCCAACCGCTCCTCCGCGCGCTTCTTCGCCTCGCGCTCCCTCGCGACGCGCGAACGCTCCTTGTCCTCCGCCTCGCGCGCGCGCCGCTCCTCGTGCGCTGTGGCCGCAGCCTCGCGCTCCGCCGCCTCCCGCTCGCGTCGGAGCTCCTTCTCTCGGACTTTCTCCTCGAGCGTCGACCGCTTCGCGGCTTGCTCCGCGGCGCGGCGTTCCTCCGCGGCGCGCGCCGCCGTCTCCGCCGCCTCCGCGGCGCGGCGCCGCTCCTCCGCTTGCGCTGCGCGTCTCAGCTCCGCGGACGTGAGCTTATCCCTGAGCGCCGCCTTCTTGTTCTCCACCTCGAGCGAGTTGTAAAACGCAATCTCCTCAACCTTTCGCGTCTCCTCGCTCGCCTTTCGCACAACCGCGCTGATGCGCTCCTCGCGCGTTTCCTCCGCTCTGCGATGCCGCGCCTCGAGCTCGAGCGCTCGGAGCGCGATCCTCCGCTCCTCCTCCTCCTCCCTCTCGCGCGGCGTCGGCGCGGTGAACTTTCTGCGCGCCGCGCGCTCCGTCTCGACGCGTCTTCGGAGGTCCTTGGCGCGTTCGTGCCTCTCGCGCATCGCCGCCGCCGTCTCCATGGGCGTCTTCTTCTTGTTTCGATCCGGGGACATGAGCTTGAGGTGCAACTCCGCGGGCGACTTCCCGCGGTTGATGAGACGCGCCGCGAGCGCAGCCTGCGCGCCCGTCGGGTCGAGGATGTTCCCCCAGTTCCGCTTCTCGCCCCACGCGGCGGCGGGCGGCGGCGCGTCCTCGTCCTTCAGGTCCTTCTTAAGGTCCTTCTTCTCCATCTTCGCATTCGCCGCCTCTTCCTCCTTCTCGTCGCCGCCGTCGAAGGACGCGTCCGCCATCACCGGCGGGAGGTCGTCGGACTCGTCCGCCCACGACGCGTTCGCTTTCGCCGCTGAAACGCGCGGCGGGGTCGCGTTCGCGTTCGTTCGCGCCGGCAGCTCCGCCGGCGACGACGGCGAGCGCGGAAGCGGCGGTTTCCCGGGCGGTTTCGCCGCCGCGCCGCTCGCCGCCGCGCTCGCCGCCGCGCTCGCCTTCGTCGTCGCCGCTCCCGCGCTCGTCTTAGAAGACGCGATCGCGGCGGACTTCTCGAGGTCGGAATCGCTCGAAGACCGGTTGGGCGCGACGTTCGAAGAAGACCTGTGCGCGTTGTGCTCCGCCGCGCGCGCTTTTTTCCTCTCCTTTTTGCTCATCGCGCGGGGTCCCGCGGCGTTTGCGGCGGCGGCGGCGGCAGCCTTCCCGTGACTGCCGTTCGCGTTCTTCCCCGCTCGCCCGCGCGCGCCCGCGGTCGTCCACTCTCCGCCGCCGCCGTCCTCGTCGTCGCCGCCGCCGCCGCCCTCGCGCTCGCCCGGGTCCGGCGTCCGCCCGCCGTCGCTCCTCCCCGTGATCTCCTGAATCATCTCGTAGTGCCGCGCGCTCGGCCGCACGTCGGTTCGTCCGACGTCCCACGAGATCGCCCTGCTCTCCGGGTCCGCGGCGAACATCTCTTGCTCCGTGAGTCGCTCTTTCAGGGCGTTGAAGTCCTCCGCGGACTCCTCGAGAAGCCGAACCGCGGCGTCGATCTCTTCGCCGCCGCACTCGAGCTCGCACAGAAAGTACACCTCGTCGACGGCGCGCACGACGTTGCCGAGGAGATAGCTCCACAGGCGCTCTCGAAATTCAGACTGGACGCCGGCGGCGGCGTTCGACGCCGCCGCCGCGACCGCCGCGTCCGCCGCCGCGGTCGTCGTCGTCGTCGTCGCGCCGCCGCCGCCCCCGCCGTCGCCGCCGCCGCCGTCCGCGCGGTCGCGATCGCCGCCGTCGAGCGACTCCGGCCTCGACCCGCCGTGGAGCGACCCGTGCCGCGACGCCGCGACCGCGCCGAGCGCGTGGACGAGGTCGTCGAGCGACCCGCCTCGGCTGCTCGTGAGCGAATCCGGGAGCAGGTGCGCGGCGCCGCCGTGGCCGCGGTGGTCGCGCGAATTCATCTTCGTGTTCAAAATCTTCGTCTTCGCGTTCAACGACCCGCCCGCGCCGCCCGCGCCCCGGTTCTCTCGCCCGCCGAGCTCGCGGCGGTCGCGGTCGCGGTCGGGGGTCATGCCGAGTCGCCGCCGCGCCGCGGGTTCGTCTCTTCCGTCTCTTCCGTCAAACTCTTCGTCCGCGTCGTCGCGCTTCGTCGGCGCTCCGTGTTTTTTTTCGGCGGAGAACATGTCCCGGAACGACGGCACCGCGAACGACGGCGACGGCGAGCGGCCGCGGTACTTGTCGTTCAAGTTCACGAGCGGCGAGCGGTCGTCCGCACTACTCGAGAGGGCGGCGGCGTGGGCGTTCGGGTGCCGCGCGCCGCCGATGATCGCGCCGCGTCCGCGTCTACCGGGGGACGCGCCGATCCCGCGCGGCGTCGATCTCGGCGCGCTCGTCGCCGCTCGTTCGAACGCGCGCGTCGAGGCCTGCGGGGGACACACGGAAGGAGGAAGGGATGGACGTGAATAAAAGTCCTTAAGAAACGGCGTTCACCACGCGAACGCGGTCGTATGGGGACCAGTGTCACGTGAGAGGCGGGAGGATTGCCGGCGCGGAGCGAAGCGACGAAGAACGGCGCTGATGAGATCTGGGGACGGGGACGGGGACGGGGACGGGGACGGGGACGGGGGGACGCGCCTCCGCTTCAGACGACCGGGAGCGCTCCGCGACCATATCCCATGCGCGATGCGATCGCGCTCGCGTGCCTGCGGAGAGAGAGGAAGATGGAGAGGAGCGAGCGAGCGCGGACGCGCGGCGACGCGATGCGAGGAGGAGCGCTGGTCAACTTTATGTCGAGAAGATGCGTCGCGTCGGATGGATGATGACTCGATGGACGTCGAGCGGTCGTCCGCCGCGCGCCGTCGCGCGACGGCTCGAACGACGCGGGGGCAGCGGGGGGGAGGGGGGTCGAGACGCGCGAGCGACGCACCGTTCCCGTCGCGCGCGTCTCCGCTCTCGAACGCTCGCGTCGGGAGGGTGTGACGCCCTCGCGGCGCGCGTCGAGCGCCGAGGGAGGTTTCAAAAACTGACGAACGAGCGGGCGGGAAGGAAAACACCTGAAAACTTTGAAAATATCGCGGGATGTGCTCGTCGATCAGTTGAAAGAGGATGCGATCAAGTGTTGAAGCCGACGGGCGGGTGAACTTGATCGCGGTTTTCGCACACGCATTCGAGGCGCGCCGCGGCCGCGCGTTCTTTTGCGGGAATGCGGGCGATTGACACTGCAGACAACGCGGCGCACGGCGCCGGCGGGGTGGGGTCCACGGAGAGGACCCCGCGGCGATATCGCCCGCTCGCCCGCCTAGCGCTCCTTCGCCATCATGCCGATCTTCGTGCACACCGCGATGGTGAACAGCGCCGAGCGCCCCGTCAGCGTCGCGGGCGTTCGCCGCGTCGTCTTCGTGCGATGCGGTCGCCTGGTGCGACGCACGCACTGGACCTCCGGCTCGCTCGAGGACCTCCAGCTCGAGGTGCTCCGCGTCTTCGACGCGCCGCCCGAGCTCATCCACGCGCGAGGGCGCGAGACCGCGAGCGGGTTCGTGCTCGCGCAGTCGACGCGCGTGAACGCGTACCTCGACGCGGAGCCGCTCGTGCATCCGGACGACCTAGGACACGGCGCGGTCGTGAGCGTCCGTGACCCGCTGTGGCAGGCGGTGTGCACCGCGTGCGGGGAGCGCGGTTCGCGCGGAGAGGAGGAGCCGTGCCCGCCGAATTTGCGCCGCGCGTTCGAGGCGTGCGTCGCGAGGGTGCTGAGCGCGCGGCGGCTCCCGGCGAAGGATCGCGTCTTCCTACTCCTGAACGACCCGACGTCGTCGAGAGAGGCTCTGATCGCGCAGACGTTCATCTTGTTTCTCATCCTGCTGTCCACGATCACGTTCGTGATGGAGACTATTCCGTGGTTCTACGAGGACGACGCGGGATACGACCACTGGTTCGCGATCGAGACGGTGTGCATCGTCTTCTTCACCGCGGAGCTCGGAGGGAGGATTTGGTCGGCGAGGGATCGAAAGAAGTTTTCGAAGAAATTTCTCAACTGGGTCGACCTCGTCGCCATCCTGCCGTATTACATCGAGCTGTTCTCGCGCGGCGGCGCCGAGGTCCCGGGGCTCGCGGTGTTGCGCGCGATTCGACTCGCGCGCGTGTTCCGCCTGATGAAAGTCTCGAAGCGGTCGCTCAAGATGTTGGGGACGACCATGGTCAAGTCGGGGAAATCGCTCAACGTCCTGTTCTTCTTGCTCCTCATCTCGCTCGTCGTGTTCTCCGCGCTCATGTACTTCGCCGAGCGCGGGAGTTGGGACGAGACCCAAGGGCGATGGTTCCGAACCACCGGGTACACCTGCTCGGTCGCGTGCAGCGACCAAGGACGGAAGCTCGCGGCGACCTACGTCGCGTGCGGGTACTCCTATTCCGCCGCCGACACCAAGTCGATCAAGTTCAACTACCACCGCTTCGGGCAGTACTCGGGCGCGTTCTATTTCCACACCGGTTCCCATACGACCGCGTTCACGTTGTGAACTTCATTCCTTAAGGACTGACTTGACTTTTCCCGGCGATGCGATCGTCTCTCTCCGCCCACCCCTCGGTTTCAATCCCGACACACCACCGCGACGCCTTTCAACTCCACCTGACGCGCCTTTCGACTCCGCCCCGACGTCGCTTTGAACGACGGAACGACCCTCATCAGACGCGTGCGTCGCCGTCACGGAGGAGTCGCCGTTCCAGTCCATCCCGCACTCGATGTGGTTCAGCGCGGTGACGATGGCGACGTTGGGGTACGGCGACGTGTATCCGGTCACCGGGTGGGGATTCCTCGTCGCCGCCGTGCAGATGTTATACGGCATCCTCGTCGTCGCGATGCCGGTGACGGTTGTCGGGAGCAACTTCACGCAAATTTACAACCGGCTCTCCGAGCCGAACGCGCTGCTGCCGTTCGAGGGTACTGTGCCGACCGGCAGCGTCGTGCAGCACGGGCTGCACGAGGCGTCCGAGGGCGCGCGCGCGGCGCCGCTGACGCGGTCGTGGCTGTCGCCGCTGTCGCACGAGTGGGACGTGGACTTGCGGTTCGCGGAGCTCTTGCCGTGCAAGGCGCCGGCGATCGTGCGCGTCTTCGACGTCAAGAAATCCGCGCTCGTCGGCGGCGGCGTCCCGGGGCTGGACGGGAAGAGCAAGAAGAAGAAGGACAGAGACGGCGGCGGCGACGGCGACGGCGACGACGACGACGACGCGTCGGTCCCGCTCAGGCTCGGGGCCGCGAAGACGGGGTCGAAGAAGAAGCGTAGTAAGACGGACGCGGACGCCGACTCCGACTCGGACGACGTCGAGCAGTACGTGCTGGGCCCGCTGACGCGCAAGTCCGCGTGGGTCCCGGAGCGAACGCTGAAAGGTCAGAAGATGTTACAGCGCGCGCGGCGAGAGCGCAGCCTTCGCGAGGGGTTGGACTCGGGAGGGCCGGACGACGAGCGAAAGCTTCGGAGGAGCGCGTCGGCGAGGCGCGCGGCGGCGGCGCGGAATCTCCGCGCGATCCGCATGTTCCAACTTGAATCCTCCGGCCACTCCGACGCGCTCGCGCCGGGGGACGCTTCCTCCGCGGGCGACGTGAAGAAGCCGTCGAGGTTCAAGTCCGCCGCGCAGGCGGTGATGTTTCTCAACGAGGAGGACGCGAGATCGAAGGCGCGACGGCCCGAGTGGAGAGCCGAACGCGAGGTGCGTTCTCCTCACACTGGTCCCCATACGACCGCGTTGGCGAGGTGGACGCCGATCCTTAAGGACTTTGCCCGGCGTTTCTCTCCGCCCACCCCTCGCTTTCAATCCCCGCCTTCGACGCCTTTCAACTCCAACTGACGCCTTTCAACTCCACCCCGACGTTCGTTCGTATGGAACGACCCTCAGCACGAGGAGATGGAGAAGGACCGCGCGGAGGCTCTGGTCGCGGTCGCGACGACGCTGCTGACCGACGCGGTGCGAAACGTGAACGATCACAACGACGGCGGGTTATTCTCCGTGTTTCGCGGCAACCGCGGGCAGGGTCTGTTTGGCGGCGTCGTCGTGGGCGCGGACGGGAAGAGTAAGTGGGTCACGAAACAGATCGTGCGCGCGGGGGCGAACCGCGACGCGCGGCCGAAGGGCATCACGGAGGAGATCGCGTTCGAGGGGGACAAGGGGACGGACGCGGTCGCGGTGCAGTCTCCGTACAGGCAGCTGTCGCGCGGGGGGTTGGGGCGGACGAAGAAGGGCGGCGGCGGCGGCGGCGGCGGCGGCGCGTCCTTCGCGAAGAAGCCGCCGTCGCCGGTGGAGGAGGGGTCCGAAGAATCCTCGTAACTCGCCGCCGCGAGCGCGGCGGGCGGCGTGTGAGGGCTATTTATTAGAGAGCCTACGCTACACGAACTCTGATGTGCTCTCGTAGAAACGAACGAACGAACGCGTTCTCGTCTCGTCGTCGTCGTCGTCGTCGTCGTCAGTCGAATCCGAAGCCGCCGCCGCCCTCGGCGCCTCGCAACAATCGCTTCTCCTCTTGGACCCAGTCCCCGCCGCCTCCCTTCGCCTGCCCGAACGCGCGCTTCTTCTTCTCTTTCTGGTTCCACGACTTGTGGCGCTTCTTCTTCGCGTCGTCCTCCTCGGCGGCGGCGGCGGCCAGCGCGTCGCGCGCCTCGCGTTCCAGCCGTCGTCGATTCCGGATCGCCTCTTCCCTCTCCGCGCGGTCGAGCTCCTTCCTCTTCCTGTTCTCCTCCGCGCTCGCGATCGCGCTCGCGCACGTCTCGTGCAGGCGTTCGTGCGTGATCGCCCTGAGCTCCTCGCGCGACATCGTGTCCCTCTCGTTGTCGCCCGCGCGCCCTCGACTCCACTGGAACGACCCCGCGTCCGCGTTCGCCTTCTCCGGGATCGTCAGCGCGCGCGCGCCCGCGTAGCCGTTCCTCTTCAGCGTCTCGTAATCGAGCTCCGGCGCCTTCGTCGTCGGGGGTTCCGCGGGCGTCTCCTCCTCGTCGCCGTCCGAGTCCGAGCCGGAGGGGAGCTCCCCGAGCGCGTCCATGTACGGCGCCATGGGTCGTCGGGCGCGGGCGAGATCTGAACGCCGACGCGAGGGATTATTTTATTTGCGAGTTCAGGAGCGCGCGAGCAATTTTTTGATCAGATCGCGGATGGATCGCCCTCAACCGCAAGTGCTGAAGGGTCCAAATGGACCCCCCCGATGTGTACATTAAAAAAACATTCCGGTCCTTTCCTTCCGTTCTCTCTCGCGTCCGTCCGTCGTCTTCTCTCACAGTCTCGTCTCGTCTCTTTCGTTCGTTCGCGCTCGCGACCGGCCGTCGTCGGCGTTTCTCCGACGGCGTTTCATCGTGTACAGCTGTGCGCGCGGCGTCCTCTCGCGTGATTCATTCATTCATCAGCGTCGAACGGCATCCGCGCCGATGGCGCCCTGCATCATCCCCATCCGCACGCTCGCCGCCGCGTCCGCCACCGCGCCCGGACCGCTCGGCACGAAGATCGTGTTGTTCCCCTTCGTCGTCCCCATCTCCTTCATCGTGTCGAAGTACTGCGTCTAAGGGTCGTTCCATACAAAGCGACGTCGGGGTGGAGTTGAAAGGCGTCAGATGGAGTTGAAAGTCAACGCGGGCGGGGATTGAACGCGAGGGACCCTGGGCGGAGAGAGAGGACGGCAAATGTCCTTAAGGATCGGCGTTCACCACGCCGACGCGGTCGTATGGGAACCAGTGTAAGGAAGAACGCACCATCATCATCATCTCCATCACTTGCCCCGCGTTGATTCCCTCGACGTCGGCGTGGAAGTGTATGACGCTCTCGCGCAGGCCGTTCATGATCGCCTGGCGCTGGCGCGCGATGCCGGTGCCCGCGAGGTACTTCGCCTCCGCGTCCGCCTCTGCGGCGGTGACGACCATGATCTTCTCCGCCTCGGCTTTATCCTGCGCGGCGACGCGGAGGCGCTGCGCGGCGTTTATCTCATTCATCGCGCGCTTCACCTTCTCATCGGGGGAGATGTCCGTCACGAGGGTCTGGATGATCGCGTACCCGAACTCGGTCATCGCCTTCTCGAGCATGGACTTGACCTCGACCGCGATCTCTTCTTTCGTCGTGAAGACGTCGTCGAGGTTGATGCGCGGCACCGTGGAGCGCACGACGTCGAAGATGTACGAGCGGATCTGCTCGCGCGAGTCGGTGAGCTTGTAGAACGCGTCGTACATGCGGCTGGCGTCCTTGAGGACCATGAACTGCGTGGAGACGATGATGGTCACGAAGACGTTATCCTTCGTCTTCGTCTCGACCGCGACGTCCAGGGAGCGGATGCGCGTGGAGATCTTCCCGGCGACGGCGTCGCCGATGCACGGGCAGACGCAGTGGCATCCGGGCTCGGCGAACTTGCGGAATTTCCCCCAGCGTTGAATCACCTCGACGGTGCCCTGCGAGACGCACGTCCACGGCGCGAGGCTGTCGCACATCGCGTCGTCGGCGTGTCGAAGAAGATGGAGGGTTTACGAGCGCGCTCGAGGAGGACGCGGTGGGTGCCGGGGTGGCGGTGCGCGTCGGAGTGCGTCAACGCGGGCCTCGGGGATCGCCCGATGACGTAATAATATGCCAGTGTGTCGTTGTCGACGTCACTTCACGCACAGCACCACAGCAGTCACGACCGCGCGACCAGACGCGACGTTCGACGACGACGAAACGTCGCGCCTCGTCGTCGCCGACGGGGCGGCACTCCGCCGCGCCCCCGAGGAAGACGACGCGCGCGCCGTCGCATCGCGCCGCACCGCGGAAGGATGGCGACGACGCGCGTCGGCGTCGCGACCGCGCTCGCGGCGCCCCGCGCGAGGACGCGCTCGACGCGACGCGCGCTCGTCGTCGTCGCGTCCGCGTCGTCGTCTTCGCGCGAGCGGAGACGTAATAAATATCTTCGATGTCAACTCCGCCCGCGAGCATCGAGCGCGAGCGTTCGCCTCGCCGCGCGCGCGACGACCGACGCGTCCCCCGGCGCGTCGCGCGGCGCGTCGTCGTCGTCGCCGTCGCCGTCGCCGGCGCCGCCGCCGCCGCTCGCGCGCTCGATGCTCCACCTCGCGAAACGCGCGGCGCTCGCCGTCGCCGTCGCCGTCGCGCTCCTCCTCGGCGGCGCGTCCAGCGCGCTCGCGGGCGCGCCGTTCCACGGGGTACCCGTCGTCTCCTCCGCGAGCGCGACGACCATTGCCACCGGCACCGCGGTCGCGAACCTCCCGATCGCCATCGGCGACGTGGGGTCGATGGGCGGGCTGACCCCGGACGCGTGGGGGTTACCGTACCGAGGCAAGTCAGCGGCGATGGGGTTGTTCATGGCGTCTGCGGGGGTCGTGATGCGGATGCTCGTCAACGTCGTCGTGATATACGCGATATACACGTACTGGATGGGGGACGAGGACTCGCCGGGGAGGGGCGGGAAGGGCGGGTTCGGGGCGTGATGAGCGGCGCGGCGCGGTCGACGACGTTTGGATCTCGCCGCCGCCGCCGCCGCCGCCGCCGCCGCAGCCGATGTGAAATTATTGTTGTATGAGTAACTGATGAATGCCACCTGTATGATCAATATTGTATGCGCGTGTGTTATTTATGATAAGTACGTGTACTGTACTGTTCCACCACCCCCCGTCCCCTCGCGAACGAAACGCGACGTGATCGCGACAACGTACTGTACGTCGCCTCTCATCAGTCCAAAAACATCGGCGCCATGACGAGCGTGATGGTCGCGAGCATCTTGATCAACACGTGAATGCTCGGCCCCGCGGTGTCCTTGAAAGCGAACGTCGGGGTGGAGTTGAAAGGCGTCAGATGGAGTTGAAAGGCGTCGAGGGCGGGGATTGAAACCGTGGCGTGGGCGGAGAGATGCGCCGGGCAAAGTCCTTAAGAAACGGCGTTCACCACGCGAACGCGTTCGTATGGGAACCAGTGTATAGAACGCACCTTGAACGGATCCCCCACCGTGTCCCCCGTCACCGCCGCCTTGTGCGCGTCGCTCCCCTTGCCGCCGTGCGCGCCCGTCTCGATGTACTTCTTCGCGTTATCCCACGCCCCGCCCGCGGTGTTCAAGAAGAGCGCCATCAGAATCCCGCTCACCGTCGCGAACATCAACATCCCGGCCACCGCCTTGGCGCCGAGGAGCTCCTGAGGGCCATTCCATACAAAAATAGTTCACCGGTCAGTTGAAAGGGACCCACGCGATCAAGTGTTGAAACCGGGCGATGGGTGAAACACGTTTGTATAGAACGCACCTGAGAAGTCGCCGCGCCGACGCATCGGAAGACGACGCCGACGAGCACGGGCGCGGACACCGCGAGCACGCCGGGCTTGATCATCTCTCTGAGCGCGCTCGCGGCGACGATGGAGACGCATCGCGAGTAGTCGGGCTTGACCTCGCGCGTCATGATGCCCGGGTTTTCGGCGAACTGTCTTCGGACCTCGGTGACGACTTCCTGCGCGCTTCTTCCGACGGCGGTGCACGCGTACGCGGTGAAGAGATACACGGTCATCGACCCGACTGAGGGCCGTTCCATACAAAAACAGTTCTCCGGTCAGTTGAAAGGGACCCACGCGATCAAATGTTGAAACCGGGCGATGGGTGAAAAACTTTTGTATAGAACGCACCTAACCCGGCGACGAACACCTCCGGAATAGCGATGTCCACGACCTGGAACGGCACGCCCGTGAACGCCTGGACTTCGTCCATGTACGCGGAGAAGAGTAAAAACGACGCCAACGCGGCGCTGCCGATGGCGTACCCTTTCGTCGTCGCCTTGGTCGTGTTCCCGACGCTGTCGAGCTGATCCGTGATGTCGCGGACGCTCTCCGGTTGATCGGACATCTCCACGATCCCCCCCGCGTTGTCCGCGATCGGCCCGAAGACGTCCATGGTCAGCACGTACGCCGCAGTCGACAGCATCCCCATCGTCGCCACCGCCGTGCCGAACAGACCCCCAGTCGGCGCGGAGGTCTGCGCGTCGACCAACCCGGCGGACTGAGGGGCGTTCCATGCGAGCGAACGTCGGGGTGGAGTTGAAAGGCGTCAGAAGCGGAGTTGAAAGGCGTCGAGGTGTGTCGGGATTGAAAGCGAGGGACCCTGGGCGGAGAGACACGTCGAGAAAAGTCCTTAAGGATCGGCGGTCACCACGCCAACGCGGTCGTATGGGGACCAGTGTAAGATAGAACGCACCTGCCCGACCCAGTACGCGCTCACGATGGCGACGGAGATGACCAGCACCGGCGCCGCGGTGGACTCCAGCCCGACGCCGACGCCGGCGATGATGTTCGTGCCGTGTCCCGTCGTGCTCGCCTCCGCGATGACGCGCACGGGCGGGTACGCGTAGTCCGTGTAGTACTGCGCGATGAACACGAACGCGTACGCGCACGCGGTGCCGATCATGCCGCAGACGAAGAACGAAAACCTATACAAGCGAACGTTGGGGTGGAGTTCATAGGCGTCAGGTGGAGTTGAAAGGCATCGAGGGCGGAGATTGAAAGCGAGGGGTGGGCGCAGAGACACGCCGGGAAAAGTCCTTAAGGATCGGCGTTCACCACGCGAACGCGGTCGTATGGGGACCAGTGTATAGAACGCACCACGCCCCCGGCGCGCTCTCGACGTACAACATCGCGCGCGTGGCGATCAAAAATCCAACCACGGAGAGCGCCAACGCGACGCGGTAGCCGCCTTTTAGCACCTCGTACGGGTGCTGGCTCGCGCCGCCCCCGGAGCTGGAGGACCCGACGGACATGATCCCCGCGGCGGAGACGACGCAGTCGAGCGCGTGGACGACGAGAGGGAAGAGGATGAAGCCCGTCGCGTCCGGGATGTTGGCCTTCTTCGCGAGCGCGCCGCCGAGGATCATGGCGCTGAGGGTCGTTCCATACGAGCGAACGTCGGGGTGGAGTCGAAAGGCGTCAGATGGAGTTGAAAGGCGTCGAGGGCGTGGATTGAAAGCGAGGGGTGGGCGGAGAGATGCGGCGGGCAAAGTCCTAAGGAACGGCGTTCACCACGCCGACGCGGTCGTACGGGGACCAGTGTATAGAACGCGCCTGATCACCTCCGCGGCGATTGACTCGAAGAGGTCGGCGCCGCGCGCGCTGCAGTCGCCGACGTTATCCCCGACGAGGTCCGCGATCACCGCGGGGTTCCTCGGGTCGTCCTCTGGGATCCCAGCCTCGACCTTGCCGACCAGGTCCGCGCCGACGTCCGCGGCTTTCGTGTAGATGCCGCCGCCCAGCTGCGCGAAGAGCGCGACGAACGACGCGCCGAAGCCGTACCCCACGAGCATCAACGGCATGTCGTGCATCGACGCGCCGTTTGGTCTTCCCACGTCGTAGACGTACGCGAAGATGGTGAACAGAAACGACACGCCGAGCACCGTGGACGCGACGACGACGATCGCCGCGAATCCTCCGGCTCTGAGCGCGACTTGCAGCGCCTCTCTCGCGCCGCGTCGCGCGGCGCCGGCGACGCGGACGTTGGCTCTCACGCTGACCCACATTCCGACGTATCCGCTCGCGGCGCTGCACGCGGCGCCGAGGAGGAAGGCGATCGTGGTCAGCACCGCGAACGTCTGCCGCGTGAACCCGGCTTCCGTCTGTTCCTTCGTCAGCGCCCTCGCGCTGTAGGTCAGATAGATGACTGAGGGTCGAGGGTCCATACGAGCGAACGTCGGGGTGGAATTCAAAGGCGTCAGGTGGAGTTGAAAGGCGTCGAGGTGTGTCGGGATTGAACGCGAGGGACCCTGGGCGGAGAGAAACGCCGGGAGAGAAAGTCCTTAAGGATCGGCGTTCACCGCGCGAACGCGGTCGTATGGGGACCAGTGTGAATAAACGGACGCACCCAACGCGAGCGCGACGGCGAGCTTGGCGATGAGCGCGTACTGCACCGCGAAGAAGCCGTCCGCGCCCTCGCGGATCGCGTCCGAGATCTCGCGCATGTCCGGCGTGCCCTCGTCTTTGGACAGCACCCAGCGCGCGAGGAACGCCGCGAACGCGAGCGACGCGAAGCACGTCGCGAGGACGAGCGCGATCGTGTAGGATGTGCGCGACGCGAGGAGAAAGAGGGCGAGCGCGGCGACGGCCGCGACGGTCCGCAGCGTCGTTCGGTCCGCGTTCGAGACGTCGCGGACGAGCTGCGACGGACGGGCGGCGAAGGCGGTGGAGGAGGAGGAGGAGGAGGAGGAGGAGGAGGAGAGGGCGCGTCAGGGGATGGATGACGATGACGATGAGGAGGAGGAGGAGGAGGAGGAGGGGGCGAATTCGCGTCGTTCTGTTCGTTCGGACGACGCCGCGTGGTGATGACGCACCTGGGCGAAGACCGCGGGGAGGCCCGACGTCGCGGCGTTCTGCGCGCGCGCGTACCGGCGCGGCGGCGCGGCGTACCCGCCCTCCATGTCCGCGATATCGATCGTCGCCGCGGTCATCGGGAGCCCGGACTGGCTCCCGGTGCGCGGGATCCGTAACGACGCCATCGCGGGCGCGGTGCGGGGGTTTCTGAGGAGGATTCATTCTTCGCTGACGCGGAGTCGACAACCTAACAACACCGCTGGCTCCTACTCCTCGACCATCGCTCAACGCTATCGCTACGCCTACCGCGCGTCGTCGCCGTCGCCGTCCTCCTCGCCTAAATCCTCCACTCACTTCCTCGTCTCCGCCTCACGGATGCAACGCCGCGAACGCGCGTCGCGCGGCGGCGACGCTCTTCTCCGCGGCGTCGCCCCGCACCTCTCCCCTGGCCACCATCCGCTGATGCCATCGCTCGCTCCACGCCTCCCCCGCGCGACTCGCGCTCCGCAGCGTCCCGCCCACGTGCACGACGCGCACCGCGACCGATCTCCCGCCCACGTCCCTCAGCATCGTCAGCGCGCCCCACACTTCGCGGTGCGCGTCGCGCGCGCACCGCAGAAGCAGCAGCGAGACGCGAGGATCCCAGCGCTTCACGCTGACGGCGCCGCGCGCGACGCCCGCGGCGACGTCGCCAAAGTTGAGCGCGTGCGACTGCCGCAGCGCGCCGAGCACGACCGCGTCCGTCGTGGCGTCCGCGTCGACCCTGCCGTCGTGGAACCGCAGCTCCGCGAGGAGGTACCGGTTCTTGAACCGAACCATCCCGCGCGCGCGCGTCGCGACGCGATGACGCGACGCGACGCGCGGCGGCGAGTGATGAAAGGACGACGCGCGCGCGTTTGGTTTTTTCTGTGAGCGCCGAAAACTTTTTTTGGTCTTCCAACGAACCCCTAGAGCTAGAATAATACCTCCGCTACGCCTATCGTCGGACCCCGCGCCCGCCGCCGCTCACGCGGCGGCGGCAGCCTCGGGACCCCCCCCACCCCCACCCCCGTTACTCTTCTTACCTTCCCCGCCGCCGTCGTAGCTCCCGATCCCCCCCACGCCCATCCTCTCCGACGCGAGCTCGAACAGAAAGTACGTCGCGGCGAGCTGCGGAAAAATCTTGACGTACGCCGCCGTCGTACCGAGCCACAAGCTCGAGATCCCCTCCTTCCTCGCGATGCTCCTCAGACACTCCAGCGCGCTCCCGTACAGCACCGGGCGCCCGCCTATGCCCTGGACGCGCATGCGCGTCATGACCACCTCGAGCGGCATCGTCACCGTCATCGAGCAACACGCGCCGACGCCGCCGAGGACGCCTTTTTCAAACGGGGTCGCCTTTCGCCCGCCGACGCACCGTTCGCGGTACGCCGCGGTGAGCGTGTCGTAGAGCGTGAACCCGAGCGCGGTGCCGACGACGTCCGCGACGAGCGTCGGGCCGAGGCCTTTGTAGAACGCCCTTATTCCGCCTTGCTCGAGATAGAGCTGTTTGGCCGCGGCGACGACGCCGCCGCGTAAGCCGCCGCTGACGGCCATCTGAGGGTCGTTCCATACGAGCGAATGTCGGGGTGGAGTTGAAAGGCGTCAGTTGAAGTTGAAAGGCGTCGAGGGCGGGGATTGAAAGCGAGGGTTGGGCGTGGAGAGACGGCGGCAAAAGTCCTTAAGGATCGGCGTCCACCACGCCGACGCGGTCGTATGGGAACCAGTGTATAGAACGCACCTGAGACTTGAGCGCGTCGAGCGGGTAACACGCCGCGGTGGACACGGCGCCCGCGACGCCGCCGGACGCGAGCCGCTCCGCGAGCGTCAACGAGTACTTGTCGCCCGCAGTGCTCGTAACGCCTTTTGATGAGGCGTTATTAGTGTTGTTGTTCTGCTGCTTTTTCGCGCGCGTCAACTGCTCCTTGAGCCCGTTGAAGATTGCAAACTGCAACGCGTTGCACGGCAAAACCTTCATCACGCTCACCGCGTTTCCTCTGAACAACCCCGCGACGCCTTCGCCGCGGAACACCTTCGCGCAGACGCCCATCACGGTCTTCCGGCTGCCGCGCTGCCCGCACCATCCCGTATCTTGGATGATCGTTCGCGCGCGGTCGAGCGGCGCGACGAGCGTCTTGGCGCACGCGCCCGCGAACCCCCCCGCCAAGAGTTGAAGCCTCGGCTGCGCGCGCGGGCGCTCGTGCGCCTTCATAGGGGTGGCGCTGACGAGCCAGCACCACGACGCGTTCTTCGACCGCAGCTGCGTCCGCGGGAGCAGCGCGGCGTACCGTCGGAAGTTCTGGTACGAGATACTAACGCACGCTGCTTTCGAGGATCCGTCATCGCCGCCGCGCGTCAACAGACGGATCATGGCCTCCGCGTCCTCCGCCGTCGCGGTGTCGACGCCGACGGCCCGCACGGCCGTCAACGCCTCCGCGGAAGTCATCGTCCGCGGCGGGTGCGACGGCGGCGACGGCGACGGCGACGCGACGCCCCCGGGGGTCACCGCTCCGGCTTTCGTCGCGATGTCGTCCCACGCGGCGCGGTACGATCGCTCCGATCGACGCGCCGCCGCGCGGAACGAATCGACCGCGACGAATCCCGAGCTCGCGTCGCCGCCGAACTGCGCGACGAGTTCGTCGACGTACGCGGCGTCGTGGCCCGGGAGGTTGAGCGCGAGGCACGCGGCGGCGATGTCCGCGCGCGTGATGTGGCCTGGACGAGGATGTGGCGGGGAGCGCGACGATGAGCGGTCGACGGCGGGTGTGTGGGTGGTTGAAAAAGGGAGGGTTGCGATGAAAGGGTTGCGGACAGGAGCAACACGTGGTCGCGCGAACGGACAGATTTGGGCGTCCGCGTCCGAGGCGCGCGCGAGGGCGTCGCGCGCGCGCGCGCGGACGCGAGACGCGCCGACGCGGGTCGCGTCGATCGTATCGCGCGCGCACCTGCTCCCTCGGGGACGCCGAGGAGGTCCGTCTCCGGTGGCGGCGCGCGCGCGACGCGCGGGGACGCGCGATCGATGCGCGTCGACCGCGTCGACGCGGACGCGACCGGCAGCTTTTTTTTTCGCCCTCGCGCGAGCGCGTCGCGCGCGAAGTACGCGTTGATGAACGCGCGCGGCGCGCCGCCTCGCGGCCGCGGCGGCGCGAGCATCGGCGCCGGTCTCGACGCGACCATCGTCGAGAGAAGAGGGGCGAACCGCCGTGCGGCGGTGACGTTCCGCGGCGTGCCGTCGAGAAGTGATGAGTGGTTAGAGATCGCGCCGTTCGGACACGAAATGAAAATATTCCTTTTCACCTCTTTTCGTGTTCATGACTGATTGCCCATACGAGTACGGGTACGTCGTCGCATACTTTCCCGGGAGGCATTCCGGAAAAAGCGCAACGCAGCAGGCAGAACAGGGAGATCACGATCGGTAAGTTTATGGTCAGGGTGGTAACAACGACCGACTGGCACTCGCCGTCCGCGCGGGCTTCCCCCCCGGCGTCGTCGTCGCGTCGAGAACGCGCGGACACGACGTCCGCGCCGCCTCTCGCGATGAGGTCGTCGACGGCCGGCGTCGCGTCGTCGTCGTCGTCGACGACGACGCCGCGCGCGCGAATGCGCGCGCGCGTCCGCCAGCCTTCGCCGCGGACAGATCCTCGCCCGCGCGCGACCGCGCGACGCCACGCCTCGTCCTCCGCGTCGTCCAAGCCCATGCCGTCGTACGAGGACCTCCTGCACGCGAAAGCCGAGGCCGTCTGCGACAAGTTCTTCGACGCGCTCGTGAAGGACGACGTCGCGCTCGAGGTGATCCCGTCGCCGAAGCGCGCCGGGCATCGCGGCCGATGTCGCTTCGCGATTGTCGCCGACGCCGCCGACCTCGACGCCGCGGACGCGCGCGGCCGCGCGCCGCTTCGATGCGCCGTCTACGAGAAGGGCGAGGTCCGCGCGCTGCGATGCGAGGACGCGGCGGGGGTTCGAAGGGAGTTCCCCGCGGCGTCCGACGCGATCGCGCGGACGATGCCCGGGTTTACGCGCGCCGTGAATTGCGCGCGCGGCGGCGGCGGCGACGGCGGCGACGACGGCGAGTCCGCGCTCACGCGGGGGCTCGCCGCGGCGGAGTTCCTCGCCAGCCGCGACGGCGAGGTCGTCGTGACGCTGTGGTACGCGGGGAACGCGGGGAATCTGAATGGTGACGTGGCCGAATCAAAAGGTGCCACGTGGGATACGTGGGCGAACGAGCTGATGGCGAGCGTTCCCGGCGTCGTCGGCGTCGTCGCGCGTCGAAGAGGGCGAAAGCCGACGACGAACTCGACCGGCCGCGACCACGTCTGGGAGACGATGACGATCCCGAGCTTCGCGACCGACGAAGAGATTGATGAAACCGGGGCCGGGGGCGACGCCGGTCGAGCGAAAGCGAAAGCGAAAACGCCGCCGCTCGAACCGCCGGGGCTGCGGTCGACGCTGACGTACAAGCAGGTGGAGGGGGCGTTTTCGTGCCCGAACGGCGACGTCGCCGAGGAGACGGCGAGGTGGCTCAGGCGCGTGTTCCTCACGCTGGTCCCCGTGCGACCGCGTCCGCGCCGCGGTGAACGCCGTTCCCTGAGGACTTCGCCCGCGTGCGTTTCTTCGCGCCCACCGCCCCTCGGTTTCGATCCCCCTTTCAACTCCGACTGACTGACGCCTTTCGACTCCGCCCCGACGTCGCTTCGCGCGGACCCTCGACCCTCAGAAGCGTCGTGACCGAGATCGCGTACGAGCGGATCGGCGCGGGGAAAACGAAAAACGGTTTCAGCGAAGACGTTACCGAGTTCCCGACGCTCTCGTCGCTCACGGAGCTGTACTGCGGCAACGGGAACCACACGTGTTCGCTCGCGCCGTATTTCGACGAGGTGTCCGCCGTGGAGATCGACCCGCGGCTGTGCGCGGCGGCGGCGGAAAATTTTAAAGCCAACGGCGTCGCGAACGCGACCGTGCGCGCGCTCCCCGCGGAGGCGTTCGCCGCGGAAACAGAAGGAGAAGACGCGAAAAAGCTAAACGGCGCGTTGAACACCGAGGGCGTCGTGCTCGTGGACCCTCCGCGCGCGGGGCTGGACGAAAAGACGTTGGCGTTGGCGAGAAAGTTTCGATCGATAATATACATCGCGTGCGACTTCAACGCGCTCCATCGCGACTTGGAGGAGCGCGGGTTGCGACGGACGCACGTCGTGAAGGAGCTAGCGCTGTTCGATCACTTCCCGTTCAGCGCGTTCGTGGAGGTCGCGGTGCGGTTGGAGCGGCGGGGGGATTCGTAGGATACTGACCGTAGAAATAAAAAATATGTGGAAGTCGAAAAGGTTAACCGGAGTTCGACCTCTCGAGGCGCCGCCGCCGCAGCGCGCGCGCGTCGTCCTTCTCTCGTCGTCGAAACGTTCGTGCGTCGCCGGTGAAAGGCAACGGCGCGCGCGGCCGCGGCGCGACCGCCGCGCGCACGCAGTGCTCACCCGCGCGCGCGGCGAGCGCGAGCCCGACGCGGAAGACGACCATGCGTCGTCGTCGTCCTCCTCCTCCTCCTCTCGCGTTCGCCCTGCTCGGTGTCGCGTGCGTCCTCGTCGTCGCGCGCGGCGCCGCCGCGGACGACGACCGCGGCGACGGCGACGGCGACCGCGAGCGGCGAAGAGGCCAACGCGCGTACGCGACGCCGCCGCGGACGCGCGCGCTCGACCCCGCGCCCTTCGCCTCCGCGTCGTACTCGTACGCCTCCGCGTATTATCCGACGCCGACGCCGACGTCCGCCGAGCGAGCCGCCGCGGCCGCCGCGCTCGCGCGCGGCGCCGTCGCCCTCGGCGGCGCCGCGTTCGACGCCGTCGGCGCCGCGCTCGAGCTCGGCGCGGACGAGCTGGCGTGGATGATGGACGCGAACGACGACGACGACGAAGGGCTGTTCGCGACGACCTGGGGGGACGCGGACGCCGACCTCGCGGGCGCGATACGCGCGTTCGCGTCGTCAGAGGCGGCGGCGTCGCGGGCGTCGCCGCCGCCGCCGCCGCCGCCGCCGCCGCGACCGTCCGGCGCGCCGCGCGAGGACTTCCGCGCGGCGGGACCGTACGAGGTCGACTCGCACGACGTCGCGTTCTACGACGACGGCGACGGCGGCGGCGCGTGGCCGCGGCGCGTGCGCGCGCTGGCGTTCAAACCGGTCGCCTCGATCGACGCGCGCCCCGGCTCTCATCGCGGCCCGTTCCCGGTCGTCGCGTTCGCGATCGGGTGGAACAACTGGGCGTCGCGGTACGCGCGCACGCTCGCGCACCTCGCGTCGCACGGGTTCGTCGTGCTCGCGCCGACGACCGCGGACAGGGACGTGCGTCCGGGAAGGCGCGTTCGCATTCACACCGGTCCCCGTACGACCCCGTTCGCGTGGTGGACGCCGTTCCTTAAGGACTTTCTCTCCCGGCGCGCGTCTCTCTCCGCCCATCACCCCTCGGTTTTAATCCCGAGGCACGCGCCTCGACGCCTTTCAACTCCAACGCTTCTGACGCCTTTCAACTCCACCCCGACGCCTTTCGACTCCGCCTCGAAGTTTCTCCTCGCTCGCGTCGGACCTCCGCGCGTGCCTCGAGTGGGCGCGGCGCGAGACCGACCGTCCGTCGTCGCCGCTGTACGGTCTCGTCGATCGCGAACGGTCTGGGCTGTTCGGGCACTCCAGCGGCGCGGGCGCGGCGGCGCGCGCGACGATGGACGTCAAGCGCGGCGGCGGCGGCGGCGGGGGGCGCGGGACGCACCTCAGGCGCGTTCTATGTCACACTGGTCCCCGTACGACCGCGTCGGCGCGGTGAACGCCGTTCCTTAAGGACTTTTGCCCGGCGCATCTCTCCCCCCACCCCTCGCTTTCAACGCCCGCCATCGATGCCTTTCAACTCCACTTCTGACGCCTTTGCACTCCACCCCGATATCATCGCTTCGTATGGACCCTCGTACCCTCAGAGCGCTCGCGGGCTTGGGCATCTTCTTTCAATCCGCTGGGGTGGACGTCGCCGAGTTCGCGCGCGTCCGCGACGTCGCGGTGCTGCAGCTCGCGGGCCAGCGCGACTTCCACACGACCCCGCGCGCGGTCGCGCAGGCCGTGGACGCGATGACGAACGCGTCGCCGTGCGCGGTCGCGGTCATTCGCCGCGGCACGCACTGCTTCTTGGACGAATTCGAGGAGTACGCGTACCCGCCGTCGCAGGCGCGTTCTATTTCGCACTGGTCCCCGTACGACCGCGTTCGCGTTGTGAACTTCATTCCTTAAGGACTTTGCCCGCGCGCGCGAGATCTCTCTGCGCGCGCCAACCTCCCGGTTTCAAAGCTCGACCGCGATGCGTTTCGACTCCGCTTCTGACGCCTTTCGACTCCGCCCCGACGTCGCCTCGCGCGCGCGATTAACGACCGACTCCTCCGCAGTGCGACGCGGCGAGAAACGGCCGCGCCGACGCCGCGACGGCGGGGCGGTTCGACGTGTTGACGCCCGAGTCGCAGCTGGCGCTGACGCGCGAGTACCTCGCCGCGTTCTTCGTCGGCGCGCTGGGGCGGACCGGCGGCGGCGGGAGGGACGCGAAGAGAGTCGTCGAGGGACGGCGGCGGGTGTGGGGCGACTCGGGCGCGTTCTATCTCACACCGGTCCCCATACGACCGCGTGGTGAACGCCGTTTCTTAAGGACTTTCTCTCCCGGCGTTTCTTTCCGCCCACGCCACGGTTTCAATCCCCGACAACGACGCCTATCAACTTCAACTGACGCCTTTCAACTCCACCCCGACGTCGCTTCGCGTGGACCCTCGACCCGCAGCGGAGGACCTCCGAAGCGGTCGCGGACGGCGCGGGCGGGACGCGCGGTTCGAGGTCGAGATCGACGACGACGACGCGAGCGGCGCGGGCGTGCCGTACGACGTGACGCTGCGGACGGACCCGCGGATGTCGCGCGTGGAGGTCACGCTGTGAGGGGGCGGGGGAGAGAGAAGAAACGCGCTTGCTTTCGCGCGCGTCATCATCGTCAGTAACGCTTTAACTCTCGACGAATAAAACCTGAACCCTGAAAACTCGACTACGTGTCCTCGCCGCGTCGTCGTCAGTCCTCGCGTCGCCGCGATGGAGCTCCTCCCCGAGGTCGACGCCGCGGTGGACGCGCTGTTCTGGGACCGCGACGACGCCGTGAAGCGCCTCGCCGCGCTGCGGACGCTCGAAAAAGCCGTCGCGTGCGAAGGTGCGCGGAACGGAATCTCGCCCGCGGCCGACTCGTCGTCATCGTCATCGTCGCCACGCAGTTGTTAACCCGCGCCCGCCCCCTCCCCCGCCTCATCACAGCGTGCGTCGAGGAGATCCGACGCCTCGGCGGCGTCGACCGCCTCCGCAAGGCGCTCGCGTGGGACGACCCGGACGCGGTCGACCTCGCCGCGTCCGTCATCGCCGCGTGCTCGGGCTCCACCGCGAGGCCGCCCGGCGCGCGCGCGTTTCGCTTCGGCAATAAGCACGAGATCGTCGTCCGCGAGTGCGACTACGTGGAGGGCGGGCTCGGGTGGCGCGTCTGGGCGTCCGCGGTCGTGATGTGTCGCGACATGCTCGAGCGCGCGGAGGAGTTGAAGATACGAGGCGCGGACGTCCTGGAGGTGGGCGCGGGGTGCGGCGTCGCGGGCTTCCTCGCCGCGCGTCTCGGCGCCAAGTCGGGTGCGTTCGTGTTCCAACTACAGTACACGTTTGTTTTTCACCCATCCCGTAGGTTCAGTATTTGATCGCGTCCCCTTTCAACTGACCGATGAACGAATGTTTTTTTACGCACGGCGTCGCCCTCCGCAGTGACGTTCACGGATTACCTCCCCGGCGTCCTCGCGAACCTCCGCGCGTCCGTCGCGATCAACGAGGCGAACGCCCCGATGAACGACCCCGATCGATCGTCGCCGTGCGCGTTCAGCGTGCGGCACCTCGAGTGGCTGAGCGCGGTGCCCGGTCTCGTTGAGAAGACGAAACGCGTCGGCGGCGGCGACGGCAGCGCGTGCGCGTTCGCCGACGCCGCCGCCGCCGCCGCCGCCGCCGCCGCGGACGCGCTCGATCCGCGCGCGACGTTTAAGCTCATCTTGGGCAGCGACGTGTGCTACGAGGACCCGCTGCCGCTCGCGCTCGCGAGGACGCTCAAGGCGCGTTCTCCTTACAGTGGTCCCCGTACGACCGCGTCGGCGCGGTGAACGCCGATCCTTCAGGAGTTTCTCTCCCGGCGCATCTCTCCGCCCGCCCCACGCTTTCAATCCCGACACACCTCGACGCCTTTCAACTCCGCTTCTGACGCCTTTCAACTCCACCCCGACATTCGCCGCTTCGTATGGACAATTACCCCAAGGCGCGGCTCGCGCCAGGCGGGCTCGCGTGGTTGGTGCTTCCGGTGCGCGACTGGCCGGGGGAGAATGGGATGACGACGATCGAGCGGCTCCGCGACGAGTGCGTCGAGTCGGGGCTGCGCGCGGTCGTCGAGCGCGCGCCGGATCTGGAGGAGCACGAGTACGACGGCGGGACGATGGTGAAACACGACGGCGGAATGGTCCACGTGTGGATCAGAGCGTAGCGTAGGTACGGAAGAGGGACGTAGTCTAGTCGTAGAATAGTCTTGCGGGAAATAAATGAAAAAATTAATACTAACGCAAACAGCCAGAGCTCCCGAGGCGACCACGGCGTCGTCCTCGCGCCGCGTCCGTTCTCTCTCTCTCTCTCTCTCTCTCTCTCTCTCTCGCGTCGCATCAGTACCCGTCCCCCTCGTGGAGCTGCTTGAAGTACTCCTTGTACAGCTCCTCCCTGACCGCGCTGACTTCGATCGCGTACGCTCGGTACCCCTCGAGCTTCTTCCACTCCCTCTTCGTCAACCTCGCCTCGCGGCCTCTCCACGCCTTCCGCTTCATCACCTGCAGCGTGACGTACGCGACGGAGAGCCACGCCATGGCGTACAGCCCGCCGTTCTCGACGCCCATCCACCGCTTCGCCGCGACCTCGCCCTCGGCGACCTCCGTCGGCAAGAGCCCCGTCATGACCGCTCGCGCCACGGGGAACTCGTCCTCGCTCAGTCGCGGCAACGCGTGCACGCGCATCGCAACCGCGACGGGTCGCAGCGCGAACGTCTCGAGCGTCGCGACGTACGCCAAGAGAGAGAGGACGAGCCAGCCTGCGAACATGAACGCCCAGCCTTTGATGGTCCGCGCCGCGTTGTCTTTTTTCCGCCGCGCGTCCTCCTCGCCGCGCGCGTCGATCGCCTTGACGATCTTCGCGCAGTCGTCCTTCATCGTCGTCAAGTTCTTCTGCACCGTGAGACGAATCGCCTTGTCCACGTCCTCGCACACCTCCTCGATCGCGTTCGGTATCGGCACCGCGAGGTCGTCCCTCGGGAGGTAGATGGTCGGGAGTTTAAACGCGTGGCTGTTCTTGATCCGGCCGGCGAGGTTTTGCGTGATTTGAATGAGGACGCGTTGACGATCGTGCTCCTTCTCCACCTGGTCCGCCTTGGACATGTAATACGCGAGCTTCTCCGCGTGCTTCTCGTTTAAACGCTCCACCGCGGTCATCGTTCGCTTGCACAGCGCCTGCCCGATCGGGTCGAAGAAGCACAGGATGAGGTCGACGTGATCCGCGAGCCACGCGATGCTCTCGACGACGTCAAACTGCGATGAAGCGACGAATGTCGGGGTGGGTGGTGAGTTGAAAGGCGCGTCAGGGGTGGAGTTGAAAGGCGTCGAGGGTGACGATTGAAACCGTGGAATGGGCGGAGAGATGGCACCGGGAGAGAAAGTCCTTAAGGAACGGCGTTCACAACGCGAACGCGGTCGTATGGAGACCAGTGTGAGGACTAGGACGCACCGGGTATTCCATCTCGCCGTCCACCAGCCCGGGGGTGTCCACGAAATCCACGCACGCGAAGTTCCGGTCCTTGGACGTGGATATCTCCGTGAAGACGTTCTCCTCCACGCCCTTGAACTCGCGCAGGCCGCCGATGTGGTCGTAGAACGCGAACGTGGCGTCGCCCTTGAGAGTCTCTCGCTGATGAGCGCGATGTCCATACGAGCGAACGTCGGGGTGGAGTTCAAAGGCGTCAGTTGGAGTTGAAAGGCGTCGCGGTGTGTCGGGATTGAACGCGAGGGGTGGGCGGAGAGATGCGCCGGGCAAAGTCCATAAGGATTGGCGTTCACCACGCGAACGGGGTCGTATGGGGACCAGTGTGAGAAGGAGAACGCGCCTTCCTGCCGCTGGTGACGTAGGTGAAGCCTCGCGTCTCGATGGCCACGCCCGTCGTCTGCACGGACTCGCCGACGTACCAGTTGATGAACGAGCTCTTCCCCGCGGAGTGGTTCCCCACGATCATGACGTTGACCTTCTTGCGCGGCTTCCACACGCCCTGGACGTTCAACAGCGGATCGTGCGCGATCTCGAGGAGGCCGATGGTGCCACCCTCGGCGTCGTCCGCGCACAAGCCCTTCTCGTACAGCTCGTGGATGCGCCGGAGGATCTTCTCCTGCGATGCGTTGCGCGCGGCGACGAACGACGCGGGGGAGGGCGCGGGGGAGGGGGACGGGGGCGGCGTCAGCGAGGGACGCGACGCGAGAAGGATGAGATCTGATGATGACATCGCGACGCGCCGCGTGCCGATCGAGATCTCGCGCGAGACGACAGGAACGAACGAACGAACGGACGCGGGGCCCGCGGTCGACGCGACGCGCACCGTGGAGCTCATCCCGAGCGCGTCCGCGTCGTTTTGCGTCTCGCGCTTCTTGTTCTTGTTCGCCATCCCGATGCGCGGCGTGCGAGTGGCGCGCTGGCGGGAGGGACGGACGGACCGTCGCGCGTCACGCGTCATCGAGGAGAAGGAGGAGCGCGAAGTTTATTTCCTGGCGGGAGTTTTCCGTTGACGCGCGGCCGAACAGAACCGCTCGTCACAAATTGGCGCGCGCGCCCGCCACGATGGCTGACCTCGACACCCCCACCGGCAAGGCGCGCGCGCTGGGCTTCCTCGCGCTCGCGCAGGTCATCTTCTTCAAGATCCTCGGCGCGGTCAAGGCGCTGTACGATCGCTCGTCGCCGTGGAGGCTCCTGATCGACCCGCGGAAGTTTTCGTGCCCGGAGGGGCTCGGCGACGCGCTGAATCGATTCCGACGAAACGCGAACGACTTCGGGTACAACTACGCGTTCTTATGCGTGGTCGCGAGCATCCTGTGCGTGATCACGTCGCCGTTCTCGGTGTTCATCATCGCCGCGCTGACGATGGCGTGGGGTTACGTCATGTGCGCGCTCGGTCTTCCCTCCTCCTCGTTCGTTCGCACGTCGAGCGTTCGTTCGTTCTTCAAATCGTCGTCGTCGCGGTGGCGTCGTTCGTCTTTCTTTTCTTTTCGGACCGGGATTCGATCTCCTCGCCCCGCGCCACCCCGCCGCCTCCTCCCCGCACCCCCACCCCGAATCCCTACCCAAAACCCTAAAAACCCCTCCCCCGAACCCTGACCAGGTACGTCCGCGCGTCGGACTTCCACTTCAACGGGTACGTGTTCAACCTCCGCGCGCAAGGCGTCCTGACGTTCCTCGCGTCGTTCCTCGTCCTCGTCGTCTTCACCGACGTGTCGAGCACGCTCATTCAGGCGCGTCCTCCCTCCCTCCTCACACTGGTCCCCGTACGATCGCGTCCGCGTTGTGAACGCCGTTTCCTTAAGAAGAACTTGAACTTTCTCTCCCGTCGCGTCTCTCCGCCCACCACCCCACGCTTTCGATCCCGACGCGCCGCGACGCCTTTCGACTCCACCCCTGACGCCTCACGACTCCGCCCCGACGTTCGCTCGTATGGACAATTACCCTCAGACGTGGACCGGCGGCGTGTTTACGTGCGTCGCGCACGCGTGCGTTCGAAACCCGGAGCCGCGCGCGATGAACGACGTCGGAGGAGACGGCGGGGAGGGCGGCGGAGGCGGCGGCGTCGTCGGCGGGTTCACGGATTTCGTCGCCGAGAGCGGGCGGAGCCTCGGCGGCGCGTTCGGGAAGATCGGGGAGCTGATGCCGACGCGGTGGTCGCGGGAGATGGACAAGATGGGTATAAACCTGTGACGCGACGCGACGCGATGGGCGATGGGCGATGGGCGAGCGCGTAGCCGCGTTGGTTGTGCATGTAGTAGTTTCAGGCGACCGAACGCACCTGCATCGTCAAACTCCCTGCTTCTGCTCAGAATAAAATCGACATGGCGCGCGCGATCGTGACAGCTGGCAGTCCTGATGGCGTGTGCCACTTCGCATAACGCGCGCGCGCGCCTCCCGCGCTTCCCACACCGCGACGCGGATGGCGCGCGCGGTCTGCTTCCCCCGCGGCGGTCTTCGCGACCGCCGCGACGCGGTCGCGTCGACGTCCGCGCGCGGCGCGAGGGCGGTCGCGCGCGCGTCGTCGTCGTCGCCGCGACGCGCGATCGCGACGACGACGACGAGCGTTTCGAATAACGACGACGCGGGCGGGCCCGCGGGGCCCTCGTCTCCGCTCGAACGCGCGCCGACGCGGCGACGGCCGCTCGCGCCCGGGTACGCGCTCGCGCTGGAGTGCTGGCGCGCGGGGTACGTGGACGACGCCGCGGTCGCGTTCGGTGCGCGCCTCCTCGCTCCCCGCTCCGCCCGCCGCGCGCGCGTCGTCGATCCGATCGGTCGAGTGGCGTGTGCCGCGAATACTCGTGATAACAACCGTTCGCCGACGCCATCGCCGACCCCTCCCCTCTCTCCCTTCCCCCCTCCGTCGTCCGCGTCGCGTCAGAGAACCACCTCGCGCTCGACCCGCGAGACGTCAGCGCGTGGATATCCTACGCGCAGATGCTCAAGCGCCCGCGCGGCGACGAGCGCGTCGTCCCGAGCTCGGTGGACGACGACGTCGCGTGCAGCCGCGAATCCGTCAACCGCGCGCGGCGCGTCTTACACCGCGCGCTTCTCGAGCTTCGGCGGCGCCAGAGCGATTGCGACGACGCGGACCCGGAGGCGATGGGTAAGGTGCTCCAGGCGTTGGGTTTGCTCGAGCTCACGCACGGGAACGAGATGTACGGCGGCGCGCTTCTGGAGCAGTGCGTGCGCGTGAGTCGGAGGGCGCTCGAGCCGGTGTTGAGGTGGCGGCGGGTGCGCGCGGCTCGCGCGAACGTGGTGGCGCGCGCGGGCGTCGGTCGGCTGAACAAGACGCGCGAGAGCGTCCGCGCGTACACGAGCTTGTGAGGTGTGCGTGAACGATGACGTCGACGCGCGCATGAAATGAATAATAAAACGCACGTGACGAAGACGTTATGTTATGTTACTACCGCGGCGTCGAGGCGAGGCGTAAAAAAACGACGACGCGCGTTGTCGCTCACGCCTTCTTCTCGAACCGAGCGCGGTCGTGCGGCGCGTCAAGGTCCACCCCCGGCCCGACCGGCACGACCGCGTGCTGGTTCAACCCCGGGTGCGACGTGAAGTAGTGCGTCTTTATGTGCCACATGTCCACGCTCTCTCTCATCCCCGGGGTCTGGTACACGTCCAGAACGTAGTTGTGCAGGTTCGGGTACTGGTGAATGAACTTCCGGTTGCACTTGAAATAGACGACGTACACCTCGTCGAACCGCACGAGCGTGGGGAACAAGCGGACGTCCGCTTCCGTGAGGACGTCGCCGGCGATGTATCGTCGCTTCGACAGAATCTCCTCGGCTCTGTCCAGGCACCGAAAGAGCTCGTTCACAGCCTCTTCGTACGCGCCCTGATGAGGTGCGTTCCATGAGCGAAAAAAGTTCATTCATCGGTCGTCAGTTGAAAGCGGGCGCGATGAATTTCATTGTTGAAACCGAGGGGTGGGTGAAAAACGTTTTCTTCATTGAACGCGCCTGAGACGTCGCGAACCCGGACTTGTACACGCCGTTGTTAATCCCGTGGTAAACCCACTCGTTGACGGCGTCGATCTCGTCGCGCAGCGCCTCCGGGTACAGGTCCAGGTCCGGGTTCTTCGCGAACGCGTCGAACTGCGTGTACAGGTCGCGAATGATATCCGCGCTCTCGTTGCTGACGATCGAGTTCGTCTTTTTATCCCACAGAATCGGCACCGTGAACCGCGTCCCTTTCGGCGCGTTCACCATGTCGTACAAGTCCCTGACGTACGTCACGCCGTGCAGATCGTCCGCGGTGCAGTTATACTTCGCGCCCCCGGGGAACGCGCCGACGCCCGCGGGGTTGGACACCGTCGCGTCGTCGTCGTCGTCCTCTCGCCAAAACCGCCAGCCGCAGTGCGCGTCGTCGACGTCGTCCGGTCTCGTCTTCGCCCACGTCGGATGCACGCTCGAGACGCTCACCACGTCCCTCCCGATGCCTTTCAGCCCGAGGACGCTCAGGCACCGCGACGCCCACGGGCACGCGTAGGAGACGTAGAGGTGGTATCGACCCGCCTCGGGCGGGCGCGCGGAGTCCGGCGCGACGCGATCGCGGAAGACGGCGTCTTTGCGCACGAACGCGCCGTCCGCGCTGACGTCCGCGACCGCGGTCGCGCCCGGGGTGGCGTCCTTCTCGACGACCTGAGCCTGAGCGGAGTAGGAGAGAGGCGACGGAATCAGCGGCGGAATCAGCGGCGGCGAGGGGAGGAGGGAGAGACGGCGACGACGGAGCGGCGGCGCGGCGCGGTGGGCGCCGGCGCGAGATCCAAAGTCTCGAACGCCGCGTCGCGTCGGTCGCGCACCTTCGCGCTCATGGGCGCGACGACGCTTCCGCGATGCGACGCGCGATGCCGCGCGACGGCGGCGCGGGCGTGAAGAGGCGCGTGGAGTTGACGCGAGGCGATTCGAGCGAGCGCGAGGTGCATGCGGCGGCGGCGCGCGCGCGGGAGTGACGCGCGGAGGACGGTCAGAACCGAGTTTCGCAACCTCACCGTCATCGTTGCGTCATCACACGCGTCAATTCGCGAAAGTAAGTCGCGATGGGTTGAACCCGCTTGACCGACGGGTCGACGCGCTGCAGCGATGAATAAAAATTCCGACGGTTCGGCGACGACGGTTCGAAACCGGGCACGGCGTCAAAGTCGAAACCGGGTGCCGAGCAAACCGCCTCAAAACGATTTCCGACCGCGTCTGACCTGGCGGATCTCCGCGAGTGCGGCGCTTTATCGCTTTTTTTTCGAATGCAGGAATCCCCGCACGCGCGCGCGGCACAATCCGCGTCGCGCACGTCCGTCGCGGTCACACCCGTCAAGTCGAACGCGGTCAACCGCGTCATGGCGTCGCACTTGGCGTCGTTCCCGGCGCCGCTGGCGTCCGCGCTTCGGAAACCCGCGCGCGCGAGCGCGTCGGGCGCGAGCGCCGCGAGGGATGGCAAATCTCGCCCCGCCAGGGCCCCGCTCTCGCGCGGCCCTCTCAGATCGGCGCCCATCGCGAGAACGCCTTCTTCGACGTCTCCGCTCGTCTCCTCTCGGCGCCGCGTCGACGTCGTCGTCGCCGTCGCGACCGGCGCGTCCTCCTCCCCGGACGCGTCGTCCTCCCCCGTCGCGTCGAGACGCGCGGAGCTCTTCACGGCCACCAAGAATCAGCTCCGCGCGGCGGCGAAAGAATGCGGGCTCCCGGTCGGCGGAAGCAAGACCGAGCTCGTGGACCGGCTCGTGCGCGCGGAGCTCGGCGAGGGCGTCGTGGACGCGTTCTGCGAGGAGGAGGACTGCGCGACGCCGCTGAACGTGCCCGTGACGGGGAAGCGGCCGGTCGTGAACGCGGGAGGAGAGGCGACCGAGGCGACCGACGAGGCGACGACCGAGGCGACTGACCTAAACCTCAAAGATTTCGAAAAGGTAGCCGCCGCCGCCGCCGCCGCCGCCGCCGCGGACGTCGCGACGGAAGACCCCGCGCTCGCGGAGAAGAAGAAGCTCGCGAGAGAAGCGGAGGAGGCGCTCTTCCGCTTGGAGAAAGAGCGCAAGGAGCTGGAAGCCGCCGTGAAGGCCAAGGCGGAGGAAAGGGAGGCTCAGGAGAAAGCCGCCGACGACGACGCGGAAGCCGCCGCCGCCGCCGCGGATGCGGAGGCCAAGCTCGCCGCCGCCGCCGCTCAGGCCCAGGCGGCCGAACAGAGCGCCGCGGAGGCGGATGTCGACGCCGCCGCCGCGGAGGAAGCCGCGCGGCTGCAGAGAAAGGCGGTGGCGGAACAGCGCGCCGCCGCCGCCGCCGCGATTCTCGCGCAGAAAGAAAGCCAGCTGGAGGACCTGGCCGCCGCGAGCGCGGAGGCGGAAGCCGCGGTCGGCGCGCTCGAGAGCGCGCCAGCAGCGCCGGAACCCGAACTCGAACTCGAACTCGAACCCGAACCCTCAGTCCACGCCGAAGCGCCCGCGGCGACGGCGAACGCCGCGGAGCTCACCGAGGAGGAACGCGCGGCGATGGACGAGCGCGAACGCCTCGCCGCGGAGGCGTACGCCGCGGCCGCCGCGAAAGTCGAGGCCGCCGCCGCCGCGCTCACCGCGATGAGCGCGGACACGTCCTTCGACGACGACCTCGCGGATTTCGCGAACCTCGCGTCTCGAGCCGCCGCGGGGGAGGTGCAGCTGCCGCCGCCCGAGGCGCCGCCGCCGCCGCCGCCGCCCGCGCCGACGGCGCCGACGGCGATGAAACCGCCGGCGACGTCGCAGTTCACGCCGCCGCGGGCGACGCACGGAGCGACGGGCTCGCCCGCGCCGATGAAAGCGCCGCCGCCGCCGGGCGCGTTGGGCTCCGCGCCGCTGCCTCCGCAGTCGCCGCCGACGCAGCAATTCGGGGAGTCGCCGAACTGGGTGAAGAATCGTCCGGGATTCCCGGGCGGCGCGCCGGATCACGCCGGCCACCAAAACCCGGGCGAAGGCGGCCGCGTCAACGCCGCCGGCCCCGCGAACAACGACTCGTTGCGGAAAGTCGGCAAGGTGGACCTCCCCGCCGCGGGCTCGGGCAAGGCGGACCCGAACCGCGTCGTGAACGAAGACCCGAACGCGGCGAAAAACATACAACGAGAGCCGCGGAGCGATCCGGACGCGGTCGAACGCGAGCTCGAGTCCGTCTCCGCGCTGCCGCAGACGGCGCCGTCGTGGGTCACGCCGATCGTCGCCGCGGAGACGAGCGCGGAGCGCAACGCGCGGTTGGGGGCCTCGGCGACGGGACCGAACGCGGCGCAGCGCGACGTGGACGCGCGGACGCGGCTCGGCGCCAACGTCACCTCGGTCGGATGCGCCTTCGGCGTGTGGGCGCCCCACGCGGAGCAGACGAAGGTGGTCATCTACGACCCGCGCGGCCCGATCCGGCACGCGATGACGCGCGAGTCGCCGGAGTCGCCGTACTTCAGGTGCGAGATCCCGGACATCGTCCCGGGGCGGCGGTACTCGTTCGAGGTGACTCTGCCCGGCGGCGAAGGCGAGGTGATGCGTCGGGATCCGTGGGCGCGGCAGACGGATTTCGACAGCGACATCTGCACCGTCGTCGACCCCGCGGAATTTTCGTGGACGCCGTTCGCGCGCGTCGAACCGGACAAGCTCGTCTTTTACCAGGCGCACGTGGGCACGTTCACCGGTCGCAACGACCCGGACGTCAGCGAAACGGCTCCCGGGGGAACGTTTAACGCGATGCGTAACAAACTGGATCACATCGCCGGCATGGGATTCACCGCGATTCAGCTCCTCCCGACGACGGAATTTGGCGGCGCGTGGGGATACAACCCGCGCTTGATGCACTCCGTGCACGGCCCGTACGGCACCCCGCGAGACTTCGCCAACCTCGTGGACGCCGCGCACCAGCGAGGCATCGCCGTCTTCGTCGACCTCGCGCTGCATCACGGCGCCGCGAACGGCAACTCGCTCTGGGAGTACGACGGTTGGAGCGTAGACAACAACGGCGGAATCTACTTCGAGGGCACCGGCGACACCGGCTGGGGCACCGGCTTCTCGTTCTGGAAGGAAGAGGTCCAGCACTACCTCGCGTCCGCCGCGATCACGTGGCTCGCGGACTACAACGTCGACGGCGTGCGCGTGGACTCCGCGCACTCGATGCCGGCGGAGATGGCGCGGCGGATCACCGACACGATTCGCGGGTCTTTCCCCGACCGGTTCATCGTCGGCGAGCACATGCCGGAGTCGCCGGACGCGCTGCATCGGATGGGGTTCGACGCGAACTGGATGCTCACGATGTGCGACGACGCCGCGAGCATGAGCAACAGCTGGAAGGGCGACGCCGGGAAGCTCGCGTCTCTCATCGTGCTACGAGACGGCTACGGCGTGAACTCGCAGTGCGTAAAGTACTTCATGGGGTCGCACGACCAGTGCGGGAAGCGCCCGGGGCACACGCACGACTTGGGGCACTGGGCCGGGCGGTTCGGCGGACACGGCGACTGGCGCGCGCGCGCGACCGCGCGCATGTGGTGGGGCGCCATGTGCGCCGGGCAGGGCCTCCCGCTCATGTTCATGGGCACGGAGATCCATCAGGGCGGGCACTGGCACGTCGATCTCGACACGAGTTTCGACTGGGGCCTTCTCCACCCGGACGCGATCAAAGACCCGGATTGCCACGGGCACGAGGGCGTCGCGTGCGTCGCCGCCGCGAACAAGATGCGCGCGACGCACCCCTCGCTGACCTCCGGCGGCGGGAAGGTCATTCACCAGGACGCGGAGAACGGCGTCGTCGCCGTGGAGCGGCATCACGAGGAGACCAACGAGCGGTGCGTCGTGATCGTCAACGCCGGCGACGGGCAGTGGGACGCGGAGAGCCTTTACGGGATCAACGTCGGGGACCCGTGGGACGGATTCGGCGGGTTCGTGGAGATTTTCAACAGCCAGGACGAAGCCTTCGGCGGGTGGCCAAACTCGGGGAACAAAGAGCGCGGGTTCATCGAGCAAGACGGGAAGGAGCTGAAGCTCGCGATCCCGAAGCTCGGCGTCGTCGTGCTGAAGCAGACGCCGCCGAAGCCTCCGGGGCCGGACCCGGAGGCGGTGCTCGCGGCGCTGAACCAGAGCGGCGCGGGGAACGGGAAGTTGTGATAATAAGACAGGGAGGGTACGTACTAGGGAGGTGAGGGAGTGTGTAATATCTACTGACTGCTTCAACGAACTCGAGTTCGTTGAAGGAAGGTGTGAAAGAATGATCGAGCGCAGTGCACTGTGGTGAGAGTCTGGTTTTTTTAACAACAGTCGTCGAACCGACCGATCCCTCGCGCACTCCGCGAGCCGCGATGGGGGAGGAGGAGGACGCGCGCGCTCGCGTCATCGCGGAGATGAACGCCCGGCGAAAGTCGCGGATGTTCGGTCTCTTCGTGATCCCGCTGATGTACGCGCCGGCGCTGCCGCTGCGTGAGTGGCCCTCGCCCCGGCGCCGTCGCGCGCGCCGCGTCCGTCGCCCGCTCGCTCGAGCGCCCGCCGACCTCGCGCGTTTCTGACGACGTCCTCGCCGTCCTCCCTTCTCCGCCGCGCAGTCCGAATCGCGCTCCGGAACCACCCCGCGAGCGCGCGGAACAAGGCGTACGGCGCGGGGATACTCGCCGCGCTCGCGCACGCGGGGTACGTGATGAGCTCAGACAGCAGCGTGCTGTGAGACGCGACGCGCAGCCCCGCCTCTAGTAGCTAGTAGAGCAATGATAGGAAAAGTAGGAAGTCGTCCGATCGAATCGAATCGCGTCTCGCTCGCGACTGAACGTCGTCGTCGATCCACGCGGTGTTCTATCTACGCCTATCCCGGCTCCGGCTCCGACTCCGGCTCCTGCTGCGACGCCGCCGGCGCTTCTCGCGTCGGTCGCGTGACCGCGACCGCGACCGCGACCTCGACCGCGACCGCGACCGCGCCCGCCGCCGCCGTCGGTCGTCGTCTCGCTCGCGGTCCCTCCGCCCTCGCTCCCGGTCCCGCTCCCGGTCCCGGTCCCGGTTCCGGTCCCGGTCCCCATCCCCGCGACCGCCGCCGTCTTCCCGCCTTCTTCCCGCTTCTCTCTCTTCCCGCTCCCGCGCTCTCAGCTCGTTGACCTCCGCCGCGCGTTTGGCGTACGCCTTCTCTTGCGCCTCCGGGTCGTTCCATACGAAGCGATGTCGGGGTGGAGTTGAAAGGCGTCAGGTGGAGTTCAAAGGCGTCGATGGCGGGGTTTGAACGCGAGAGATGGGCGGAGAGATGCGCCGGGAAAAGTCCTTAAGGATCGGCGTTCACCACGCCAACGGGGTCGTATGGGAACCAGTGCGAGCAGGGACGCACCTCAGCCTCGCGGCGTCGCGCCTCTCTCGCCGCCGCCGCCGCCGCCTTGGCCTCGAGCTCCCTCCGCTTCTCCTCGACGAACGCGCTCGGGACGCCGTTCGCGGACGCCTGCGCGTCCGCGAGCAACGTCCATAGCTCTTTCATGAAGACCGCGGCGTTGTGTTCCAGGAACCCGGTCAAGTGCACCTGCATCGCTCTCGGGTCGATCGCTCCTCCGCCCTTCGCGGCGTCCTCTAGGAACGTGAACACGTACAGGACGACGACGTCGTCCTCGATCCCGAGGAGCTCCGTGACGCGTCGCGCGATCCACGGCTTCATGACGTCGACGTTCACCCTGCGCATGTCGATCTTGACCGCGAGCGCGGGGTCGGTCTTGAGCCTCGACGCGATGCGCTTGTCCTTGTCGACCCACGCTGGTGCGGATCGATCGTTGGACACCGGCCGGCCTTGGTAGACGAGCGAGGAGTGGCGGCTGATGTTCGCGTGCGAGGATTTGTTCGTCAGCGCGGCCTGCTGCTCCGCGTGCGAGACGCGGTAGGTCATGTCGCGTCGTGCGTCGTGCGTCCGTCCGTCCGTCGCGCGTCCCGATCTGACGGAAGGAAAAGCGAAAAAATCAAATCTCGCAAAGGACGCCCCGGACGCGCGCGCGCGGCCGCGCGCCACTTCCCCCGCGCGCCCGGCCGCGACGCGACGGGGAAGCCACCCGCCGCTCATGGCGGATCAGCTCGCGCCGTCGAAGCGGCACGCGCACGAGCACGAGGTGCGCCTCCGCTCCCGGCGCGCGCCGGCGCCGGCGACCTCGCCCCGTCAATGGTGCCGTCTCTCGCTCGCTCGCGCCTTCCGATCTCATCCCCGCCGATCTCATCCCCGCCCCCCTACCAAATCCCCGCTCGTCCCCACCCGCGACCCACCACCCCAGGGCCGCGTCGTGTACGAGTGGGACCAAACCCTGGACGAGCTGAACCTCTACGTCCCCGTCCCGAAGGGGATCGGCGCGAAGATGTTAGACGTCGACGTCGGCGCGGACGCGTTGAAGTTTGGCATCAGAGGCAACCCGCCCTACCTCGCGCACGACCTCTCGCACTCCGTGAAGACGAGCGATTGCTTCTGGACGCTCGAGGACGGCGAGCTGCACGTCACGCTGCAGAAGATGAAGCGCGGGAAGCCGTGGGACGCGCTGTTTAAGGGGCACGAGGGTGGGCTCGACGCGTTCGCGGAGAGAGAGGAGCGGGAGAGGCTGATGAAAGGCGCGTTCTAGTTACACTGGTCCCCATACGACCCCGTCGGCGTGGTGAACGCCGTTCCTTAAGGACTTTTCCCGGCGCATCTCTGCGCCCACACCTCGCTGGTTTCAATCCCGACACACCTCGACGCCTTTCAACTCCACCTGACGCCTTTGAACTCCACCCCGACGTTCGCTCGTATGGAACGGCCCTGAAAGAACGGTTCCAGGAGGAGAACCCCGGGTTCGACTTCAGCGGCGCCGCGTTCAACGGCGAGGCGCCGAGCGCGGACGCGTTCATGGGCGGGATCAAGCACGCGTCGTGACTAGGACGCGCGAGCGTACGCGTAGTCTAGCGGCGCGATGAACACGACGGGACGCGCACGCAGAACGATCGATGCTCCAAACTCAGAGTCTACCTCGAAGCTCCTCCCCCCTCATCGCTCCCGTCCCCACCTCCTCCTCCTCCTCCACCTCCTCCTCCGTCTTCTTCTTCTTCTCCGCCCTTCCCGCCCCCCGGGGACGACGGCACGAGCAAGAGCCCGGTGACCAGCGCGAGGTTCATGTACGCGAACACGTCCACGAACCAGTACCCCGTCAGCGACCCGTCGACGAACGGGATCGGTGACTCCCCGCCGAGGAGACCTTCCAGCGGGTTGGATCCGTCCGGTGGGCGCCAGACCGCGATCCCGACCGCGGCGTCGTCGGCCGCGCGCGCGGCGGAGGCGCGGAGGAGGAGCGCGGCGGCGGGGATGGACGACGCGACCGCGGTCGCGGCGACGCGACGCGATGCGATGGAGGAGGAGGGCGACGACGTGGACGCGATGATCGCGTCGGGTTCGATCGACCGCGTCCGCGTCGTCGCCGCGACGCGCGGCGTCGTCGCGCGCGCGAGGACGGGCATCGGTCGTCCGCGAGGCGCGCGCCGTCGGGTCTGCGACGGCGACGGGGAGGTCGCGGCGGAAGCGATGACGCGGGACCGAGCGACCGCGACCGCGGCGGATCTCAGCTGCTGAACCGACCGACCGACGATTCTTCGAAACGGCCGCCAGATCTGCTCCGCGCGCCGCGGCGATGCCGCCCGAGTCGGCGCTCGCGAGCAGCCGCGAGAGCGCGGACGACTGGGTCTCCGGCCCGTTCGATCTCAGCGGCGACGACGATGACGGGGCGTCGACGGACGACCGCGAGAGCGCGGACGACGCGCGCGTCCCCGATCGATCGATCGATCGTCCCGAGCGCGCCTCTCCCGCGTCCCGAGCGGCGAACGCCGCTGACGCAGCCTTCGACGACGACGCCGGCGCGCGCGCGTGGATGGCGCTGTGCGAGGAGGCGATGACCGGCGGGTTCCGCGAGCGCGAGGCGTGGGACGACGAGACGACGGCGCTGCTCTCGCGCGCGCGGCGGCTCGCGCGCGGAGGGGTGCGCGGAGAGAAGGCGGAAGAGGGGAAGGAGAAAGACGACGACGACGACGACGGCGACGACGACGACGACGACGGCGACGACGACGCGGCGCGGCCGGCGCGCGAGGACGAAAACGCACGACGACGAAGCGTTTCCAACCTCCTCCGTCCCCAGAACATCCCGCCCTCCGCGGCGCTCGTCCTCGTCGGCGTCCTCCTCGGCGTCCTCCTCGGCGTCTTCGCGGCGTCGACGAACGCGGTTCCCGCGTCCTCCCGATCCCCGTCGCTCAGGCGCGTTCCACGTCACACTGGTCCCCATACGACCGCGTTCGCGTTGTGAACCTCATTCCTTGAGGAGTGAGTTTCTTCTCTCCCGGTGGTCGTCACTCCCCGCCCACGCCGCGGTTTCGATCCCGACGCGCCTCGACGCCTCACGACTTCAACCGACGCCTCGCGACTCATCCCCGACGTTCGTCGCTTCGCGCGGACCCTCCCTCGACCCTCAGAGCGCTCTTCGGCGACGTCGCCGCGAACGACCGCGCGTCCTGCCCGTCGCTCCCGCCGCTGACGATCTCGCTCTGCCAGCGCGAAGAGCGCGAGATGCGCGTCCTCGAGTCCGTCGCGCGGACGTCGACGCGGCGTCTGGACGAGTGCGCGGGTAGGTAGAAGAGAGCGGACTCGACCGATCATTCGCGACGCGGCGGGCGTCCGTCCGTCGCGTCGTCTCTCAAGGCGTTCTTTTCTTTCGCGCGCGCGCACGTTTTCCACCACCAATCACACGTCCGTCGACGCACCTGACGCGCGTCTCCCCTCGCCCGCAGGCGCGGCGGCGAAATGCGCGGCGGCGGCGAAGGCGCGCCGCGACGCCGCCGTCGCCGAGCTCGCCGCGCGCGTCGCGGCGCTAACGCGCGAGCGCGACGTGTGGCGCGCGAGCGCGGAGCGGTGGTACGACGCGCGTCACGAGGAGAGAGACGTAGACGTCGGCGCGGGGTGGGCGCGCGGGTGGGCGTGCGGGAGGCGGCGGGGGACGAGGGGGAGGAACGCTTCGTGACAGACAGGACGCGCGCGAGAATAAATCGAAACGCGAACGACGAAAACGCACGGCCGCGTCGGAGTAGTACGACGTCGTGTCGTACAGTACAGTATCATCATACTAGAAACGCATAGGGCCTAGAAGAGATCGCGCGCGCGTACGAATGATTTTCGAATGAGGTTTTTGTGGGTCTCTCGAGTGCCACCTCAGCGTTGTTTCCGCGCGAAGGGTCGCCGTCGGACTCACGCGCGACCGTCAATCCCTCTCGCGCGCGCGGCCGTCCGGCGCCGCGTCTCGCCCGCGCTCGCGCTCGCGCTCTCGTCCGCGCGCGTCTGGACCGAACGCGCGTCTCGCCGAGGTCGTTCGATCGCGCGCGCGTCGTCGCACGCGCCCATCCCGGATCGCGCGCCCGCGCGAAAAAAGCGCCTTCGCGCCTTCTTCGGGAGGCGGACGAAGAAAAACTCCGACCCTCCGCGACTCCCGCGCGATGCTCGGCGTGGCGTTCTTCGCGACCGGCGTCTGCCTCGTGAAGCTGCGACGGCACGCGAAGCACAGCAACGACTGCTACGACCTCGAGGAGGAGGAGGAGGAGGCGACGACCGCGGAGACGCCCGGCGCGCTTCGTCCGTGTCGCTCGTGCAGCTCCGGGTCGTTGCGATGCTTCGCGGAGGATGAGAGCGAGGAGGACGCGAAAGAGTCCGAGGAGACCGCGTGTAAGTTTTGCGACGAGGAGAACGTCTGCCGGTTCTGTTTCAGCGGGCCGGAGCGCGGGGAGCTCATCTCGCCGTGCTCGTGCGTCGGCTCGCAGGTGCGCGCGCGCGCGCCCGCGCCACGTCCGCGCGGATCTCGCCCCGAGGGGAACCCCCCTTTTCGGCTTTCTCCGCGGCGGAAGAAAAATCTTCACACTGTTCGGGCGCGTCCCGTTGAAAAAAACTTGACGTCTTCTCTCTTCCTCTCTCTGACCTTCATTCACCTCAACCTCGCCGCGTTCGCAGGAGTTCGTCCACGTGCACTGCCTGCGTCAGTGGCAGAAGATCGCGATGCGCACGAAGGGCAACAGAGAGGAGAACTGCCGCGTGTGTCACGCCAAGTATCGCCTCCCGAAGCGTCCGCTGCGATCGCGAGCGAAGCTGTGGTTCTCGTTCAAGGCGAGAGACCGCCTGAACGCGTACTCGCGCGTGTGGTTCCAGTCGCTCATCAACCTGTTCATGTCGCAGAACAAACCGGGAACGGTCGCGGGGCACGTTGGGAGGGCCGCGACGAGAGGGTTAGGGCGGCTCGCGCGGTCGAACAGCGCGACGGAGCTCGCGCTGATGATGGCGTCCACCGAGGTGAGAATCTGGGCGGGGCGCGAGGTGCGGCACGGGAAGTCGCGGGTGCAGATCGTGAAGTTGCTGAGCGCGTTCGGGAGCGCGGTGAACTTCATCGCGCGGATGAAACATCTCGGGGTCGTTTGATCGACGAGACGACCGACCGATCGCGCGATGTGATCGATCGAGGAGGACGGGGGGGGGGGGGACGAACTGTAACTGTTCAGACGACGACCGAAGGATGACGACGACCGAACGACACGAGGGAAACGCTGCTGTTGTAACAATACGATGATACCGCACGAATCGAAACCACCGCCCGCGCGACGTAGTGACGCGCGGTACCGCGCGACGACGCGACTCGAGATATGATAATTACAGCGTAATAAGTAACGTCTTCTCGCTCGTCTCCGAGTCCGCGGCGGGCGTCTACGGTATTCTCGCCGCCCGCCGTATTAAAACAATTCCATCGCGCCCCCCTTTGTCGCCGCCGTCGCCGCGTCGCGTCCTGTGTCGCGCTTCCTTCGTTCGATCGACCACGAAGAGCGCGTCGCCGCGCCGCGCTTCAGTCGGTCGGTCATTTCAATTTCGCACCGCTCAGTCGATGATCTCGAGCTGGTCGTCCGAGAACTCCTCGACGTTGTCGAACGGCAACACCGCGACGGACACGGTGACCTTCCCGCTCGCCTTGATGTCCACCTTCTTCACGGTCCCCGTCTTCCGCGTGTCGTCCGCGCTGAACAGCCGCTGAAAAAAGTTCCCGCCGCTCCCTTTGATCGCGACGTAATCGCCCGCCTTCAGCTTCCTCGCCTTGTCGAGCTTCAGGCCGACTTCGCCGCCGGCCCAACCGCCCGTGACGAGGTTATCCCTCCCCGCGAACGCCTTGGCGTCAGCCTTGAGGTACTTCCCTTTGCCGACGTACACCGTGTCTTCGCCGTCGAACTCCTCCGGGAGCTTCGCCCAATTCGAGGTCGGCCCGGAGTCGACCTCGATCGGCTCTTGGATGAACGATTCTTTCAAACCGACCTCGCCGCCGGGCCATCCGCCGGTGAACCAGTCGTCGCGACCGGCGTACTTCTTCGGGTCGTCCTTCACCCAGCGGCCTTTGCCGATGTAGACGTCCGCGCCGTCCGCGCCGTCCTTCTTGTCGCCGCCCGCCGCGCGCGCGGTGAGACGCGCGGCGCGGGAGGTGTGGCGCGACGACGCGCGCGTCAGCGCCTTGGCCTGAGGGGGGGGGGGGGGCAAAGGGAAAAGGCGGGGGACGGGGCGGTGAGCGAGCGATCGCCGCCGACCGATCTCTCGGCGGATTCGATTATGAAAATAAGATCGCGCGCGCGCGGAGACGGCCGCGGCGCGTCGGCGGCGGCGGCGACGACGCGCGGTCGCGGGTTCGCGCGAGCGCGCGACGCGAAGGGACGACGATCGCGCGGAGGACGCACCGGCGCGGCGACGGAGGTGGTCACGGCGAACATGCTCGCGCGAGTGCGGGTATGCCTCCCTCCCGCCCCGCGGGCCGCGAAACGTGCTCGGATAGGCTGACGGATTCGGATAGGCAATGGCTGACGGGATGAGGGATCCCGTTGGCGGCACCGGTTTACCGGTCAACGGCACCGGTGAACGACTCGGACGAATAGTCTAATTTTTAACGGACGACTCCCTCAACCTCTTATGATAAATAGAGCTACCGCGCGTCGTCGTCTCGCGTCACGCGCCGCCCGTCGCCAACCGCGCCACGAGCGGAAACATGAACCGAATCACCGCCTTCGCGAGCGCGAACGCCGCCCACGCCGCCGCGAACGCGAGGATCCCGCACTGCGGGTGATTCAATACAGTACAAACGTTCATCGGTCAGTTGAAAGGGACCCGCGCGATCAAATGTTGAAACCGGGCGGCGGGTCAAGATGCAACAGAAATTAAAACGCGCCTGCACCGCTCGGTCCCGACGCTTCCTGTAAGCGACCCTGGAGAAACTCCAGTCCGGCCGCTGCATCATCTGGATCGTGTTCGGCATGAAAAGCCACGGTGCGAGCTTGTTGAAGACGCCGTCGAGGATCAGCGGCAGGACGAACGTGAGAAAGCCGCCGTCGAAGCCTCTGGATATCTCCACGAGAGCCTTGGCATCCGCCGCGCGCCGCCGCGAAAATTCCGGCAGCGCGAGCGTCCACTCGCCGCCCTTCACGCGCAGATGAGGCGCCGCGGTGAGGCAGTCGTCTAAGATGACGACGTCCTCGAACGCGCTGTTGACGCCCAGGCCGAAATACGGCTTCACCGTGTGGATCGAGTCGCCTGCGGAGGACAGACGCGCGCGATGACGATGAGACGATGACGATGAAAAGGGTCGGACGGAGGCGTCGCGCGACGTCACCAGTCGCGCGCGCGCGAAGAAACCGTTCGTTCGCCGCGGGACCGTTTGCCGAGGTTCGAAGAAAAGTAAAGTAAAAGAAACGAAGCGAAAAGAAACGCGAACGCACCGATCAAGACCGCGCCGCCGAGCTCGTTCATCCACGCGTCTTCCTCCACGAGCAAATCTCCGTGCGTCGGGTGATACTCCGGCGTCGTCCGGTGCAACGCCTCCTCTCCCCCGCCCGCGTAGGCGAACGTCGGGAGCGTGGACAGCCGCCGTCGCGCCATCCTCTCGAGGTCTTCGTCGCTCACGAACTCCGTAAACATCGGGAAGTTTTCGTTAAAGTACGCGCGCAAGCCCGCGACGCTCTCGAGCTTCTCGAGCGTCTCCGAGTCGCCGGGTTTCACGAGCAGGATGCCGACGAGCAAACCCTCCTTCGTGGGGAGGCACTCGAGCGCGACGCCGTTCTTCGTGCGCGCGCTGTAGTTCAAGTCCGTGCGCCAGTCCGCGGGGAGGGTGATCTGGCGCGTGTGGTGGCGAGAGAAGGAAGGAAGGACGGAATGACGGAAGGACGGACGGCGGCGTCAGAAACAGCGAGGCTTTGGCTTTCGAACGCGAGCAGAGCGGAGAAGGGCGGTCTGGAAGAAAACGAAAACGAGCGAGCGGAAAAGATTTTGCGAAAGGGCGCGACGAGGCGACGCACCGGCACGGTCTTGTACACCCGCGGGTTCGTGTCCTCGAACCGCACCATCTTCGTCCCGCACGCGCGGTCCGCGTCCATCGCGCGCATGACCGCGTTCCTCGGCGACGCGCCCTCCGCGCCGATCACGAACTGCGCGTTCACCGTCGTCGGCGGCATTCGCATCTCTTCGTCGTACGACCTCGCCTCGGACGCCGCGCGCGACGTCGCGGCGTCGTCGACGTCGCACCCTTCCAACGACGTCGGATCGCACGCGTCCGCGTCCGCGTCCGCGACGGAGAACGCGTTCGCGTTCGCGTCGCTCGTCGCCGCGCGCGTGAGGTCCGCGCCGCCGCCGGGGCGCCACTTCACGTCCACGCACGACACGCCGTGATGCACGCGCACCGCGGCTGAATATTTTTCGCGAATCTCTTCGAGAAGGCACGACACCAATCGATCGCGCTGGATCACCTGCGTCGCGTATTTCTTGTCCGAGACGCGCGTCGTCGGCGTCGCGTTGCCCGGGGTCCAGTCCATGCGCCCCTTCACCTCCTTGCACTGCGCGAGCACTCTGTCGAGGCACCCGAGACGCTCCAAAGCGATCTGTCCGCGGCCGCTGACGCCGACGTTGTACGATCGCTCCGGGTCGCCCCACGCCTTCGCGTCGCTCCCCGGCGGCGGCGGCAGCCGCTCCCACACCTCCACGTTCGTCCATCCGCGGCGCGCGAGCATGATCGCGGACGCGAGGCCGGTCGGGCCGCCGCCGACGATCACGGTCCTGGAGGGAGGCGCGGGATGCACGAGGAGCCGTCGCTCGTCCGCGGTGAGGGACGACGACGACGACGACGAAGACGTCCGCGCGAGGACGCCGCCGCCGCCGCCGCCGCCGCCGCCGCCCGCGCTCGGCGGCGGGTCCGAGGACGCCGCCGCGCCGGGTGCGCGCGCGTCGCGGGCGCGTCGCGGCGGTCGGCGCGGCCGGCGCGACGCGGACGTCGCGGACGACGACGACGACGAGGCGGATAACGAAAAGGATGCCGTCTGATGCGATCGCGTCGTCGGCGTCACCGCGCGCGAGCGCGGCCGCGGACGCCGCCGGTCGAGGCGCGAGCGGCGCGGCGTCGTCGGCGTCGACGGCGCGACGCGCGGCGTCGCGAGCGCGGTGGACGCCATCGCGGCGGGCGACGCGCTTCCGGCGTGTCGCGTGCTCCGCGCGGGCGTGCTCTGACTCATCATCATATCATCATCGAAACAAAGTTTCTGAACGTTCGCGTTTGCAAATCGGATCGATCGAGAATCGGCCGCGCTTCGAACACTCCGCCTCCGCGCCGCGCGTCGTCGTCATGGCCGGCGGGAAGCTCAAGAAACGCGCGGACGAGAACGCGACGCGCGTGAAGCTCCTTCACCGCGCGCTCCTCGGCTCGACGCTCCTCTTCGTCCTCCTGCGCCTCGTCCTCCGCCGCGCGACCGCGCATCTTCTAATCTACGCCCTCTTCGCGGTCACCTCCGCCGCGGCGTGGTTCTGCTACCGATCCCTCGCGCACATCGCTGCGCCGACGTACGACCGCGACGGCGTCCTCGTCGACGCGGGCGCGGACTTGTCCCTCGGAGGGACGACGTCGTACTACCACGACGTGATATACGTCGCGGTGTTCCTGTTCGTCTCGACCGCGCTCGTCAGCGATTGGCTCTGGCTCGTCGCGCTCGTCGTGCCGGCGTACGCGACGTACGCGCTCTGGGCGTGGGTGATCTTGCCGTGGATCTTCACGCCGACCGCGGACGAGGAGGAGGCGAACCGAAGGATGAGGGAGAGCAAGGAGGAGAGGAAGGCGCGGGAGAGGGCGGAGCGACGCGCGGAGAATCGGAGGCGCGGGAGACGAATGTGATGAGGAACGAATTCGTTCGCGAACGATCGCGACAATATTATTGAGACCCGTCGCGCGCGCGTTCGTCGAACGCATAAACTCCTAATAAGTTGCTATAAGATAGTAGACTCTTCTAATCGTCGTCACGTCAGGTCAGCGCTTGTCCTTGAGCTTCACGACCTCGGACATGTCGGACACGAACTCCCCGACCACGTGCAACTGCTCCAACGGATCCGTGTGCGCGCGATACTTCACCGCGCTCCGCCTCCGACACCGAATGAAGATGTTATCCGCCGCCATGCATACTTGCCCGTGGTCGAGCGTCTTCTGCCCCACAACGGCGAGCGCGACGTCGCGGTCGCGCGCGGCGTCCGCCGCGCGCAGCGACGCGCGTTCGAGCTCGATCTTCAGCCGCGCGATCTCGTTGTTGAGCCCCAACGATTCGTTTTGCTTTCTCTTCGAGTACGCCGTCAGATCAGCCTTCTCGCTCTCGACGCGCGCGCTGAGCCTCTTGTCCTCCGCGAGGAGATCCGCGTTCGTCGCCGCGAGCGTCTCGTGCCGCAGCAGAATCTCCGGGATCTCCTCGTACTCCGGGCTCGCGTTTATAACCGACTCGAGGTACTCTTTGTATCGAACGTTTCTCGCGAGGCGTTCCGCGGCGTCCTCCGACCGCGTCTTCAGATCCGCGAGCGCGCGCGTCAGCTCCTCGATCTCCACCTCCTTCTGCAGACGGATCTTGATCTCGTCCGCCGCCTTGCGCTCCGCGCGCGTGCGTTTGCTGTCGTTCTCCTGAAGAAATTTGCTGAACCGCACGAGCGACTCTTGGAGGTCCAGGTCTTTGTTCTTGATGGTTTCCTCTCGGCGCTTGAATCCTTCCTCTTTGAGCGCGAACTCGCGCTTCGTCGCCTCGAGCGCGTCCTGAACCTCCCGCATCTGCCGTCGCTTCTCGAGCAAGCGCGTCGCGGGCGCGACGTGCTCGATCACCATCGTGTGCGACGGCGCCGCGGCGCTCGGCGGAGCCGCCATGACGGTCGACGATCGATCCGACGTTCGCTGTTTTTTCCTAAATTGGCCCCCACTCGCCGCGACGACCGAGTCGCGCGAGGGCGGTCGCGGCGGGCGGCGCCGGGGGCGGGCGGGTTCGCGCCGCGGCGCCGTGCGCGCTGTGTCCGCGCTCGCGGGGCGAGTGCGAGGTCGCGAGCGCGCGAGGGGACCGGACGACGGTCGCGCCTCGAGCCGCCCTGGCGCGCCGAGAACAATGACGGATGCGTCCGCCGGGCGCCGAGCTCGTCCCACAGGAAATACAGATTCTTCATCAATCAGTTGAAAGGCGATGCGATCAAACACAGTGTATTGAAACCGAGCGGTGGGTGAAAAACGTCTGGATTGAGCGTGGCGAGCTGGCAAAATTCGTCGTCTCGGCGCTCGCGCGCGCTTCCGCGCTCTCCGCACTCTCTCGCGCGCCATGGCGTGCGGCACGATGCCGACGATCGCGGCGCGCGGCGCCGTCCTCCCCGCGACGGCGTCTTCGCGGCGCGTCGCGGCGGCGGCGGCGGCGCGTCGAGCGCCGCGCGTCGCGCCCGCCGCCGCCGCGCGAGGAAGACGCCCGCGCATCGATCGCGAGTGGACGATCGCGGCGTCGAAGGAGGACGACGCGAAGACGAGCGGCGACGGCGACGGCGACGGCAATGCGTTCGACAGCGCGGACGACTGGATCGCGAACTGGAAGGCGGGGAACTTCCCGCGCGCGAAAGGGTGGAAGTACGGCGACCCGTCCACCGCGGGCACCGGCACGTTCTCGGAGGAGGTGGGCGCGGCGTCGGCGTCGGCGCGGGCCTCGTCCGACGACGCGGACGACGACGCCTCATCAGACGACGCCGCGTCATCACAAGAGACGTCGTCGTCGCGCGAGGACGCGTACGGCGGCGATCCGAACGCGTACGCGTACGTCTTCTGCCACAACCTCATGTCCGCGCCGGACGACTCGTTCGCGTGCATGTACCTGCGCGACGTCCTGCGAGCGGTGGACGTGGACCTCGTCGCCCCGGACTTGACGGTGATGGACGACGAAGACGGCGGTACAGCTGGCGCCGCGGACTTCACGGTGTCGACCGCGGTCGCGCGGCTCGCGGTCGCCGTGTCCGCCGCCGCGAACGCGACGTCGCCGCCGCGAAAGGTGCGACTGATAGGCAGCAGCCTCGGCGCGTACGTCGCCGCGCTGTACGCGAGCTACCCCGAGAACGCGGGCGTCGTGGACCGCGTCATGCTCCTCGCGCCGACGTTCAAGCCGGTGGACTGCGTCGACGGCTTGGAGAAGGCGCGTTCTCCTTACACTGGTTCCCATACGACCGCGTCGGCGTGGTGAACGCCGATCCTTAAGGACTTTTCCTGGCGCATCTCTCCGCCCAGGGTCCCTCGCTTTCAATCCCCGCCCTCGGCGCCTTTCAACTCCAACTGACGCCTTTCAACTCCACCCCGACGTTCGCTCGTATGGAACGACCCTCAGGAGACCGGCGTCGCGTTCACGGACGCGTTTAAGGCGGATTTGGAAACGCATTCGCCGTATCCGTTTCTTTCGAACATCAACGCGTACGTCGTGCACGGGTACGACGATCAGGCGGTGCCGTTGGAGCACTCGCTGACGTGGACGAGAGACGCGAGCGGTGAGTAGTCCCCGGGATCGCTTCCCGCGTTTTTTTCGCTTCGTTTCCCGAGGACGTCGAGTCGCCCGCCGCGCCGCGCGATATTCCACGTCCGTCATCAAATCTGATCACGCGCTGACCAATCGAGCAATCACTACATCGCTCCCCTCCCCCCTACGACTGATGACGCAGTGAACATGCGACGCGGCGCGACGGAGAACGCGGGGGAGACGTCGGGGACGCGGCGGCTTCTGGAGGTTGGCGGGATGGGACACGGGATCGAAAACGCGCTGCCGCAGATAAAGGCGAAGCTCGTGGACTTCTTCAAGCTCCCGTTCTCGCTTCCGGAAGGGTACGAGTGACGCCCGACGCGGGCGGTTTGGCGGTTTGGCGGTTTGGTCACGACGTGGTCACGGATAATACGATCACCGTTAATCAACGAACGCACGCCGCCGGAGCTCTCTCTCCTCCTCGCGTTCCTCCGTCTCTCCCCCGTCGTGACTGGTTCCCATACGACCGCGTTCGCGTGGTGAACGCCGTTCCTTAAGGACTTCCGCCAGTCTCTCGTCGTCGTCGCGCCGCCTCTCTCCGCCGGACGATCTCTCTTCGTTTCGTCATCACGCGGCGACGAGCTCCTTGCACACGCCGGATCCCACGGTGTCCTTCACGTGCTGCCGCGCCCACAGATCGCACGCCACGATGTCGTCCAAGCTCGGGTCGAGGACGAGCTCGTTCTTGTGCGCCTCCATGGCTTTGTCGATGACGTTGTAGATGTCAAAGTATCCAATCTTCTTGTCGAGGAACATCGCCACCGCCTGCTCGTTCGCGGCGGAGAACACCCCGGTCATCGTCCCGCCCGCCCTGCCCGCGGCGTACCCCATCGTCAACGACGGGTACTTCTCCACGTCCGGCGCCTTGAACGTGAGGTCGCCCATCTTCACGAAGTCCAGACGCGGCCACGTCGTCTCCGAGCACTGGACTCGTTGCGGCCACGACATGGTGTAGAGAATCGGCAGACGCATGTCCGGCCAGCCGAGCTGCGCGAGGACGCTCGAGTCGCTCGTCTCGACCATGCTGTGAATGATCGACTGCGGGTGAATGACGACGTCGATGTCGTCGTACGAGGTTCCGTACAGGTAGTGCGCCTCGATCACCTCCAGGGCTTTATTCATCAGTGTCGCGGAGTCGCACGTGATCTTCGCGCCCATGTCCCAGTTGGGATGCGTCGTCGCCTTCTTCTGCAAGAAACCCGGGTCGTTCTTCGCGTACTCGCGCATCTCCGAGAGTTCGACGTCGCGGAACGCGCCTCCGGACGCGGTCAGGATGATCCTTCGGAGCGCGCCCTCGGGTAAGCCTTGGATGCACTGGAAGATCGCGGAGTGCTCCGAGTCCGCGGGTAAAATCTTGACGCCGTGCTTGACCGCGAGAGGGACTGCACCGCGCGACGTTGAAAGGCGGAGTTGAAAGGCGTCAGAAGCGGAGTTGAAAGGCATCGAGGTGTGTCGGGATGAGTGAAAGCAGCGAGGGGTGGGTGGAGAGATGCGCCGGGAGATGAAGTAAGTCCTTAAGGAACGGCGTTCACCGCGCGAACGGGGACCGGCGTGATAAATAGAACGCACCGATCGCCGGCCCGCCCGCGATGAGCGTCTCCTTGTTCGCGAGGCAGATGTTCTTCCCCGCCTCGATCGCGGCGACCGTGGGCGGCAGTCCCGCGCAGCCGACGATCCCGGTCACGGTACTGTCCACCTCCGGATGCCGCGCGACCTCGATCATGCCGTCGGGCCCGTACAAAATCTCCGGCTTGTCGCCGTCCATCGCCGCGATCATCGACTCGAGTCGCGCGACGTCGGCGCCGTCGCTGATGCTCACCATCTTCGGCTTGAACTTCATGATCTGCTCCGCGAGGACGTCGAGGTTCTTCCCCGCGCTGAGCGCGACGATCTCGAACTTGTCCGGGTTCTCCTCCGCGATGTCCAGCGTCTGCGTGCCGATGGAGCCTGTGCTTCCGAGCAGCGAGATCTTTTTCACGTTGCCGTTCCCGAGGTCGGGCACGTCCTCGGGGACGACCGCGCGGCCGGGCCAGCACGCGCCGTAGCGGGACTGTGGTTTAGGGTTTAGGGTTTAGCGCGTCGGCGCGTGGCGGTCGCGAAGGATGGGAGACGACGCGATGGCGGGCGGGACGGAGGCGCCGCGACGCGCGGGGATGAGCGGTTTTCCGCGCGCGGCGGTGTCGGTGACGAGATAAAACGCGATCGGGCGGGAGGACGCGCCTCGTTGTTCGCGTCCGCGCGCGTCGCGGTCGCGACGACCGCGCGCTTGGACGCGCGCGGCGCCTTGAGCGTCGCGACGCGGGAGGAGATGGACGCGAGAGAGGTCATGGTCGCCATCGTGCGAGGCGTTCGCGCGGCGTGGCGGTGTGACGACGCGAGAGGAAGATATCCGCCCGGGAGTGGCTCACGGCGCGCGGCGCGGCGCGAGATCTCGGGCCAAGTTCGAAGCGCGGTGACTCACCGCAGCGACGACGACGCGTCTCGCACGCAGTTCCCGTCGCGCGCCCCGCCGGCGACGCGCACGACCGAACTCGCAGCGGCGGCGACGACGACGACGACGACGCGGGCGTCATGATCAAGCTCTTCTCCGTCAAGGCGCGCGACACTCCCCCCCCCGACTCCGCGCGGCGTCGACGAGAGACGGACGGACCCTCGGATCTCGCGCGCGAACGAATTTGACTTTCCTTCGTCGTCGTCGTCGTCGTCGTCGTCCGTGTTCGTCGATCCGCTCACCCTCCTCCTCCCGCCCCCTCCCTCCCTCCCTCCCTCCCTCCCACAGGATCAACAAGAGAAGGACGCGAAGGCGAAAGCCGCCGCGGGCGCCTCCGGCCAGGGCGGCCCGAAGCGCTCCCCGGGTGAGATGCGCCTCGCGAAGGACATCAGCGAGCTCACGCTGTCGCCGTCCATCTCCGTCGATTTCCCAGACGGCAAGGACAAGCTCCTCGACTTTATCGTCACGATCCGCCCCGAGGACGGGTTTTACCGCGGCGGCGTCTTCCGCTTCAGCTTCGCGGTGCCGGGGACGTACCCGCACGAGCCGCCCAAGGTGAAGTGCCTCGCGAAGGTGTATCACCCGAACTTGGACCACGACGGAAACGTGTGTCTGAACATCCTGCGCGAGGATTGGAAACCGGTGCTTTCCGTCTCGTCGTGCGTGTACGGACTGACGTTTTTGTTCAGCGATCCGAACCCGGACGATCCGCTGAACAAGGAAGCCGCGAAGGAGATGACGGAGTCGCCGAGGCAGTTCGAGCAGAACGTGAGGAGGAGCATGCAGGGGGGGTACGTGGGGGGGACGACGTTCTCGAACGTCACGCGGTGACGGCGACGGCGGGCGAAACGGCATCTCATCTCATCGGAACGACGACGACGAACGGACAGACGGCGGCGGCGAACGATAGCGGGATACGTCACGAACGAACGACTACTTCGCACGTACACGTCAAACCCTAAACCCTGAACCCTGCGCCTTCCTCACGCATCGCGATACCCCCCCTCCCCCGTCGCTCACGCCTTGGCGGCGGCGGGCTTTGACTTCCTCGCGCTCATCAGCCTCTTCTCCTGTTCCCTCGCCCATAACTCCTCCTCGTCCGTCTCCCCGGGCTTCGGCTTCTTCTTCCGCTTCCGAAGCTCCGCGATGCTGACGATCTTCATCCCGTCTCTCTCCTTCGGGGTCTCGTGGATCTCCTCGAGGACTTCCTCCACCTCGATCGCCGCCTCTTCCGAATCCGCGTCGACGTTTTCCACGACGCGAACGTTAAACGGGTCGTTCAGCGGGCTCTTCTTCTTCTTCGCGGACGACGGCGCGTTCGCGTTGACGGCGTTCTCGTCTCCGTCGCCGTCGTCGTCGTCCTCGGCGTCGGCGTCCGCGAGCGCTTTCATCAAGATGGGATCGACCTGCGATACTCTACGGCCAAACTTTCGCGCGCGCGCCTGCACCTTCGCCTTGTGCAAATCCGCCGCGGCGATGACGTTCCCGCGGTCGATGACGTCGAAGAACGCGACGAGGGAGTCGATGTACAGACGCGCGTCGCGGTTCACCGCGTCGACGTTCGCGTCGTCGTCCTCGCTCGACGCGATCGACTGGTTCGATCGCGTGCGACGCATGCGGTCTTTTCCCGCGTTCTTTTTTTCCTCCGCGGCTTTTTTCGCCGCCGCCTCCGCCTTGGCCGCCTCCCTCGCCGCCTTGAATTCGCCGTCGTCCTCGGACGGCGTCGGCGACGCGCTCCTGCGCACGGAGATTATCCGTTTCAAGCTCGCGATCGATTTCACCGCGCTGAGTTTCGTCTTGGCGCCCTGCTTCGCGCGCGAGATGGCCGGGTTTTCCAGCGGCTTTTTGCCGTCCGAGGCGGAGAATGACGCCGCGGACGCGTTCCTGGACGACTCGTCGATCCGCGGCGTCATCCGCGTCCACACCCCTGGGTCCACCTTGTCGAGACGATCGCTGAACAGCAGCGTCGTCTGCAGCAGGTTATACACCGCGGCGGAAGCTTCGTTCATCTGTTTCTCCGACGCGTCGGCGGTGAGCTTGTTGATGCGCGTGCGCTTCTCCTCGCGGTATTGCCCGCTCTCGAGCTTCGCCTCGCCGCTGCGCGCGGCGAACAGCTGCTTATCGATGTTCTTCCCCCCCGCCGAATCCGCGCTCGTGATCGCGTCTTCTTTCTCTTTCGCGAGCTCCTCGAGCAGCTCTTTGTGCCTCGCCACGAGGTAGTCGTGATGCGACTGCACCGCGACGGACTCGTTTCGAACGCTCTCGATCTCTTCTCGGCGGTTGATAAACGTCGCGACGAGATCGTCCGGCTCCATGTCCGGCGTCACCGCCTGGATCCGTCGCAGCGCGTCCTCCATCCGCTCTTCTTCTAACGCGATGGACGACGACTTCAGCATCTGAAGGAAACTCTTCGCGTGCGTGCCCTTCGCGCCGCGCATGCCCTTCGGCGCCCCTCCCGAGGCTTTCGAATACGCCTCCTCCTCCGCCTGTCGCTTAATCTTCACGAGCTGCTCCTTGAACGCCTTCTGGCGGTCGTTCATCGCCTTGTCTTGCGCCCTCGACGCGAGCAGGCGGCTCCGCAACAGCGTCAGCTGCTCTTGCCAGTTCTCGCGCTTCTCCTTCAGCGACGCCGCGGTCCGCGCGAGCATCTCTTCGGCTCGCCGCCGCTCGTTTAACAGCGTCGCCAGCCGCGCTCGGCGCGACGTCATGTCCGACGTCATGTCCTTATCGAACCGCTCCATCTCGTGCACGATCGGGTCTGTCCACGTCAAGTGCTGCGTCGCTTCGATGACGTCGTCCTTTCTGCGCTGCGACGCGTTACGGGCGGACGCGGCTAACGCCTTCGGGGCGGACGTTTTCAGCGTCGCGTGCGGATTCGCTCGCCGCTTCTCCGACGTCGGGTCCTCCTCGCGAAGGCGTATGATGATGTGCCCGTAGTTGAGCGTGCGGAACTCCTCCTCGTCCGCGGCTCGGTTCGACTCCTCTATCCGACGTTCGAGCGCGTCGACGGTGAGCGCGGACGCCGGGCCGGACTCGTCCGCGTCCCCGAGCGCCTCGGGAGGGAGCTCGACGCTCTGAGGGCCATTCCATACAAAAATAGTTCATCGGTCAGTTGAAAGGGGACGCGATCAAATGTTGAAACCGAGCGGTGGGTGAAAAACTTTTGTATAGAACGCACCTGAATCGCGCCGCCGCCGCCGCGGTAACTCCGCCCGTCGTCCGCGAGCGTCTGGTTCTTCAGCTCCTGCGCGGCGAAGTCGATCTGCAGCTGCGCCAGCTCTTTTTCGATTCGGATCTTATCGTTCACGACGCTGTTGTACCGCGTCGCCATCTTGCCGACGATCTCCCGGTAGAACTCCATCTCGGACGTGACGATGGAATCTTTCGCGATGGCCGCTTCCTTCGCCGCGGTTTTGCGCGCCTCTAAATCCCTCTGTCTCTGCAGCCGCGCGCGCGCGAGCTCCTCCTGCTTCTTCTTCGAGAGCTTCTTCCCGTCCGCGCCGGTGGCGATCTTCTTCGCGTCGCCACCGTCTTTATTCGACCCCCCGACGCTCTTGAGCATCGACGCCGGCTTCGCGGCGTTCATGTCCGGACCGGAGAAGTAGTGCCCGTCAGCGCTCTTTCCGCGGTACTTCGGGTTCGAGCTGAACATCACCCTCGGGCCGCCCTTCTCGCGCGCGAGGTCTTCCTTCGACTTCCCGGGCTTCGCGTCGGAGATTAAAAACCCCTTGTGGAGCTCGCCGACGAGCGCGTAGTCCGGCTCCGCGAGCGCGATGTCCGCGCGGGGTTTCGTCGCGCCGAATCGCGATTCGCGCGAGGAGGGCTCATCGCTCGAGACGCCTCCGCGCGTCAGCGGCGCGACGGTCGAGGGCGCGGACGAGGCCGCGGGCGGCGGCTTCTTCTTGCCCCCTGGCGGTCCCGGCGGCCGCGGCTTGCTCGCCGTCGTCGTCGTCGCCGACGTCGTCGCGGTTCGGATGCCCCCGGTGCTCGCGCGCGTTCGCCGCGCCGCCGCCGTCGCCGCCGCGGAGGCGAACTCGTCGTTCCACGGCGTCTCTCCGGCGCTCGCGCGCGCGCTCGACTTCTTCCAGACGCGCGCGCCGTACACCCCCGCGGCAGCCGCGGTCCCCGGTGTTTCGTTTTCTCTTTTATTCGACGACGACGACGACGCGGACGCGCGCTTCGACGCCGCCGCCGCGACGCTCGACCGCGTCGTCGGCTTCGCCTCCGCCGCCGCCGCCGCCGCGCTCTTCTTAGCCTCGGGCTTCGCGGCGGCCGTGGTCGGTCTCGCGACCGCGACTTCCTTTTCCTTTACTTTTGTCTCCTTCGCCGCCGCCGCGGGTTTCTCGGGCTCGCCTTCCTTCCCGACGTCGTCCACGCCGACGTCGACGCGGACGTTGTCTCCGCTCGGCGAGATCGTCATCGTCGCCCTCACCGGGCTCGCCGGCTCCGGCGCCGGCTCGAGAAGACCGACGTCGAGCCGGACGTTGTCTCCGCTCGGGGAGATTTTCATCGTCGCCCTCACCGGGCTCGCCGCTTTCGGCGGCGCCGCCGCTTTCGGCTTCGTCGGCTCCGGCTCCGGCTCCGGCGGCGGCGGCGGCGCCGACGTAGATTTAGATTCCGATTCGTCCTCCCCGGCGGTTTCGGTCAACGACTCCTCCTCCTTCGCCTCCGCCGCGACCGTCTTCGTCTTCGTCTTCGCCTCGTCGTCCACCTCCGTCGTCGCGACGCCGTCCTCCTCCTCGATCTCGCCGTCGGACGCGATGTCCACGCGGACGTTATCGCCGCTCGGGGAGATCTTCATCGTCGCGCTGACCGGCGTCGGCGGCGCCGCGGGGGCGACGAGCCGCTCCGGTATCGGCGTCGGGCTGCCGCGTCCCTCGATCTCGGCGTCAGCGTCCGTCGCGGCTGCCGCCTTCCTCGCGCGCTTCGCCTCGCGGTACGCGCGCAGCTCGTCCGGGATCGTCCAGACCGTCTCCTTCGTGTCCTTGTGGTAGTAATACGCGCGGCCGTCCGCGGCGGTCGCCTCTTTCCATCGCGGCCGCTCCGGCGGCGACGCCCCCTCCGGCGAGACGAGGCTCATCCGAGAAGAAATCGATTTATTTCTCGCGGACGAGACGCGACGCGTCGCCGCTCGGGGGGGGGGTATCGAGCGCGCGGTGCGGCGGGTGCGACGCGCGCGCGGCGTTCGACGCGCGCGGATAGGACGCGCGCGGGGGGTGGAGGACGTGAGGTGCGACTCCGCGGCCGTCGCGCGACTCGCGCTGTGACGTCGGAAGACCGTTTTTTTCATCCTTTCCCTCCACGGCTCTGGAGTTCCCCCCGCCCGCGAGCGTCAGGTGCGTTCTATCAAAAGTTTTTCACCCACCGCTCGGTTTCAACATTTAATCGCTCTCCCTTTCAACTGACCGGTGAACTTTTTTTTGATTGGATGGCCCTCACTCAGTCCGCCGCGTGACCTCCGAGAGGTCCGTCCCCCGACGCGCCGCGACGACGCGCCATATCGACGGTCGCGCCGCGACGACGCGCCATATCGACGGTCGCGCCGCGACGGGACGCGTCACGATGCTTCGACGCGTCGCGGCGGCGCTCGTCGCCTCCGCGGCGTCGACGTCTTCGGCGTCTGCTTCCACCGCGCGCGTCGCGTCGGACGCGGCGTCGCGCGCGTTCGCGGACGCGTCGCGCGACGCGCTCCTCGCGCGTCATCTCGCCGCGTCGTCGTCGTCGTCGTTCGGACGGAGGGGCGCCGAGACCGCGACGGTCGCGTCGTCGTCGCTCTTGACGCGGCTGCAGCCGCCTCTCACCGCGCGCGGCGCGTCCGTCTTCTCGCGGCATCTGTCCTCGAGCGGCGGCGCGCGCGGCGGCCCGCGTCCCGTCGTGACGCATCGGAGCCACGACAAGCCGCGCGCGTCGTCGTCGTCGAAAACGCGGAAAACGTCGGAACCACCGGAACCTCCTCCTCGTCATCGTCAGCTCAACCCGGAACCCGAGATCGACGGCATGCCGCGATACCCCGAGCTCTCCATCCCCGGCACGCTCCGCTTCCTCGACTACTTCGGCACCGCCTCGTTCGCGATGACGGGCACGCTCGCGGCGGCGGCGAGAGGCATGGATCTCCTCGGGTGCGTCGTCGTCGGGACCATCACTGCCGTCGGAGGCGGCACCGTGCGCGATCTGCTCCTCGGCCGCGGCCGGCGCGCGTTCTGGATGGAAGAGATCGAGTACCTGTGGATATGTCTCGGCACCGGAGTGTTAACTTTTCTGTCGTGGCCGACGCTGCGGAGGGAGTTCGGCGTGGACGAGAGCGACTGGTGGGTGGAGGCGTGGGACGCGATCGGCGTTGGCGCGTTTTGCGTCATCGGCGCGCAAAACGGTGAGACGAGACGCTACGCTCGAGACTGATCCCCATACGATACGCACTCGATCGCGCGGCGCGTCGCGTTCGTTGTGCTCGAGACGACACTCGCTGCTCGAACGGTCGCTGACCGTCCGTTACGTTCACTCGTCTCGTCCGCGCAGGCATACGAGCGGGGGTGCCTCTGCCCGCAGTGATCGCGTGCGGGATGTTCACCGCGACCTTCGGAGGCGTCATCCGCGACGTCCTCATGTCGCGACCGGTGCGCATACTGCACTCGTACACGGACATCTACGCCAGCGCCGCGCTGGGCGGGGCGAGCGCGTACGTGCTCGTGCGCGCGACGGCCGCATCCGTGAGGCGCGTCCTATTAGACTAAATTATCACACCGGTCCCCGTACGACCCCGTTCGCGCGGCGCGTGCCGTTCCTCGAGGACTTTTGGATCCCGGCTGTGTGGCGTGTCTCTCCCCCCCGCCGCTCGCTTTCAATCTCGACACGCGCACCGCGAGCCTCGCGACTCCACCCACCTGACGCCCCCCGACCTCCTCCACCCCGACGACGGACGTCGCTTCGCGCGGACCCTCGACCCTCAGCGCGAGAATTTTCGCGGGCGTCGCCGTCGCCGTCGGGTTGCGACAGCTGGCGACGCGTTTCGACGTGCGGTTGCCGACGTTCGGGGACGATCGCGCGCGCGTCGCGGCGATGTCGAAAGGCGACGACGGCGGGGGCGCGCGGCCGCCGTTGCGGGAGGTCGCGGACGCGGCGTGGAAGCTCTTAGGGCTGGCGGGGGGCGAAGAGGAGGAGGAGGAGGAGGACGCGTCGTCGCCGCCGCCGCCGCCGCCGCGCCGCGGCGTCTTCGGTCGAGGGTGATTATGAATTATACACACCGTCGTAGAGAGGCAGGCTTCTCGCTCACGACACCCTAGCTAGGGCCACACACATCACGCCACTCGCTCGCTCGCATCGCGTCTCATCACATCGGATCCGCCGGAGACACGAGCCCTTGCGTGCACGAGATCGCCTTCCACTCCTTCCTCGTCTCCGCGTCCATCTCATTGAACGCGCCGTAGCCCTCTTTGACGACGCAACGCTCCGCGTTTTGCAGGTACCCCTCCAGCATCCGCCCCTTGCTGCTCTTGCCGTCCGGGACCGTGTCAGGGCTCCAGCTCTGAGGGCGGTTCGTTCCACACGAAGCGAAGAAGTCGGGGTGGAGTTCAGGGGTGCGTCAGAAGCGGAGTCGAAAGGCGTCGAGGCGCGTCGGGGATGAAAGCGAGGCGCGGTGGGCGGAGAGACGCGCCGGGACCCGAAAGTCCTCAAGAGACGGCGTTCACCGCGCCGACGCGGTCGTATGGGAACCAGTCGGTGTGATAACAGAACGCGCCTGTCCCGCGCTCGCGAGGTACGCCGCGTTGTCGCGGATGATCGTGTCCGTGTTCATGAGCGCCGCGAACGAGTTGGTGTGCCCCGGGTGGTCCCACTTAGGGCCATTCCATACAAAGCGATGTCGGGGTAGAGTTCATAGGCGTCAGTTGGAGTTGAAAGGCGTCGAGGTCGGGGATTGAACGCGAGGGGTGGGCGGAGAGACGCGCCGGCAAAAGTCCTTAAGGATCGGCGTTCACCACGCGGACGCGGTCGTATGGGAACCAGTGTATAGACGCGCCTTGTAGCCCGCGAAGTACGCGTCCGCTTTCGCGACGTAGGCGTCCAGGTCGCCGTCGCCGACGCGCAGGAGCGAGCGCTGCCTCGCGATCATGTCCTTCGTGTCGGTGACGTAGTCCGTGAGCGCGGCCGGATCGGAGGCGGCGCGGGCGATCGGGGCGAGGGGGGGGGCGAGCGCGATTGATGACGCGAGCGCGATTGACGCGAGCGACGCGCGACGCCCCATGATGGATCGCGATCTCGACGCGTCGTCGTTTTCGACGTCGACGCGCGACGCGCGGCACGCGACGACGCGCGCGCGGGAGATGTTCGACGCGCGCGCGGGACGCAGCGCAAGGAACGACGGGCGAGCCGTCGGCGCGAGGAGCGAGGACATGACGACGGACGAGCGGCGCGGCGCGGGACGTGACGACGCGCGGGCGGAACTAACACTCTCTTAGGGATTTGGCTCTCTGCGCGAGCCGTATCGTTTCGGAAGATTCGATACGAGTAACCTTAGTGTATTTACGCACGGCGGCGCGCCGCGACTAGCTCTGCTCGTACACGTCACTCCAGCGCGCCGACTTGCTTCATCAGCGCCGTGTGCGTCGGGAACGGATCCAACCGCCCCGCGGCCAGCTCCCTCTCGCTGATCCCGCAGAAGAACCCGTTCCTCCACTCGAACTCCTTCACCGCCGTCGGAAAGTGCGACACCGCGCGCGCGTACGCGGCGAGCCTCGGGATCGTCCCCTCCGCGAATCGCACCCCCTTGGCGCTCTCGCTCCCGGCGACGAGCTCCGCGATGAGCGCCTCCACCTCCTCCTTGTGCGCGCTCTCGACGTCGCCCACGGTGGCGCCGGGGTGCGCCGCGCCGACGCCCATGAACGCACAGATCCAGATGAGCTTTTCGAACATCGACGCCCTGAACGCGTCGTCGTCCAGCACGTGGCATCTCAGACCGCCCGATCGCAGCCTCGCGGCGAACGCGTCCGCCCACTCGCCGTTCGCCGCGGTGAGCCCCTCCGGGTTCGCGTCCGTGATCCCGTCCGTGGGCTTCTCGTTCATCTTCGCGACGGCGAAGTAGACGAGCGCCTGCGTGTTGCCGCCGAGGCCGCGCGCGTCGAGCCACGGTTGGAGCATGCCGTTCTGCAGAAAGACGAGATCTTTCCGTCGCGCCTCCGGGGTGGCGTCGACGACGCCCTGGAGCGCGTCGTTCCGCGTGCAGACGTAGATGGGCCCGGTCGCGGGCGAGGAAGGGAACGCGTCGCCGCGCTTCACGATGACGTCGCCGTCCACGCCCATGTCGAACAGCGCTTGGCCGACGCGGCCGCCTCCGATGATGATCGAAGGCATCACCCCGTCGGAGGAGGACTGGGACGACGACGCCATCTTGACGGACGACGACGCTCGACGACGAGAGGAGGAGGCGACGCGACGGCGCGCGGCGACGACGCGGGTGGTGGAGAGAGAGCACGCGGCGGGGCGCGAGCACGCGGTCGCGACGGAGGCGATCATGCTACGAGGGCGACGGCGCGCGACGGACGAATGCGCGGGAGACGACGAGACGGACGGACGATAAAGCACTGCCGTGCCGTCTGCGAGATCTCGCACTGGATCTCGATCTCGTCGCGCGGCTGAGAAGATTGATGTCTGTTTGGTCGTAGCAGTCGTCGTACAAGGTACTCACACATAAAAAAACGCACACACTCCATGCGTTTCTTTCTTCTCATCTCTCGCTCATCGTCTCTTCGCCCCCAAGGATGTCTTCTCGCGCTCCGCCTTCGCCTTGTTCCGCCGCGCGACGCTGCTCTTCAACACCGAGCGCGTCATCCGCTCGGGGCCGCCCTTCTTCATCAGCTTGGCTCTCGCTTCGCCGAGCGCGCCTTTGAACTTATCCCCGAGCGCTTTAATCTTGAACCCGCCGGGTTGTTCTTCGCCGAGCTCGCCGCCGCGGCCGGGCTTGAGAGGGTTCGCCCTCGCGGCGGACGCAGCGGGGTTCTCCGCGGGGCACATCTCGAGCTCCGCGCACACGCGCGCGGGGTCCGCGAGCACCGCCGACGCCTTCGGGTCGTCGTTCCATCGTTCAAAGCGACGTCGGGGCGGAGTCGAAAGGCGTCAGAAGCGGAGTCGAAAGGCGACGAGGTCGGGCGTTGAAAGCGTGGGGTGGGCGGAGAGAAACGCCGGGAGAGAAAGTCCTTAAGAAACGGCGTGCACCGCGCGAACGCGGTCGTATGGGGACCAGTGCGGTGGAGAGAGAGAGATCGCAACGCGCCTTGGTCAGCGCCGACGGCCCGTACTTCTCAACCGCCGCCTCGCACTCGGCGTCGAGCTCAAACTGCGCCGCGTACTTGTCGCACAGATCGTCCGCCTGCGCGATGAGCTGCGTGATCGCGTCCGGGGAGGACACTGCGGCGTGCAGCGACTCGACCGCGAACTTGCACTTGAGGCAGTCCGCGCCGGGCCCCGGCCGCGGCGGCGCAGGCGCGACGACGGCGCGCGAGAGAAACCGCGACATTCGCGACGGATCCTTCGGCGTCGTCGCCTTGGACGCGTCGTGACGCGCGCAGAAACCGGCGACGTCGCACGCGGATTGGGGCGTGACGTTGTCGTTGATGAATTGCGTCGCGGACTGGATCCCTGACGCGATGAGTTGTTCGCACTGGAGAGATCGGGATCGGGATCGGGATCGGGGGGGGACGTCAGCTCCGACGGCGTGACTGATGTTCTCATTTAATTAATTGCGCCCCGAAGAAGACGCGCGGCGGATCTGAGCCGCTCGGCGCGCGACGGGCGCGGGTTCGAGCGCGCACCATGTTCTTATCTTTCCCCGCGGTCTCGCACGCCTTCACGGCGTACGCCTGGAACTTCTCCTGCGTCGCCGGGTCGTTGAGGAACGCCTCGCCGTTCTCGACGAACGCCTCGCATGATTCGCAAAGCTTCGCGAGCGGGCGCGGGGCGCGCGCGTCCGCGGGCGGTCGCGTCGTCGCGGGTTCGACCGCGGCGTCCGCGGCGCGCGCGGCCGCGGGCGCGAAGATGAGCGCGAGGAGCGCGAGGAGGACGAGCGCGAAGCGCGTCGACGTCTTCATCGTGGCGGGCGCCGCGAGAGATGGACGGAGCGCGGGGGGGGGGGGGGCGTCTCTTCGTTCTGCACGCGGCCCGGAGTCGGAAAATCGCGTGGCGTACGAGTACGCAAATGTTGTACATGGCGCGCGTATGGGCAATTGCAGTGAGTCGGAAAACGTATTTTTTCCGCCCGCGAGCCGAGGTTCTGTTCGAAATGCGAAGCACCCGCCTGCTGATCTGAATGAAGGCCAGTCGCGCCGGGCGCCTCCCCCCTCCCCGCGCGCGATGTCGTCCAGCGGGAGCTCGGACGACTCCGACGACGACTTCGCCGCGGAGCTGGAGGCGACGATGGCGAACGACGGCGACGACGGCGGCGACGCGAAGCGCGCGAGGACCGGGGACGCGCCGTCGTCGTCGATCGCGACGCGGGAGGACGCGAAAACGAACGACGACGACGTCGACGACGCGTGCCCTCCCCACCCCGCGTTCATGTTCGACATCTGCGTCCGGTGCGGGAAGCGCAGAGAGAAGGGCGACGACGACGCGAGCGGCGGCGGCGGCGGCGCGGGAGGCGGAGACAAGAGCACGTCGATGCGATACATCCACGAGGGCCTCGAGCTCTCCGCGAGCGAGCTCGAAAAGGCGAAGCGCGAGGAGAAGCGCAGAGTCCTCACGTCCGGGAAGCTCCTCCTCGTCCTCGACTTGGACCACACGCTGCTGAACAGCGCGCGCTTCAGCGAGCTCACGCAGGAGCAGCACGACGGGTTACATCGCGTCATCGCCGCGTGGGAGTGTCGAGAGAAGGGCGGCGACGACGCCGCCGTCGCCGCCGCCGCGCGCGACGCGCTTCTCCCGCCGCCGCCGCCGCCCGGGGAGGAAGAGAAGGAGAAAGCGACGGCGACGGAGGAGAAAGAGGAGAAAGATGCGAACGAGGAGAAAGAGGAGAAAGATGCGAAAGATGCGAACGAAGAGAAAGATGAGAAAGAGGAGAGGGAGGCAGACGACGGCGACGCGACGCCCGAGACGTACCCCGGAACGTCGCCGCCGCTGGCGGAGCTGCGCTGCCTGCGGCCTCTCTGCATGTTCACCAAGCTGCGACCGCGCGCGCGCGAGTTTCTCCGCGCCGCGTCCGCGATGTGCCAACTGTACGTGTACACGATGGGAGACAAAAACTACGCGCGAGAGATGGCGAAGATCCTGGACCCGACCGGCGAGCTGTTCAACGGGCGCGTCATCGCGAACAGCGACTCGACGTGCTCGAGGACGAAAGACCTGGACATCGTGTTGGGCGCCGAGGGCAGCGTCCTGATCGTCGACGACACCGACCGCGTCTGGCCGCACAACCTCGCGAACTTGATCCGAATCGATCGGTATCACTTCTTCCCGCAGAGCGCCGCGGGGTTCCGACAGCCCGGGCGGAGCGTCCTCGAGCGCGCGTGGAAGGACGAAGGCGCGAACGGCGACAGGGAGCAGCTGAGGGACGTCCTGAGGGTGATCGCGACGGCGCACGCGGCGTTTTTCCGCGGCACCGCCGCCGCGGGAACATCGTCGGACGCGACGATGGAGGCGTCGGACACGAAAGCGGCGATTTTGTCGGACACAAAAGCGGCGATTTTGTCGGACGCCGCGCCGACGCCGACGCCGACGCCGAAGAGGCACTGGAAAGTCGTCAGCGACGACGACGCGAGGGACGTGTTGGACGCGCGCGACGTGCGCGCGCTGCTGACGGTGCCGGGGGATGGCCCGCTGCTCGGCGCGCGGCTGACGTTCTCGCGCGTCGTCTCCGTCTCAGAGCCGAGACCGGAGCGACATCCGCTGTGGTTGCTCGCGACGTCTCTCGGCGCGGAAGTCAGGCGCGTTCTATACACTGGTCCCCATACGACCCCGTTCGCGTGGTGAACGCCGATCCTTAAGGACTTTGCCCGGCGTTTCTCTGCGCCCACCCCTCGCTTTCAATCCCCGACCTCGACGCCTTTCAACTCCAACTGACGCCTTTCAACTCCACCCCGACGTTCGCTTGTATGGAACGACCGTCAGCGCGACGGCGCGCGAGGGCGTCACCACGCACGTCGTCGCGCACGCGGGCGAAGGGCGGACGGATAAGGTGCGATGGGCGGAGAGGAGCGGCGCGCACGCGGTGTCGATCGAGTGGCTGACGACGTGCGCGGCGACGGGGACGCGCGCGGACGAGTCGGCGTTTTCGCTCGTCGAGCCGGCGAAGAGAGGAGCGGCGAGCGGCGGCGGCGGCGGCGGCGGCGGAGGAGGAGGAGGAGACGACGCGGAGACGAAAGAAGAGGACGAAGAGCCCGAAGTCTCCGCGTGAGAGGAGAGGATGGGCGACGTACTGTAGGGCGCGCGTAGTGAACGAACGATGCGATGCGATAGGGAGGGCGGCGTCGGACTGGACGCCGCGCGCGCCGAAGAAGGATTTAAAAATATTAAAAATATTAAAACGGCGCGACGAGCTTCGCGACGCCCTTCGTGAAGGCGTTGAACGCGGCGTCGCTGACCGGGTCGTCGCCCAGGTAGACGTCGAACAGCGCGAGCGCGAGCTCTTCGCTCGCGCTCGCGATGCTCTTACCGCCGCCGACGCTCACGCACAGGACGTCGCCGCCGTCCGACGCGTTCGGGCGCCACGCGATGGTCACGCGCGTCCCCTTCTTCAGGTTCTCGCCCGCGAAGAGACCCTTGAGACTCTCCGCGCCGTCCATCGCCGCCTCCTCCGCCACCTCCGCAGCCTCCGCGACGGTCGCCATGAAGTTCCCGTCCTCGTCCTCCTTCGTCGCCATGTCCGTCGCGATCCTGCGAATCCGCGGCGTCACCGCGTCCTCGAGCGCGTCCCAGAACGTCTCGCCGCCGACGTCGCGCGCGAGCTCGATCGCGAGCGTCTTATCGAACGCGCCGTCGAGCGGCGTCGCGCCGGTCGTCAGCGCCGCTTTGCACGCGTCCGCGTCGACGTACAGCGCGACGGCGTACACCTTGACGTTGATGATCGCGATCTTCTTCTCGCGCACGCCGGCGCCGACGCACGTCAGCGAGGCGCCGTCTTTCACCGCGCTCGGGAGCGCGTCCTCGAACGTGATCTTCGTCGCGGGCTCCGTCACCGCCGCGCGCGTCGTCGTGGTCGTCGCGCGTCCGCGTCGCGAGGAGACGCGCCGCGCGCGACGCGACGCGGACGCGCGCGCGGGGACGACGGCGCGACGCGCCGCGAGCGCGGCGTGGGTCGCGGACATCGACGCGACGCGTTCTTCCTCTCGGCGCGCGCGCGAGGGGAGTGGCGGACGTCTTATCGGTTCTCGCTCTCGTGTCGCCGAAAGATTTTTAACGATCATCCTCGTCGCGAGACGACGCACTCCTCGACGCGCGTCGCGTCATGTCGCACGCCATCTCGACGACGCGCTCGCCGCTCTGCCGCGCGCTCCTCGCGGGCCGCGGACCTACGTCGTCGTCGCGCGCCGCGTCGTCGTCGTCTTCCTCGTCCCCGTCGCCGTCTCGCGTCGCGCCCCCATCTTCGTCGTCGTCGTCGTCGTCGCGCGCGACCACGATCGTCGTTCGCGCGGCGTTCGGAGGCAAGGGGAAGCGCCCGAAGCTTCCCCTCGACGTGGACGACGCGGTGAAAGGCGGCGTCGGCGGCGCCGTCCTCGGCGGCCTCCTCCTCGGCCCGTTCGGCGCGATCCTCGGCGCCAACTTCGGCGCCAACCTCGGCGCGGACAAGCGGCGCGCGAAGCAAGAGGAAGCCGCGCTCCTCAAGCGCGGCATCACGCGGGAGCTCCTCGACGCGGTGACGAACTGCGCGGAGTCGCTGCGCGACGCGGAGGAGGCGCTCGCGACGGCGAAGGAGTCGTACGCGCTCGCGCTGGAGGAAGCGAGCGCGCTGGACAGAGAAGCGATCGAGCTGTACGAGAGAGCGTCGGAGGCGGTGGCTGCGGGCGCGGACGACGACGCGCGGCGATTTCTCACCGCGCGCAAGAAGACGCTGGGGAGCTTAGAGGACGCGAAGGATCGCGCGCGTTCCGCGTTGGAGCGCGTGAATCGCGTGCAGGGGTCCGTGGAGACGCTCGCGACGCAGGCGAAGCGGTTGGAGGGGATCCTGAGGGATCAGATGGCGGCGGCGGCGGAGACGAACGCGGCGGAGGCGGCGAGGAAGTTCGCGAGCGACGGCGACGCGTACGACGCCGCGAGCGGGTCGGCGACGGAGCTGGAGGATCCGCTCGAGAGACGGTTCCGCGAGCTCGAGGGGAAGTGAGTATATATCGCAGGGCCTGCGATGCCGCGCGTCGATGATCGTAAATCATCACGAGGAGCGAGAAGAAAGAAGTGAAGACTGGCGAAGTCCTTAAGGATCGGCGTTCACCACGCTGACGGGGTCGTATGGGAACCAGTGTGCGCACCGATGATGATGAAGATGATGATGAAGAAGAAGAAGGAGACAACCTGCGAGTAGTCTACTATAAGATAGATGTTTCGGCGAGGTCTAACACGCAACGCTTCTCATCACGCCGGCGTGTAGCAGTACCGGTGCTCGGAACACTTCCGCTTCGCACACGTGTCCGCGTCGACGCCGCAATCGCTGTCGTCGCGACACGTGTGCGCGTCTCGATCCGCGTCCAGAACGTGGCACCGCGGTCCGTCGCGGGCACCAACCGGGGACCCGCCGACCGACGCGTCCGCGTCCGCTTTCGCGCGCGCCTCTTCGTCGTACTCCTCCTCCTCCTCCTCCTCCTCCTCCTCTTCCTCCGCGCGCGCTTTCGCGGCGCGCATCGCGTCCCTGAGCTCGCGCTGGAGCCGCTTCGAGGTCGACCGCAACTTCCGAAGCGTCTTCTCGTTAAACGCGACGTCGTCGACCGTTTTTTTCCATCCCCGCCGTCGCCGCGACGACGCGGCGCTCACTCCCGCTTCGTTTCCATCGCGCGCGCCGCCTCCATCTCGCGCCTCCTCGTCGATGTCCTCGTCGACGTCCTCCTTCTCCTCCTCCTCGCCCTCTCCCTCGTTCTCCGCTGCGCACGTCCGCGTCGTGAGCCCCCCTCCCGCGCCGTCGTGCCTCGCCGCCGACAACGCCGCGCTCGGATCCTCCCAGTACCGGACGTACTCGCGCCGCCGCGGCGACGGAGACGCCGGCGGCGGGCCGCGCAGGAGCGACAACACGTCGTCGTCGTCGTCGTCGTCGTCGTCGCGATGCCGCGACAGTCGCGCGTTAGTGATCGACCCCGCGACGGGTCGGTCTCGGTCGGTCGATCCGTCCCGCGCCCCGCTCCCGTCTCCGTCTCCGTCCCCGTCCGCGTCCGCGCGCGCGAACACCGGCAGCGGGTGCCCCTCCGTGTTGAAGATGACGTTCCGCGTCGATAGAAACGAGTCGTCGAAGAGCAAGTACAGATACGTGCACGTCTCCGCGAGGAAGAAGCTGTGCATGTGGTCCTCCAGGGTTTTGAACTGCACGTCCTTCACGGACGCGAACCCGCCGGGCACGCGCGCGTGACGGTTGATATCCCGAATGATCTCTTCGCCTATGAAGCGATACGAATCGTCGCGCGTCGCGTGAAACAAGATCGCCGTCGACTCCGCGAGCTCCGGCCGGAGCGGATAATACCGCTCCGACGCGTGCAGCGTGCCGTCGACGTACTGATACCGCTCCGGGAACATCTCGTACTTTCGCCACACGCTCCACAGCCGCGCGTGCGTCTTTTTCGCGGCTCGAACGTCGCCGTTTAACACCTGCAACCCGGGCCAAAACGCCTGCAGCGACGTCGCCTGCAGATGCGTGGGCGCGCCGGTGTCCATGTTCGACTCGTGGTACCAACCCTCCGGCGTGCGGTAGTGCTTCGTCGCCGCGACGTACGCGTCGGAGAACGCGTCGGCGCTCCACTGGCCAGCACGAGCGAACGTCGGGGTGGAGTTGATAGGCGTCAGATGGAGTTGAAAGGCATGGAGGTGTGTCGGGATTGAAAGCGAGTGACCCTGGGAAGAGAGAAACACACGCCGGGAGACAGTAAAGTCCTCAAGGATCGGCGTTCACCGCGCCGACGCGGTCGCATGGGGACCGGTGTGAATAGGAGAACGCGCCTCGTCCCCGAACGCGACGTGCTTCTTCAAGAGGTACTCGAAGAACGAGTCGCATCCCGCGCCGACGCCGCCGCTTCGATCCACCCACCGCCCGGTCTGCACGTCGAGCGTGTTCCCGAGTAAGTTGGTCGCGCGGTTGCGGAGCGACCACAGCGCCTTCGTCGCCCTCGTCGCCGCCAGTTCGAACGCGTCGTCGCCGGTGAGACGCGAGAGCGCGCCAAACTCGAGCGAGAACGACCCCACCGCCGCGACGTTGCTCTCGGTGACTGAGGGTTGAAAGGCGTCAGAAGCGGAGTTGAAAGGCGTCGAGGGCGGGGATTGAAAGCGAGGGATGGGCGGAGAGACGCGCCGGGAAAAGTCCTTAGGGATCGGCGTTCACCGCGCCGACGCGGTCGTATGGGGACCAGTGTGAGATAAAACGCGCGTGGTCGCGCGGGGACCGACGCCACATAGAACGCGCCTTCGCCTTCTCTCACGCCGCGACGCAGGTTCACCCACGCGTACGGCATCCCGGTGCGCGTGTCGAACGCGCGAAGGAGCCTCTTCCCGAGGTCGTGCGCGATCGGGAGTAACCCGCCCTTGTACGACGGCATGAACGCCTCGCCCATCGACGACGACGACGACGACGACGACGCTCGTCGCCCGCGCCCGCCGCCCTTCGTCCCGAACGCGCCGCGGCCCTTCATCCCGCGGACGGCCTCGAGCATCCCTATGTCCCCGCCCGCGATGACGTGCGCGGAGAGGAGCCCGCCGAGCGCGCGGATGTTACACTCGAACGCGTTCACGCGCACGTCCGCGTCGAAGTTCAAGTTTCGCTCCATCCATCGCACATTCCTCGTAAACTCAGGGTCGTTCCATACAAAGCGATGGCGGGGTGGAGTTCAAAGGCGTCAGGTGGAGTTGAAAGGCGTCGAAGGCGGGGATTGAAAGCGAGGGCTGGGCGGAGAGATGCGCCGTGAAAAGTCCTTAAGGATCGGCGTTCACCACGCCAACGCGGTCGTATGGGAACCAGTGTATAGAACGTACCTCAGTGACGTTTCCCAACACCGCGAGCGTGCTCGTGGCGTCGATCAGCGTCAGCGCGACGCCGGCGTACGTCTCGCTCAGGTGCTCGCGCTTCAAGTTCCCGAGCTCGCCGAGCGAGTCCGTGTACGTCCGGGATATCGGCCGCAGCTCGTCGTGCGGGAACGCGTGTTCGAGGTAGTTGTCGTAGCCGTGTTGGAACATCGCGCGCGCGGCCGCCGCGTTCGCGAGGACGCGCGCGTCGCTCATCGTGGTGGGAGGAGGACGATGAGGAGCGATCATCGCGTCGTGCGCGGCGGCGGCGTCGGCGTCGTCCGGTGGTGGCCGACTGGGGGTGGTGAGGCGGGGGGGGTTTGGGGGGGCGACGGCGGAGGAGGTCACGATGATGGTCATGATGATGACGAGAGATCGATCGACGGGGGACGAGAGGCGGCACCGGCGACGCGTTCGTTCGCATCGCTCACCTCATCTCCGCCGCGCATCCCACCGCCGCGAGGAGGAGAAGCGCGAGCGGCGCGACCGCCGCCGCGGCGCGAACGCGCCACGGCGAGCGGCGCGTCATCGCGCGCGTCGCGTCTGTCTAGGCACCTCGAGGCGAACGAAGGTCTCACCACGGTCGGTCGACGCGCCGACCGACCGAGTTCCGCTTCCGAACCGCGCGAGGGCGACACGTCGACGACGATGGACATGTCTCGACGTCTCGGTCGCGTCGCGGCGGCACTCCACGCGCGCGCGCACGACGCACGCCGCAATCCGCCCGCACGTCGCCGCGATGCCGCTCGCCATCGGCTCCGTCTCCTCCGCCGCGACGCTCCGCGCTTCCGCGCGCGCGTCCGCGTCCCATCGCGGTCGGCGACGCGCGAGCCTCGTCGTCGTTCGCGCCTCGGCCTCGTCCTCGTCCTCGTCCGACGACGACGACGCCGCGACGACGCCGCCGTCGCTCCCGTCGCGCCGCGCGGCGATGCTCGCCGGTTTCGTCGCCGCGTCGACGAGCGCGATGATGACGACGCGCGTCTCGCCCGCGCGCGCGAGCTCCGCGGACATGCTCGCGGGCGTCCGAACCAAGGTGTGCGATCCCACCGCGGACGGCGCGGAGTGTCGCGCGAACGAGATCGGGAAAGACCTCGGGGGACTTGGGGACTACGACCAGAAGGCGAACAAAAAAGTCGAGCTCGCGAAGGCGATGACGAACCCGAACATGACCAACTACCAGCTCGACACGATGAAGCTCGTGGACGAGTGCGCGGAGGTGCTCGCGCTGGACGTGTACGACCTCACGAGGGAGAAGAGGATAGGGCAGCTCGTCAAGGACGGGAACGTTTGGAGCAGCAAGTACGCGCCGGGGGGGTCGTCGAAAACGGCGTCTGGGAGAGCGTTTTATAACGCCATCAACCAGGTGAGCGGGCACTTTAACTTCAACGGGATCGCGCCGCTGCCGAAGAGCCGACTGGACGTCGTGAACGCGAACCTCGAGGACACGCGGAAACTCATCGCGCAGGGACGCTGATGATCGAGTTTAAGAGCGAAAACGTCGATCGCATTATTCTCGCGCGCGCGGACGAAGTAGAGTTTCGAGTCATTTATTTTAATACGAGTAATATCACATCAACGCTATGATACATTCGCGCGGTCGACGCGATAGGTCATCGCGATAGGTCATCGCGAAAGGTCATCGCGACCGACCGTCGTCACACCGCGTCGAGGCCCCGCGGCGACCGCGCCGCGTCGTCCCAACCCGGCGAGTACTCGTACTCTCCGCCGCCGCTAAACCGCCGCGACGCCGGCGACGCGACGCCCGCGCTCGCGCCGACGTCATCGTCGTCGACCCCCCAGAGCGCGCCTCCTCCGCCTCTCTCCAAGCTCGTCGCCCGCTCCAAGCTCGACCCTGCGCGCGCGAGCTCGTTCCGCCGCTCCTCCATGTTGCGCTCCGCGGCGTCCATCTGCTTCGAGATCACCGCGAGCTGATTCGCCGTGGACGCGAGCGCGCTCGAGTTGATCGTGTCGCTGAAGCCTTTCACGAGGTGCTGACCGTACTCCATGTGCATCTTGCCCTTCGAGCGGTCGCTGTATTTATACACAAAGTAGCCGACGATGCACGCGAGCGCGATGTTGATTACCATGACCACGGACAGACCGGTGACGATGCCAAAGTGAAACATGACCCAGACGCACACGGACGCGTCGGCGGCGACGATGGCGATGACGATGAGCATCTTCACGATGTTGTACATGAACATTCGGACGCCAACCTCGTGGACGAACAGCATCGCGGACTCGTAGTCCTCAGCGCCGCCGTCTCGGTTCTGGACCTCCATCGCGAGAATCGTCTCGCTCTGCGCCGCCGCGAGCGCGGCTCGGAGTTCCGCTCTTCTCCGCTGCTCGGCGGTGAGCGGCGGCGGTCGCTTTTCGTCGTCGTCGTCGTCGTCGTCATCGCGCGGGGGTTCGCCGTTCGACGGCGTGGAGTGGTCGTCGTTCGCGCTGTCGTCCCCGCCGCCGCCGCGCCGCGTCTTCGAAGCCGAAGCGCGCGGTGTTTTGTTCTGCGGCGCACGTTTCGCCGCCGCCGCCGCCGCCGCCGCGACTTCCGCCTCCTCCTCCTTCGTCAGACGCATCCGCGACCCGGACCCGCTCGCGGCGGCGACCGTCCGCGCGTCGTCGTCCGCGATCGGCGAGAGCTGGTGATACGAGGACGACCTCGGTATCTGCACCGAGAGCGTTTCTCCCGCGGAATTTCGTCGCTCACCGGGGGACGCGTTCGCCGCCGCCGCCGCGCCGCCGCCGGCGCCGGCGGCGCGTCGCGCGGCGTGGTACCGCTTCAGCTCGCTGACGTCTGAACTCGGACCCGTCGCGGCGGCGAGGTCGCCGAAGCTCCCGAACGACCCCCCGCCTCTCGATCCGCCTCTCGAGTGATGCACGGAACCGGGCCCGCCCCTCGACCGCGAGACCGAGTCGATGAATTTCAACAGCACCCCGGACGCGGCCGTCAGCTCGACGCCTTCCCCCGACGCCGCGCTCACGTTGCTCTCCGACCGCTGATGATGGTGCTTCCCCGCGACGGCGTCTTCGGTCACGATGGAAACGCTTCGACCGTTTCTGTTTTCAACATCGCCGTGTCCGCCGCCGCCGTCGTCCACCAGCACCGCTTCGGACATCTCGTCCAAACTCTGCCTGACGAGCGACTTAAACGCTTCAAAATCGAGCGATTTCGACGACGCGTTGCCGCTCATCCCCTTGAAGTGCATCTCGCACCGCCGCCGCCACACGTCGCTCGCCCAGTCGAGGTCGCCGCCGTCGCCGGCAGATTTCGCGGCGGCGGCGGCTACCGCGAACGCGTCCCGCGCGAAGAAACGCGTCGCCTGACCCTCGCTCAGCGCTCGTCTCTCGTCCTCGTCCGCGCTCTGGAAGCACAGCGATACCTTCGCGTCGAACGCGCCGCCGCACAGCATGCACGCGAGGCACGTCAGGCGGTTCGTGGACACCGCGGAGCCGCGCGAGAAACGCTTGTTCGCGCGCGCGAGCCCGTCCACGGTGACAGCCTGCAGCATTCGGTTCGGGATGTCGTCCGCGCGGAGGCCCAGGTCGTCGAGCGCGCGAATCAGCGCGCTGCCGGTGATCTCTCTCGGGAGCGCGGTCGAGGAGGACGACGGCGCGGAGGCGCGGCACACGGCTGCGATCGCGTCGGTCGCGTCCACGTGTTTCCCTGCGGCGAAGGATGACGCGTCGTTCGCGATGGATTCAGATTTATTCTCTCGGAGACGGACGAGGCGAGAGGCGCGAGCGGACGGGCGGTGCGGACGACGACGCGCGACCGCCGCGCGGGGCCGCCGCGACGCGCGACGCGACGTCGAGATCGCACGACGTTCGACGCACATGGACTGTTTTCGAGGACGTCGTGCAGCGCGAGAAGCGTGTCCAGGCGCGGCATCGCGGACGACGACGACTGTTCCCCCGCGTCACGGCTCCGTGACGCGATGACGCGAGGCGCGGCCTCCGGGTCCGCGACGGACGGCTGCGGTCGCGAGACGACGCGCGAGCGAGTTTGTCTCCGCTCGAGCACGGCGCGACGAGAGAAGCGTCGCCGAGCGCGGTCGCGGGTCGCGCGCGCGCGATGAACTGCGGCCGTCGCGCGCGCGTCGCCGCGTCGACGCGAGAACGAGACGAGACGAGACAGGGTGGGCACCTCAGCTCGATGCCGCGACGCGACGCTGGCGACGACGAGTTTCGTTCGCGTTTCGACCGCGCACTCTCATCGCGCCCGCGGCACGCATGAGCGGCGAGTACGAGGTCACCGTGGACGTCACGCGGTTGGACGCGACGCCGAACCCGGCGCCGCTGGACGCGGAGCTCAACCTCGAGGCGCGCGAGCGCGGCGCGCGTCGGCCCGTCGCGTCGGATGTTTTAATGTTTTTCCTTCGCGCGCTCGCCTCGCCTCGCCTCGCCTCGCCGTCGTCGCGAACGCCGTCCCAACCCACCCACCCGCTACCTTCCTCTCGTCGCAGATCGACTACACCACGAGCGCGGACATCCCGGGCGCAAAGTGGGAGATCCGGTACGTGGTCGACATGGCCGCGAACCGCTACGTCATCGCGGTGCGTCGGCAGCCGTCCCGTCCATCGTCCCTCCTCTCTCTCGTTCGTCCCGTCTGGTTCTGTTCAAAAAAACATCCATCATCCGTCGTCGTCGGACCTCCTCCGTCCTCACGACGCGCGCCGCGACGCCACGAACCCTTCTAACCCCGTCCTAACAGGTCGGCGAGGGCGAGGTCGCGGACGTCGAGAAGGGCGCGAACGCGTTCAGGTTCCACAGCCCCGGGATGGAGCTCGACGGCGTGAAAAAGGTGCGTTCTTACAAAAGTTGTTCACCCTTTCCCGGTTTCAACATTTGATCGCGTCCCTTTTCAACTGACCGGTGAACTATTTTTGTATGGAACGACCCAAAGTCGTGGTTGAACAACGTCGGGCTGCTCCTCGCGGTGCTTCTGAACGCGAACGGCGAGGAGATGATACAGGTGTCCATGGTGACGCAGGTGATGAAGGGGAGCGACGGGAAGCTCGAGCGGTTCGTGATCAGCCCGCTGGAGTGATGCGATGGACGGGGGGGCGTTTGGCGTTTGGTTTTAGCCGCCCGTCCGATCGACGACGCCGTGGTCGTCAGCTAGCCGCGCGCGCGTCGCGAGTGTGCGATAGTAGTAAACGCGTCACCGGACGTTACAACCCCCACGCGCTTCAAATCATCACTCGCCGCCGTTCGCTGTTACGCAACCATCACTAAATCATCGCTCAATCGCTCGATCGATCTAGTTGCGGCCGCCACCCCCACCCTCCTTGCGCTGGAACCCGCCGCGGTTCCCGCCCCTGGTCTGGAGCGTCACGCCCGGGAGGTTACCCATGTTCAGAGACTTGAGCATGTCCATCGTGTCGCGGTCGACTTCGATCGTCTCCACCGCGAGCGCGGACTCGTCCGGAACAAAGTCCATGCGCCTTTCGCGTTCCTCCTCCTGGAGCTTGAGCGAGATCCCGCGCACGGGCCCGCGTTGGATGCGCTTCATGAGGTGCGTCGAGAACCCCGCGATCTTGTTCCGAAGACGCTTGGACGGGATGATGGCGACGTCCTCGCAGATCCGCTTGTTCGTCGCGAAGTCGAGGGTGAGGCGAGAGTAGTACTTCTCGATGATCACCCGCGACGCCTGAGCGGTGACGGTGGGGGTGGGATCGGGCGGGGACGGGACGCGTCAGCTGATGAGTTCGTTCCGCGGTGGGTTTCGATTCGAGCGACCGCGCGAGAGCGAAAACCCCGACCGCGGAGGGACGCGACGACGCGGCGACGCGCGCGCGTCGACGCGCGCGACGACGCGGCGACGCGCGCGGGACGTCGCGGAGCGGTCCATGGGGTGGTCCCGGACGTTCCGCGGCGTCGGAACGCGCGCGACGACGCCGTCTCCGCGTCGGCCGCGGGCGACGATGGCGCGCGCGTCGTTCGCGCGACGGGAAAAACACCGCGCATCGCGCGGCGACGAGGCGCCGTCCGCGGGCGATGCGACGCCGCCGGACGCGATGCGAGACGCGATCCCGCGAGGGACGCGGCGCGCGCGCGCGTCGACGCCGCGCGCGCGACGCGCGACGGCGTCCATCGCGGAAGGCTGCAGCCTTCCGCGCGCGATGCTCGCGCTCCGCGCGAGAAAACCCTAGTCCGCAGATTTACGCGCGCGGCTTCGCGAACGGAACGCGCGGAAGCGGCGCGCCGCGCTCGACGGAGGAGCGAGCGGACGACGCGCACCTTCTTGACGGTCTTGGTGCGAACGCGACCCATGCTGGCTGAGCGACGTGCGTGTTCGACGCGCGCGCCTGGTTGAAGAGGGCGACGCGACGAGGCTCTCGATGCTTTGAGAGAGCGAGGAGCGTCTGTACACTACAGGTTAACGACGGATATGGGCTCGGTTTCAAACCACGCCCCGATCGACCATCCGGTCAATTTGACCCGCACTTCTCGCAACTGACCGACGGTCGAAGCGATCATCACGTCCTTTCACCGCCGGTCTAAAATATTCCTCCCGTCCCGACGATGCGACGTCTACGTCTGGCATCGATCAGAGCGGACGACGCTCCGCGACCGTCTGGGCGTTCGATATCCGGCCGGCGTCCGGGCGTCGCGCCGATGCCGCCGCCGCCCCGTCCCATCGACGCGCGAGGCGGCGAAACCCGCGACGACGACGCGGCCGCCGCGCCGTCGACGTCGGCGGCGGCGTCGGATCCCGCCGCGGCGCCACCCCCGTCATCAACCTCGCCCCTCCGCACTTCGCCGTTGAGCGCGACGAACGTGCCGACGGTCCTCTCCAAGCTGCGGAAGTGGGGCGACTACGCGAGCTTCGGCGAGCCCGCACTGCCGTCGAAGTTCATCCCGATGAAGACGCCGCTGTCGCCGACGCTGCTGCGCGAGGACACGTTCGAGAACGTCCTCCTGCTGCCAAACTTTCTCGCCGAGCAGCGCGAATCGCGCGGCCGCGACGTCGGCCTCGTCATCGACCTGTCCAACCACGACTGCCTGTACGGCGACGGCATCCCGGAGGGTCTCGAGCGCGTCCACGTCCGGAACGTCGCGAAAAGCGTCCCGGACATCGCGTGCACGAGCGAGGTCATCGCCGTCGCGTCCGAGTTTTGGTCGCGGCGGCCCAACGCGTTCGTCGCGATTCACTGCGCGTACGGGTTCAACCGCACTGGGTTCGTGTTGTGCTGTTACCTCATCGAGGCGTGCGGGCTGAGCGCGGACGACGCGCTCGCGTCGTTCGCGGCGGCGCGGCCGCCGGGGGTGAAGCACGACCGGTTCAAGGTGGCGCTGAGGAGGCGGTATCCGACGCCCGGGTGCGCGCCCGTGCCGCGCGACGACGCGGGGGAAGACGACGGCGGCGACGGCGACGCGGATCGCGACGGCGGCGACGACGGCGAGGTCGGGTCCGGGGGCGACGGCGGGGGAGCGCGCGGGGGCGAGGGGGAGTCGTGGCGGAACGAGACGTTGGATCTGGACAACGTCGCGGAGTTAGAGGAGGCGTTAGTCGAGCTCGAGGAAGAGCGCAGGGCGAGCTTGGACCGGGGGTCGTAGCGGTTCTACACCTAGTAGGATATTCAATCAGTGTGTGTCCTTTCGTTGAAGCTCGTGACTTCATCGCGTTCTTCGAGAGTCGTCGTCCCCCGCCCCTCACTCGAGCCCGCGCAGGTGGTCGGCCGCGCGGTCGTCCCGTCCTCGCGTTCGCCCCCGTCCTCGTCGCGACCGTCGTCGTCGCGCGCGAGAGAAGGCGTCGTCGCCGAACCACCCGCTCAGGTCGTCGGGAGGCGCCGAGTGCCATGCCGTACGAGTCGTTCCCGCCGTTCGCGATCATCGTGGGAGCGATCACCGCGATGGGGGGCGTGCACTACGCCGTGCAGATGCTCTACGAAGGGAAGCCGAAGCCGGTGGGGCAGGATAACTTCGATCGGCTCATGAAGTACCGCGACGAGCGCGTGCGAGCGGAGGCGAAGGTGCGCGACGACTCCCTCGGCTCGACCGAAAGAAGACGCCCCCCCGTCGCCATCCCGTCGAGAGGCCGTGGGCGGTCAGATTTAGGGTTTCTTTTCGTCTCCGCCCGCGCTTCCGACCACCTCGCGCGCTCTCTCTCTCTCTCTGTCGTCGACGCTTCACGTCATCTCGATGCGCACGGTGCTGACGACGCGCGTCCTCTCTCTCTCGACTCCTCAGAGCGCGAAGCCGGTGTTGTGATGCGCGGAGGCGCGAAGAAACGCGGGCGCGGCGACGGGCCGTCGCCGGAACGGTCGCGCCGACGGCCGCGCGCGCGTAGGGAGGGTTCGCCCGCCGCGGACCCTCGCGCGTTGTAATGTACGAAACGTGTTAGTCACACTCGAACGCGCGTGATGTATGAGCGCGTCGTGCCGGGTGTCGTCCTCGATAGAGCGCCGTAGAGCGCGAGGGCGGGGATCCCGCCTGAGAAACCATCCATCAGCATCATATCATCAGTGCCGTGTTGTTCGTTTCCGTCCTCCTGTCCGATCGCACAACGCGTCGCGCGAAGAGCGGGCGCGCGCGATGTCGTCCCTCGCGTCGTCCTCCCTCGCGCGCTGCGCGTCCTCCCCTCGCGCCGTCGCGTCCGCGCGGAGACGCGCGCGCCGTCCCCGCGTCGTCGTCGTCGTCCGCGCGGCGGGGGACGCGGCCGATGACGCCAGCGCGACGAGCGACGACGACGACGACGCGCGGAGGATCGCGTTCATGACCGCCAACTACCGTCCGTGGATCAAGTCCGAGGAGGACGCGGTGAAGTGCCTCGCGCACATAAGGAAGACCGAGGGGTTGATATTGAACGTGGAGAAGGCGGCGTCCGTGCTCGCGAGCATCAAGGCGGACCACGAGAAGAGCACGCCCAAGGACGTGCCGTTCAAGCTCCCGCAGATTTATCCGGGCTTCCTCCTGATCCTCCAGAGGAGCTCGGACAAGGCGGCGTGATCGATGATGTCATCCATCATAGACGTTTAATTTAACGCGAAGAAAGAAGAACTATGTTGTGTGCACGTCGTGACAGCGATGCGCGATGCTCGAGCGACTACTGTGCGACTCGCTCGCGCCCGCGACGTCTATGGCGGCGCCGTCTGGCGTCGTTCCGCGCGCGACGCGAGGCCGCGTAACATCTGCGACTTCGCCGGCGACGGCGCCGGGCTCCTCTTCTCGTCTCCTCCGTTCGCGTCGCCGCCGCCGTTCGCCGTTCTTCTCGACGCGGACGACGGCCGGTCGATGAACTGCCTGAGCTTCGCGAGGGATTCGCCGTCGCTCCTCGCGCTCCCCGGTCGCGGCGGCGGCGGTTTCGACGCGGACGGCGCCGTCGTCGTCGCCGTCGCCGTCGCCGCCGTCGTCGTCGTCGCGCCAGCCTCGACGCCGACCTCTCCCCTCCGCGACGCCTGCCGCGCCGGCCCGGGGGACGCGCGTCCCAACTCCTCCTTCATCTCTCCGCGCATGCGCCGCTCGTTCATCGTCATCTCCGCGATGACCCGCGGCGGGACGTTGTCGACGGTGAGCTTCGCGCTGCGCTTCCGCGAGATGATCCGCTTCATGACCTTCTCCGCGGCTTTGCCGGTCTCGCCGCCGCCGTCGTCGTCGTCGCCGTAGTCGTCGTCGCCGCCGTCGCCGTCGCCGTCGCCGTCGCCGTCGCGCGCCGCGGCGGCGGCGGTTCGGTGCGCGCGCGCGTCCGAACCCCTCGCCGCCGCGTCCGTCGCGGCGGCGGCGGCGGCGTTCGCGTCGCCGTCGCCGTCGCCCGCCGCCGCCGCCCTCAGCCCAGCCTCCCCGCCGCTCTTCTTCTTGACAACCCCCGCCCCGTCCTTATCCTTACCCCTGACCGACCCCAACGCCTCCGCGTGCGCGTCGATGACGCCCTGCAGCCGCGTCAGCACCGCGTCGAAGCTCGGCCTCGCGCCCGGCTCCTGCGCCCACGCGTCTTCGATCAACGCGTCGTACGACGCCAGCTCCCCGAACGTCGGCTTCGGCGTCGCGTCCAACGGCGGCCGCGACGCGTCGTCCACGACCGCGTGCATTAGCTGCCACTGCCCCAACGACTCCCACGGGAGCTTCATCGTGCGCAGTTCCCACAGGACGACCGCGAAGGAGTACACGTCTGAAGCGGTGCTGTAGGACGCCGCGCGAAGCACCTCGGGGGCCATCCACCGCGGCGAGTGCAGACCGCCTTGCGAGTGCTGCGCGGCGGCGGCGACTCTGCCGCCCGGGAGCGCGCCGGTGGTCGCGCTCGCGACGGCGACGCGCGAGAGGTTGAAGTCGCCGACTTTGACGCGGAAGTACCGGTCGACCATCAGATTCGGCGATTTCAAATCGCGATGAATGATCGGCGGCGAGCACGCGTGAAGGTAGCACATCCCCGCGGCGGCGCCGAGAGACATCTGAAGCCGCACGCGCCACTCAAGCGGCGGCACCCCGGGCTTGCAATGCCTCTGAAGGACGCTGTACAAAGACCCGCGCGCGCAGTACTCTTCCACGATCGCCGGCGGCGAGCGCACCGCGCCGAGCAGGAGGACGATGTTCGGATGCCGCAGGCGCGCCATGATCGAGACTTCGCGTTCGAGCTCGTCGAGAACCTCCGCGGCGGCCGCCTCGTCCGCGTCCCGCGTCGTCTCCGACCGCGGGTCGTCCGAGTCGTGGGTTCCGTCGGAGTGGTGGGTTTCGTCGTCGGCGGCGGTCGCGCGCGCGTTCGCGTCGTCCACCGCGCCCTCGTGCGCCGCCGCCGCGGTGGCGCCGATCGCCAACCGACCCGGGTACCGCCCGCGCTGTTGCTTCAACAGAGGGTCGTCCCCGCCGGTGAAACTCGCGGGCGGGCCTATGAGCTTCACCGCGACCTCCGTGTGCTTGTTCCACACCGCGACGTACACCCTGCCGAAGCTGCCTTCGCCGACGCACTTTTTCAACCGAATGTCTTCGTACGGAATGAGCGCCGTGTTCGACGAGAGCCCGTCGACGCGCGCGGAATTCTCCCCCCTCGAGGGCGTGCTCGGCGCGGACGACGACGACGGAGAACTCCACCCCGCGAGATGATACCCCGCCGACGACGCGTCGCCCGCCCTGCGGATGCGAGCGCCCGCCGGCGCCGCATCCTTGGGGGAGTACCGCGCCGCCGCGGTTCCCCCGGGTTTGTTCGCCCCCGCCGCCGCCGCGACCGCGGCTTCGAGCTCCGCGACGGGCCAGAGCTTGATCGAGCCAAACTTCCCGGCGGTGACGATACCGACGTGTCCGCCGCCGTCGACCGCGCGCAGGAGCACGATCCCGCTTCGGTGGACCTTGATGCGCGCCGGCGGGCTCGGTTTCGTCGCCGTCGTCGCCGTCGCCGTCGCCGCCGTAGCCGCGACGCCTCCGCCCGCCTCCGCGAGCGCTTTCACGCTCGGCGTGCTCCCCCACGCGCCGCCGCCTCTCGGGAGCGACACGATCTCCATGTACCCTCTCGACAGACCGACGCACAGGAAGCCCTCGATCGTGGCGGCGGCGACAGCCTTCGCGCCGCCCTTCTTCGCCTCCGTCAGAAGCTCCGCCCTCGCGCCGACGGCGATACCGCCGCCGCCGCCGCCGTCGCCGCCGCCGCCGGCGTACCACAACTGCGTCGCGCCGCTCGCGTGCACCGTCGCGAGCTGCGACGCCGCCGGTATCGGCACGAGCGCGACGCACGGTCCCAAGTCCCTGTGCGGGCACACCGCGACGCACTTCCCTTCCGCGACGTCCCACGCCTCCAATACGCCGTCGTCCGCGCTCGCCCAGCAAATCGGCCCGAAGCGGATGAGCTCTCGAATCCCCGCGTCGTTTCGCCGCCGCCGCCCGTCCTTCGCGCCCCATCGCAGCAATACCGCCGCGTCCGCGACCTGCGTCTCGATCGGCGTCGGCGCCGTCGACGCGGACGTCACCGGCGGCGAGATGACGCGCTCGTTCTCAACGTCGAGCGGCCTCGCGTCGCCGCGACCGCCGACGCAGAGCGTCCGCGTGATCGTCACTCGGTCCTCGGGCGCGTCCGGGGCTTCGCACTCGACGATCGTGCCGTCGTTCGCGCCGACCCACGCTTTTCCTCGCGCGGTCGGCGTGACCGCGGTCACGGTGACGCCGCTCGAAACCCCGGGGAGGAGCTTCAGCTTCGTCGCGACGCCCCACCGCGACCCCTCGTCCGCGTCCCAGGTCTGGACCTCGCCGCGTTTCGTCCCGGTCCAGAGTAACGCGCTGCTCTCCTCCGACGCCATCGCGGTGACCTCGCCGAGGCACGTGCCGCCCGCGAACGCGCAGCAGACGACCTTGGAAGAAGGGCGCTCTTTATCGAGGGACCCGCCGCTCGTCGACGTCGATTTCGATTTCGATTTCGACGCCTCGCCGCCGCCGTCGTCGTCGTCGTCGTCCACGAGCGCGCGCCGACCGTCCAGCGTCCGTCGGTGCTGCAGGAACAGGTCGTACGCGCACAGCGTCTTGCTTCGATTGCTCGCCCACCACAGTTCGCTTCCGTCCACGCCCGCGGCGCACATCGCGCGGACGTCCCCGCCGATCAACCACGGCGCGAACGCGCCTCTCAACACGCGCGTGCGGCGGTCCGGCCCCGCGCGCAGCGTGCTCATCCCGCCCTTCACGCCGGGCTTCCTCTTCCCCGTAGACGCGGAGAACCCTCGCGCGGTGGCCGTGGTGCCGCCGACGCCTAAACCGCCGACCGCGCCCGTGAGCGTCCACAGCTGTCGCTCCAACGTCTCCAAATCAACGCGGAGCTCGTCGAATTTAAACTCCGTCGCGCGGTACCGCGCGAGCCTCGCGAACTTCTGCGCGCGGCTATACTGCCCGTACACCCTCGCGCGCGCGACCGCGAGCCCGAGCGTGGAGAGGATGCCGCTGCAGATGCGCTTCAGCTGAAGCAGCGTGATCTGATCGAGCGCGGGGGACACCGCGTCCGCCTCCGCGAGCGCGACGCTCACCGCGACGGCGGCTCCCATCACCACCGCGCACTTCTCGCGGTGCGACACCGCGGCGCGCGTCGCGAGCTCGAGCTCGTTCGCGGCGTCTCCGCACGCGTTGAAGATGCCGCGGAGATCGTTCGTCGCCACGGAGACGGGCTGCTGCGCGTTCACGCTCATCGCGTTATTCGTCGAAGACGCGGCGGATCCTCCTCCTCCTCCTCCTCCGGGGGAGGCGCTCCCTCCGCTGAGTCGTCCTCCTCCCAGGCCCAGGCCCAGGCCGCCGCGAGGGGAGGGAGACGCGTGCCGCGGGGTCCCGCCGTGCCGCGGCGTCGACCGCGCGGACGGCGGCGCGGTGGTCGTCTTCAGCGGGCCGAGCGCGTCCGGGGGATCGACCACCGCCGCGTCGCCTCCTCGGACCGCTCCAGCTGTGCGCCGCTCGCGCTCGTCGCGCTCGCCGCTCGCGCGCGGCGACGACGACGGTGCCGCGTCCACCTCGACGTCCACGTCGCCGAGGCTCAGGACGCCGTCCGACGTCGCCGCCTTCGTCGGCGACAACGCGGGAGACATGACGGACGGCGACGGACGGGGAAGGAGGGGCTCGCCTCGCGGACGGAACGGCACGCCGCTCGCCGCCGCGCGATCGATCGTACGATCGACCTGCGCTACGACGACCGGACGCCTCCTCGGCGGGTCGGCAACTTACGCGCGGACTCCCATCGAGTCGATCGACGCCTCCGTCGCGGTCTCACGACGACGTCCGATACGACAGCGCGGCGGTCTGAGCGCGCGCGTCGTGCGTCGCGCCCGCGTGTGACGCCCGCGCCCGGGCCTGAGGCGTTTACAAAACTGTTTGAAGACGAGGAGTGCGAGTGGCGCGCGCCGCGCCGCTCCGGTGGGCGTGCTCCTGCTGCTCCGCGCGCATTTCAGATCTCCGCGCGCGCGGCGCCTCGCGGAAGGACCACCGAGGGCGAACCGCCCCTCGAGCCGTTCAAGCTGTTCAACTACGGCACGTCCTCCTCCTCCTCCGCCGCGATGCCGCAGACGGCGATGGACAAGGTGAAGCTCATGGTCGGCATGGAGCCCTCCGCGGAGCCGGAACTCCTCGACGAGCTCAACAATTGCTTCGAGCTCACGCGGATGCAACGCTTGTACGGGTTCTGCATCACCGTCTTCTGCGGGATCGTGTGCTCGTTCCTCGCGTCGCTGATGTGGCTCAACCCTCGAAAGTTCGCGATCCTGTACACGCTCGGGAACGTCCTCTCGCTCGGGAGCACGGGCTTCCTCACCGGGTTCTGGAATCAGCTGAAGAACATGTTCAAGGGCACGCGGTTCGTCGCGACGCTCGTGTATCTGGGCGCGATGGTCATGACGTTGGTGTCCGCGTGTTACTTCCAGTCGTTCGGGATGACGTTGGTGTTCTTAGGCGTGCAGTGGTGCGCGCTCGTGTGGTACTGCCTGTCGTACATTCCGTACGGACGGCAGATGGTCGGCGGGTGCCTGAAGTCGTGCTTCGGAGGCAGCGGGGACATGTTTTAGTGGTAACTTTATTATTAACCGAGCGACGGCGCCGTCGACGGACGCGGGGGGTCGTCGTTAAGTAGCAACCTGCGGCGCGCGTATTCACGTGATGATACTGCAACTCATGTCGCCTCTCACATCGTTCGTCGCCTTCTTCCTCTCTATCTATTCTAACGAGGGGGGCGGCGCGGGTCCTCCTCCCGGTCCCGGTCCTCCTCCCGGTCCCGGTCCCGGTCCGCCGGCGTCTCCCGCGGCGTATCGCGCCTTGGCCTCCGCGAACATCTTCGTCTGCAGCGCGAGTGCCTCCTCCGCGCTCATCGCGTTCGCCGCCGCCTTCTTCTTCGTCTTCTTCACCTCCCTCTGCTCCGCGTCGAGCTTCTTCTCTTCCTCCCACACCTCGTTCACCGCGGGGAGGTACGCGTCGAACTCAAGCGCTTCGAGCGCTTTGACGACGTGCTCGGGCGTGATCGTCGTCTTCCCCTCCTTGTCGCTGATCTCGCTCGCTTCGCCGCTCACGGCTTGGATGAACTCGTTGCACGCCTCTAAGATCATGTCCTTGACGTCGTTGCCCATCTTCAGGCCGGGGGGGAGGTTTTGGTTGATGAGTTTCACCACCGAGGCTGCGGGCGGACGGGAAGGGGGCGGGACGGAGGTCATCAGGACGTTCGGTTGTTACGACGAGGGTTCGGTTCGGTTCGCGCGAGGAGGATTTCGAACGGGGCGTCCTCGCGGCGCGCGCGCGCGGCGAACGAACGAAGGACGCGACGGCAGGCAGCGCGGGACGCACATCTAGGCAGCGAGCCTTCCCCCTCTTCCGCCATGACGACGACGGGAACGAACTTCTTCCGCGTTCGATGCGAACGCTCCGGTCTGCCTGCGTGCGCGCGCGGCGGATTTTGATGACTGGACGACGCGACGCTCGTCTGGCGGGACGAGCACGATGATCGAAAAACAGCGCACGAACGCCCGCTCGCTTCCGACAAACCAAACTACGCCCACCCCCCGCGATCAATCCGACCGCGTCTCGCCCACCCACTCGCTCATTCAAACCATCCGTCGTCGCGTCCACTCCCCTCCCCGCGCCGCCGCCGGGCTCAGCTCCCCATCTCCGCGGACGTGTACACCTCCCGTCCCGTGCCGTGCACGAAGATGACCCTCGGCAATCCCTTCACGAGCGCCTCGATGTATCTGGCGTACGCGCTCGGATTTCGCATCACGATCGCGTCCGGGTCGGGCAAGTTGACGATCACGAGACGCGCGTCCTGGCTCTTGCCGCGGATGATCTTGTTCAGCGCGGCGGGGCCGCTCGCGTCCTCGACCCAGCCGCCCGCGGCGGCGGCGGCGGCGGCGGCGGCGTCGGTTTTTTTCGTCGCCGCCGGCTGCGGCGCGGGGGAGTACGACGCGGTGACGTCGTTATCTACGAAACCGACAGACTTGGAGCGTTTTCGCACCGCCGGCGGATTCGTATCGGCCTCCTCCTCCTCGACGATGATCACGTCGTCGGACGTCACCGACGAGACGCTCGGCCGCGCGTCCGCCGCGCCTTCGCCCGCCTCCGCCTCCGCCGCCGCCGCCGCCGGAGGCGGCCTCGGCGAGTCGTCCGCGATGGGCGCCAGCGGCGGCTTCGCGGGCTTCTCCCCGCTCACGCTCGACATGTCGAAGATAGACGACAAGCTCGCGTGCTCGTACGGCGACGCGTCCGCGGACTCGTTGCTGCGGCGGTCGTGCCTTCGTCGCGCGAGCAGCGTGTTCTCGACGTCCCTGTGGTCCAACCCCTGCACGAGGTCAATCTCGGACGGGAACGCTTTTCGAAGCGAGAGCCCGGCTTTCTTCGAGCTCTCCAGAGACGGCGAGGACGTGGACGCGCGACCGGGCGGGGAGACGTCCCCGGAGCGCGGTGGCGTCGCGTTCCCGGACGACGGATCGTCGAGCGAATCCCTTCCTCCCCTCGGGGTGCCCGTTCCCGGCGTCCCCCCGAGCGAATCCTCGCCGAGGCGGCCGAGGCCCGCGCCCGCGTCCTTGTCCTTGTCCTTCTTCCCGCCCGTCGCCGCCAACAGCGCGTCGCGGAACTGCTCCGCCTGCTCCTTGCGCATCGTCCAGTCGTGCGTGTACGCGTACATGTCCGCGTCCTCGCCAGCCTCGACGACGGACACCTCCGCGTCGATGCGAAACTCCGCCAGAACCTTCTCCAGCCCGCGTCGCACCGCGCTCGGGTCTTGCGCCGACTGCAGCACCGTGTGCACGCGAAGCTTGCACCCGGACCACGTCTTGTGACGCAACAGCAAGTGCGCGATCATGAGGAGTAAGCCGCCGTCGTGCAGGACCCACCACACGTCCACGAAGCCCTCCGCTTTGTCGGCGTCGGACGGTTTCGGGAAGTCGTCGAGGCCGAGGCACAGAAGCACCGCCTTCTCCGCCGCGGTGCACTCGCACACGGTCTCGACGAGCACCTGCGCGGCTTCCTCTTTCGCGTCGTCGTCGTCGTCGTCGACGCCGTCGTCCGCGTCCTCGTCGAAGTCCACCGCGTTCCTTCGCGGCCAGCCGAGCAAGACGGTGTTCGGCTCTAAACCGCCGAATCCTAAGGGTCGTTCCATACGAGCGAACGTCGGGGTGGAGTTCAAAGGCGTCAGAAGCGGAGTTGAAAGGCGTCGAGGGCGGGGGTTGAAAGCGAGGGACCCTGGGCGGAGAGATGCGCCGGGCAAAGTCCTTAAGGATCGGCGTTCACCACGCCAACGCGGTCGTATGGGGACCAGTGTATAGAACGCACCTAACCCTTGAATCGCGAACGTTTTTCCGACGCGGTACGACGGCGCGACGACGACGTGCGCGAACCCTTTGATCCCCGAGCTCGAGATGCGATCGCGGAGGCGCTCCTTCGCGACGTTCACGCGCGTCGACAAACCGCGATCGGTGGACAAGTTCCCCTCCTCCACCTCCGCGACGACGCACAGCCCGCGGCCTTTTTTGAGCTGCGCGGCGACGTTCAGGAGCGTGTCCCCCGCCGCGCCAGCCGTACCGCCGCCGCCGCCGCCCTTCTTCTCGACCCGGCACGGCCACGACGGCAGGCACAGCAGCTGCGGCCGCCAGTTCGACGAGTGCCTCCTCTCGTGCGCGAGGTTCAGCATCGCGGCCGTCGCGAGGTCCAGACGGATGCCCCCCAGCGCTGCCCCAGTCAACTTGGACTTGCCGGCTCTCGATGTAAAACACGAGCGCGGCGAGCAAGACGATGGCGACGAGCGCGAAGTACCACCGAATGACGAACGCGAGCGTCGTGCACAGGAGGAACCCGGCGAGGCCTAAGCTCCAGTGGAAGTATCGCCACGTCGGGCGCCACGACGGCGCCTTGGTCAGCCCGAGCGCGAACGTGGAGAAGTTCAGAGCCGCGTACGCGCACAGGAAGCAGATGGACAGGAGCGGCGCGACGAGGTCGAGCGATCCGATCATCGACGCGCAGAGGCAGATGCCCGTCGTCATGAACAGCGCGATGTGCGGCTCGCCGTCTTTGTTCAACGGCGCGGCGACGTTAAGGAACGGCACGGTGCCGTCCGCGGCGATCGCGTTCAATACCTGCGGCGCGGTGATCAAGCACTGCAGCGCCTGCGACAGCGACGCGATGATGACGCCGATTTGCACGACGGTCGCGTCCGGCCACGCCATCTCGCTCACGACGGACATGGACTCGCTCCCGCCGCCGAGAAGGTGCCGTCTCCGGCGTCCCGAGGCTGCCGAGAACGACGGCCCGTACTTGAGGTAGTCCCTGTCCGCGACCGCGCCCCACATGATCATGTAACTCGTGTACAAGCACGCGGAGAGGCAAATCGCGGTGAGCGTCCCGCGTGGGATGGACTTCTCCGGGTCCTTCAGCGCTTTCGACCGGTTCGCCCCGGACAAGATCCCGGTGAAACACGGGAAGAACACGGACAACACGTCGCTGAACGTGATCCCGTCCGTGTACTCCTCACCCCAGTTCGACCGCAGCGTGCTCGCTCGCAGGCCGGTGACGAGCGGCGACGACCCCGGCAACGGCGCGGCGACGAGCGACGCGTAGTACGCGCTGAGGGTGAGCCCGACGACGGCGGCGAAGAAGAGCCCCGCCCTCGACACGAGCGCCATCCCGCCCCACACGAGGACGGTCAGGACGCCGAGGAGCAGCACCGCCCACACGCGCGTGCCGCCGGCCTCGCCCATGCCGAGCTCGAGGCCGGAGTCCATGTACAGCATCACCTCGATCGCGCCGAGGACTTCCAGGACGGCGAGGAGGGAGAGGCCGAGGTAGTACGTGCACCCTACCGCGCCGCCGAGCTTGTGCCCGAGCGCTCTGGAGATGATGTAGTACGCGCCGCCTGCCTCCACGGGCCCGTTCGTCGCCATCGCGGAGAGCGACATCACGGTGAAGAACGAGGAGAGGAAGGAGACGAGGACGATCACGAGCGAGACGCCGACGCCAGCGTGCCCCACGACGTAGAAGAAGCGGAGGAAGATGAGGACGCCCCACATGTTCTCGCACGTCGGGACGACGACGCCCGAGAGCGTGCTCAGCGAGCGCGCGGAGGACGATCCGGCCATGGCTGGCGCGAGATTCGTCGTGAGCGCGGTATCGCGGAGGCGTTCGTGCGCGAGATCCGCGCGCGCCGCCACGACTGATGATGTTTCGTTCTATTCGTTTTTCAAGTTGATGGATCAACTCGGCACCGCCGCGAGAGGAATCTTCCTTCTCGCATCCCCGGGAGGCGAAAAATCTCTCCAGCCTGGCGCTTTCTCTTTTTGAAGCGTGGCGCGCGACGCGACGACGTCATTCATTCGTCTTCGTCAGCACTTCCGCTCGCGCGACGCCTCG